TATTTTAATTATCACAAATTTTATTTATAAAAATATTTAATTCTTACTCGTAACATTTTTTTAACGTTTAAATCAACGACGTGACATGTAATTATTCTAGTCACCAGGTCAAATATAATATTTTCAAAGTTAATATTATAAAACTAATTTAATATATTTATTTAATGATTAAGTATAAAAATATAAAAAATTTCATTGTAATTTATAACTATTTTCTTCGTAACGGACTATGTTAAAAAAATTGAGAAAGAAGGAATTTAAGAGTTGGTTTGATTTAACTTTACTTTTTAGTTTTTAAATATAATTTCAAAATAATTTTTCAAGCAATTGAAAAAGAAAATACTTTTTTAAAATATTTTAGACAAAAAATAAATAAAAAATATTACAAAAGTTGATAAATGATTTTAAAATTTTTACTATAAAAGATTAAGTGATTCGATATAATAATGGTAAAAATATTGTATTAAAAATGAAAACAGAAAATTGAAATAAAAAAAATATTTTATGAATTTTAATTTAAAAATAAAAAATAAAAGTTGAATCATGTAGAAATTGACTTTGCTAATGAAACATGCTGTGGAAGTGGAAAGACAGTAATAATCTTATATTTTATCTTTGTTATATAATTGCTATGATACATTAAAATTATTATTGATGGAAAACTCAGAAACTGGATTGGACTCATGACATCAGAGTATTGTTTTAGTATCTGCAAGGAATAAGCCACAGGCTTTGTATAATATTTTTGGGAAGAATTGTTCATGAACAGAATTTAGATCTCTTCAATTTTGTTACACTACAATAATATATTAGAGTGATTTATATAATTAATATTTGTGTTTCTGCAAATTGAAATCATATATAACATATTAAGCAGATTTTTATTCTTATAATTATAATTATAACCGAAAGTCCTGCTGAGCCCAATTCCAATTTCACTTCTTTTTTTGGCCTCTCTCTTTGACAGGGAAGAACTAGCTGTGTTCCAATACAACTTGATAAAGGCAAGTTACTTTCAAATATTATGTTAAAATCATTAGGTTTTTTATTTGTACAATAATATCTTTCATTACCCTTTTATAATTTTTATTTATTTCTTTCGACCACTTCAATTATAAAAAATTGTTTAAATATAAATTGTCATATCAATATATTGTACCATATTTGTTGGCAGTTACCACTAACCTATCCTATGCGAATCACCTCATCGTTGAAATCCAAGCAAGGCATGGGAATCACAAAAAGTGTCAAATAGTTCTCTCCTTCATTCTTTTGGACGTGGGAATAATCATCACAAATAACACCACACGATGAGACAAATGTATTACACAAGCATCGGAATGAAACTCATCAAATTGTTCAAAAAAAAATTAATTTCATGAGTCCAATGTGATAGAAGGATGGAAAGATAAAAAAAATAAAAACAAAGGTTACATTATTTTATTTGTTTTAAAAATAAAAAATTATCGATTTTAATTATATAAAATCAGTTGTGCAATATTGATATATATAATTAACATGAGATTTTATCATATTTTTCGTGATAAATTATTTTATCACACTCTTCACTTAAAAAAATATTTTTATAATTATAATATTATTGTATTATAAAATATTTTACTCTATAATTTAATATTTTATAATGTTAAAAGTATCTTTTATTAGACCCTGTTCAGGATTTTTTTTCATCTTATTATTAAGACACGTCTCATTGTTGTTGTTTGCACTTTCACAGTGTGAATGTTTGCTTTTTCTCCTCTTGGAGGATGTTATATATAGTTAAAGAAAATGTTAAATATTTGAATTGGCAATAGGAAATAGCAATGCAAGACAACAATCTCATCACTCTCACGTGGCATGATATAATTGCCAGCTATGTAGGTATATATATAGCCAACATTATTGGTTAATGTAACTTGGTCTTGAAAACCATCATAATCATGGATTGTGCATAACTAGATCTGACCCAGCATCATCAATTGAGTTGCATTGCAGATTGCACCACACAAAAATGACCGAGTGGAAATTTTGATGGTAATAACTATTTCTTGGTGGTTCTACAATTTCATCATGGTGCTAATCATTCCCTTGCCCCCTTGTGAGATTTTTAAGCTTATCACCACTACTGGTCAAGGCCAACAACAGAAGAAAAAAAAAATGCTGCTTTGGACCACAAAACAATTTTTTTATGAAAAAATGGTAGCTATAATGATGCAAATTGTTATAAGATATATGAAAAAATAGAATAGCTATTTTGTAAGGGCATCAACACTCATGTGATCATCTACTTTTTTTTTTCTTTCTTATATGTGGGTAGTTGGAGGAGGGAAGTGTTGTCTATTATCTATTTTGATATATTGAAGATACAAAATGTTACTTTATGTTTTCAGCATAGTAAAAATTCATGGTTTTTTCAGGTTAATTAAGATGTTGTGAATTTATTCATTTTGTGTACTTTCAATACACATGCGTCATTTAATGTACCAACAAGAGAAACACCCTCCTAATGCATTGAATATGAAGTATGACAACTTCTGAAAAAAACATGACAATATCATGTGAATATATCTTAAAATTAATATACATTATTTTATGTTTTTAAAAAAGTAAATAGTTTTTAATACATTTTCTTTTTAAATACTCATTAAAAATTGTCATCACTACCCTTGTGGAACATTGAGATGGGATTTGATGTTAAAATGTCATCTGAAAGAGAATGAGATTAATATGAAACTCTTGTCACATGCATAACTTTTTTAGTCACCTAAATTTGGCAAAAGAGAATATTTGTTTATCACTACTTTGAGATAATTTCTTTAAATAACTCTCGAAGTTTTGATTTTTTTTTCTTTTAACTTCCCATTTATCTTTATATTTACTCTCTCTATCTCTCTGTATATTATATAATAATAGAAGTAGACAAGAAATATCTTCCTCCTTTTAAAGTAAAGTTATACATATAATTAAACCGTGTTTAGAATATTTGTAATGTTAAATTGTATTTATCAAAATATGTGTGATAATAATATAATTTTTAAAAAGTATTTACACTTAAATTTTTTAGAAAAAAAAATGATTTACTATATTTATCAATAGTAATATGATTTTACATTTAAAAAAAATAAACTAAAACATATTATTTTATGTGAAAAATGTTAACAATAATTTTTTATACAAACTCTTAATATGGTACAATTCGATTTCAAAATTATCATTTTGATTTTGTTTTTTCAACAAATTGCACAACAAGATGATGCAATTAATTTTAAATTTATCGATTTGAATAATTTTTTAAAAAATTACGATACATACTAGAATACTACAAAGAAAAACTCCTGTTTTATTTTTTATTTTTTCAATAAAGTCGTATTTCCGTATACAATTTCACTTTTTTTTTATGTTTTTATATTATTTTTTATTATATAAAAGAGATTTGTCATAACTATAGTTAATAATAATAATAATAATACCTTTTTATAATACTATTATTATTTATTGTTATTATAATATATAATAATTCAAAATAAAAATTTAATAAATTAATAATAACTATTATTTTTATTATTAGTAGTGGTATTATCATTATTAAATATAAATTAAAATAAGTGGTGCATAAAAAAACGAATTTATTAAAAGAAAAAAATTAAAAGGTTAAAATATATGAAAAATAGTTTTAAAAATTAAAATAGTTAAAAAATGCGATTTTTTAATGTAAAATCATGTTTTTAAACAACATTTATTTATTTACGTTTTTTTTTAAATTATCCGTATCGGTAACTTTAAAACAAATCACATATTTTTATATTTTCGCTTATATCTTATATTATATTATTATAGAAAAAAAATAGTAATTAAAAAAGTATTAATATAATTTAATAAAATTGATAACATAATGTTTAAAACTAAAATAGCTCAAACAATAAATATCCTTTTAATCAGACCATCTTTATTTCACTTTGTTTACAATTTTTATAATAAGTAATATTTTTTTCATATTTTTATTTTTGGTACATATTTATTTTATTTTTGATTTATTTATTTTTTCCTTTAATAATAATATAGTTAGACATTTTATCACCTATTTAAATAATTGTTTAAACTAAAGATACAAATTAAATAAAATATTTTATTTTAATTTAATATATTTCAAATTAAACCAAATTAATATTTTACATTTTTTTTTCAATTTTTGATACTATTATATATTTTTTTGAAACAATTTAAAATATTAATTTTAAAAAACTATCGCGTTGTAAAAAATTTATTAAATACTTTTTAAAGAAGAATTATCAAATATTATATAAATAGTGAATTTTATAATTATTATTATATTTAGTTTTAAATCTTTTATATTCATAAATAAATTACATAATCTATAATTAAAAAATTAAAACAAATTTTATATCATATATTATAAATATAAATATTATGAATATAAAAAATATTATATTTAAATATAGTTATTGATTTTCAATTTAAAATACAAATACAAAAAAAGTTATGAAAAACAAACAATTTTAATCAATCTTTTTAGATTCATTGAATTCATTTAGATATAAGTATAACAATTTCAACTACATTAATTATTTTTCTAATAAAATATATTATATTAAATAAAACGTACTCTTCAGAACTATTTCCAAAAAGGAAATAAAACCGTATATTTCAAACAAAACAAAAGAATTAACAGTCGTGAATAAATCATGTACATGACAACTACGAGAAAAGAAGGAAGACAATAATGGCGGTTCACGATTCACTCCATTAACATCACTCTTCCTTGCTATGGTCCACCACTCCCTCTTCCTTTTTCCATTTCCTCTTTCTTGTCTCTTTTGCCTTTCCCCTTCCCTTTTTCATCCCCTCTATGTCCACACTACACTCAACTATCAACACTCTCAAAACACACTCTTTCACTCTCTGCTAACACCTCTCTCACCTCCATGATTTAGGGTTTCTCTCATTTCTCAGACTTTGCATTCCCACCTCCACCACAACAAATGACCAAGCTCAATTTCGCTTTCATTTTCACGTTTTTTCTTCTACTCTGCAATGTCTCGGCTGCACCATCCACCACATTACCAGCTAGTGAGTAATCCGGATACTGTTTTCACTTCGGTTTCATCCTTTCATCTTCTTTAGCTCAAAGTTTGCTCCTTTTCCAGAGATTGTTAGTGGGTTTCTATCTAATGCCGTACCTGCATTCACCAAATGGGTGTGGTCGCTTAAAACACCCACCAAAACGGGTATGAACCTGCACAATGTAGATTGCATTTTCTTTTTTTTTTTTTTTTTTTAATTTGTATTTTTCGGCTTATGTTTATTTGGACTGTTGTTGCAGCGGTTGGTGGGAAGTCGATGATGAAGTTCGAGAGTGGGTACAGTGTGGAAACTGTGTTTGATGGAAGCAAGCTCGGAATTGAGCCTTATGCGGTTGAGGTGTTGCCTAATGGGGAACTTCTTATTCTGGATTCGGCTAATAGTAACATTTATAGGATTTCTTCCTCGCTTTCCTTGTGTAAGTATGCCTGTTTGATTGGATGGTAGATTGAGCTTGTGATCTGAGTCACTTTCCATGTTCAATCTGTCTTTTTTTATTCTATTTATTCGTTTTTTATTTATCTTGTAAAATCAGCATAAGTAGGTGATCTCTTCACTGTGTTACAGTGGACTAAGGTTTTCTTGAGATTGGACTTGCTGTGACTTTGGAAATTTTGAGCTACTCTACTTTGTGATCTATTGGGCGGTATTAGAAAACCTTGAATTTCTAGCTGTGGAAAACTGTGAAGTTTATGTCCCTACCTGCCTCACCATTTTTTTTTCATCTTTTGTGTAGTTGAACTTGAAGTTCATTATTCACTATTGAGACTCAAGCATATAACTTGTTTTAGATGGCTGGCTGGCAAATGTCATTTCTTATTCTCGATCCCCTTCTCGACTCCTTTTTACATTGTAGAATCACAGATGATTGAATCAATGTGCTTATGTGCTAAGCATTTTATCATGTCACTTGTTCTTGCTTATGAGATTTATAAACATGCATCAAACTTCAATAATAAACTTTAATGCATTTTGAACTTGCTGCACCTGTGGGACTGTTCTTTTTATTGAAAATTTTCTGCCACATAGTTAAAAAAGTAATAGCATTTGCATTGCAATTTTGCAGATAGCAGACCGAAGCTTGTGGCAGGATCTGCTGAAGGATATTCTGGACATATTGATGGAAGGCTTAGGGAGGCTAGGATGAATCACCCTAAGGGTATAACAGTTGATAACCGGGGAAATATCTATGTTGCAGATATAATGAACATGGCAATTAGAAAGATTAGTGAGTCAGGTAAACATATATTATACTCTGAACAATTCTTTATCCTCCTCTCCCCCATGAGGCTCTTGTTCTACTTCTTATGTTAGAATCATAGGTGAGAGGTTTTTGTTGAGTTGATTTTTCTGTTTTCAGGGGTCACAACAATTGCCGGAGGAAAATGGAGCCGTGGAGGGGGCCATGTTGATGGTCCAAGTGAAGAAGCTAAATTTTCTAATGATTTTGATGTGGTTTATGTTGGAAGTAGTTGTTCCCTGCTTGTAATAGACAGGGGGAACCAAGCCATCAGGGAGATCCAACTACACTTTGATGATTGTGCTTATCAATACGAAAATGGATTTCCACTTGGTAAACTAAATCATTCCACAGTCTTTCTCTAAAAAATCTTTTAATTACATATTAAGGTTGATTACCATCAATTTTCAGGAATTGCAATGCTTGTTGGGGCTGGCTTCTTTGGTTATATGCTTGCATTATTACAGCGTAGACTTGGTAGAATTGTAGCATCTCAAGATGTGAGTGCATAGTTTTGTCTTCTTCCTTTTGATACATTATAATTGTAAATCAGATATAGATATTGTAAGTAGATATCTGGAGTTTTCCGTGTTATGCAGCTCCATGTGAAAGTATTGACAGGTTAAGAACTCTCATTTCATGTTTTGCTACAGTTTTCTAAGTATCTTTTTTTATATTAGCTTTATGTCTACATACTACGGCAGCAGAATTTAAAGTTGTCCTTTGTTTTCTAAACCTGCACAGTTTAGTGTTGCTAAGATAGTTAGATGAATTTAATAGAAAACTTGTGTCATTTATTCATCTCTTCCTTTTGTAGGCTGAGAGTCCAGCAATGTCTGGCATTTCATCAAGTCCATATCAAAAGCCCATGAAGTCTGGGAGGCCTCCTTTAATTCCATCAGAAGATGAGTCAGATAAGCAAGAAGAAAGCTTCTTTGGATCCATTGGGAAGCTTCTGACCAATGCTGGGGCATCAGTAGTGGAAATAATGGGAGGGTTATTTCCTGGCTTTAGGAAAAGACCACAGAGCTATGAATTCCAAAGCCAACCGTTGTTCCAGCAACCTCAAAAACAAGTAAATGCTTGGCCTGTGCAAGAAAGCTTTGTTATTCCAGAAGAAGATGAGCCCCCTTCTATTGACCCAAGAACCCCAACGCCACGGAAAACATATCCTTTCATGTCCAAGGATGCAGAAAAAATGCAAAAACTATTGCAAAGTAGAGCATTCTATGGTGGATGCGAAGGAGATCTTCAGCAGCAACAACTAAAACATCAGCAGCAGCAGCAACAAGTTAAACATTATCATCGCCACCAGTATCATTCACCACTCCCTCACACTTATTATGAGCAAAGCCACGAGGAAACCAAAGAGATACTATTTGGGGCAGTTCAAGAGCAGGATGGGAAGCAGGAAACTGTTGTTATCAAGCCTGTGGAATATGGTAAATCTCTCTATGATCGTCATTATATTCGACCTCGAAACAGTTCTATGGGTTATACCAACAGGCACTAAGTATATAAAACAAAAAAGATTAGAAGTACTTTATCCCCAGTCCAACTTTAATTGGAGAGGGGAGAGTGAAATCAAGTACAGGAAGTATAATTAATGATTTCTTTTAAACAGTGTGATCCTTATAAGGAGAAGCTGGTGGTCATCAGAATATTAAATGTTTAATCAGTTTTGCCAAATTGTAGGTCTCTCTGGCCAATCAAGAAATTTTGGCATGCTATTTCTTGATTTTCTTCTGGTGATAATGTTTTAATGTTCAGCAGAAGTTCTCTGCCATAAAATATAAAACATATTATAATATAGTAAATATATATATATACCTCTTTCCTTTTGGTTTTGTTCTACCGAAAAGTTCTGACAGAGTCAAGAGTTTTTCTTCTCTTCTTTGTCCTTGTTATATGGGTACGTACCATGCAAACATTATAACGAAAACAACACTTATCCTGAACATTGTAACGTAATTAAAAGTATTCTGGTGAATTGAACTTCTCAATGTGGTTAAGGTTATTCTGAAGGTAATAGAAGATGTTAATAAAACTGACAAACGAGTAGAGAGATTTGAAGGTGGTAATAATGGAGAGTAGTAATAATTGAAGATGGAATCTGATAGGATAGTTCAAGTTCGAGTGACTACCGGAGTGTGTCAACTCTACATTTCCTCACAAGTGGATGGATGACATGACATGTTGGGAGCCCCCACTAGCCACTGCATGTGAGTGACATTATGGTTTGCATTATTACATTCTTTAAGATTTTAGTAACCGTGAAGGAAAGGAATGTTAAATAAGAAAAAAAAAACAATACTTCATTCTATCGGATCAAAAGTCAATTATGTTTGAAACCAATGATAAAAATTATCTAAATTCATTTTCAAATTAAAATGGAACGAATAAATGTCTGGTCAAATACGGTGATATGTGTCCAAGTTTCATAAGGTTTCAGATTTAAATTGCGCTTGTGTTTTCTTTTTGTTTTTAGAAGAGTTAGTCTTGTAATATACTTACCGTCTAAAAAAAAAACATATAGCATTGTTTTGTTATCTGTCTCATTTCAAAATGAGTTGTCAAATGTTATATTGATTTTTTTTTTCAATATTTATATATAATGAAATTTAAGGCTTTGTTTGGTTGGAGTGATTTGAGAGAGTGGAAATGAGAGAGTGGAAAAGGAGGGATTTGAAGAGAAATGGAGATGAATGGAATGTTTATGGGAAATTGTGAATGATTTGATTGATATGAGATATAAAAATTATAATTTTATGTTGATTATTTAAGAAAATTATCATTTTACCCTTTGTATAAAATAAGGTTCAAATGATTATAAATATAAATTTTTAATTAATTATCCATATTTTAACATTGATTATATATTTAAAAGAAAAAACAAAATTAAAAGTGTTTGTAATTGGAAACAAATTTAAAAAATTAACTTTTTTTAGATAGTTATTAAAAATTATATAAATAAACAATTACAAAATTATGTACATTGCATATCCATATTCAAATAATGTTGACATATTAAATAAATTATTTGACTAATAATTAAATAATTATAAAATATAAAATAATAATTAATATTGATTGATAGTAACAAATAATTATGAAAACTAATAATATAATTGTACATTATTATTTAAAACAAATATAAAATACAAGTGAAAATAGAATAATAATTAAATGAAACATTACTAAAATTTTAAACCTATGCACACTAATGCTCTTCAAACAAATAATTATAATGTTATTCATCTTTTGCAGTCAAGTCCTCCAGTTCAGATCATTCAATCACTTCCACTCAAGAACATGAACAACTGGGAGAGACGAAGATGTCCCATATATCTGACTCCGAATGTTGAAATGTTTATGATCGTCTCATCACATTAACTTGAGATAAAATAATTACAATATAATTTTCTACTTTGAGAATTAATAATATAATTAAACATCAAAATTGAGAATACTCTTATACATTTTGAACTCTTTTGGATAAATTTTGTTTCCCTAATTTTTGATAAAGTTAATTTTAATATTTAAAATTATTTAACATTTTGAATTCGAAAGGTTTTGTCTAATAGCAAATTTAAAAACATAATATTCAAGAAAATATTTTAGACACTCTGGATGAACACCACTTCTACTGTACTTTGTAATAAAAATCTTCCAATAAAAATGAAAGGAAAGATACTAGGGCAATAAATTTTAACCTCCCTCTCATTAAAATATAAAACAAAAATTCAAAAATAAAAGCTCATACAAATTGGCATGATGCACGGCAACAGAATCAATTTAATTTCCGCTTCAATTCCTCCAAATATTATTATTATTACATCATTCCAAGACCAAAATCAAGCCCAGTCTGATTTTACTATACACATCACTTAAATACTATTCTCACTCCCCTACTTCAAGATATCATCTTTCTTAAATAAAAATATAAAATTAACACACAAACATCTCATACATACCATAAATAATAAATCAAAGCCTAAACATGAGATTAAAAAATGTATCCTTTTATATATATATATATATATATATATATATATATATATATATATATATATATATATATATATATATATATATATAATGTGTTGCAAGAGAGAGTTAATGATAAGAAGTGACAATTTGAAAAAAATCTTTTTTTTATTATTTTATTGTAGTATAATAAAAATAGAATTTACAATAGAATCGGGAACATATACTCGTCAACACATATTAATGAAAAGAGTAATTAAAACTGAATTTGAATTGTTTTTTGGAAGGGATCCAATTCAAATAATAAACACTTTCAATGTTTCTTCCTCAAGTAAAAATAAAAGAATCCGCAACTTAAATAACGTCAATGCAGCCAATGACCCCAATCGATGTAGATATCGCTGACCATGTACTCCTCTTTTCTAACACTTTGTTTTTCTTTTTTGAAATATTTTCTAACGCTTTGTTTATAAATTGAAAAATACATACAAAACAAAGCTGAAAATAAAAAATATTAATTAATTACGGGTTCGTGACTTTAACAAAGTCTTCTTCGTCACAATTTAATTAATACTCAAGTAACATCTTTCTTTCACAGGTGAGCACTGAGGAATTTTTTTTTTTTTAAACTAAAACAGATTAAATTTACGAAACTGTCCCTAATTAATTTTCATTTTTAATAATTTGTAATTTTAACCCATTTTTCATTTCTTTTTCCTTCTCGGAAATTTGAGACAGAAACGTTAAAATTGTAAAATCGTTGCAAAAGTGGAAGAAAGAAAAGGTGCGGTGGTGTTGAGTTGTTTTGTTTCCTCTGAAAATTCACAGAACTCGCACACAACAACAAAACACAACGCAAACACTCGCTTCGTATCAGATCCGAATCTCTCGTCGTTTCGCCGATTCGGATCTCCGATTGATCTCCTACTCCGATTCCTCCTCGTCGCAATTGGATCCGATTTGAGCTTCTCGCCGTACATAATCACCGTCAACCATGAACCCGTTCTCTTCAGGAACGCGTTTGAGGTAAGCAATTAAATCCTTGTCTTCTTCGTTTCGTGGCTTGGATTGGATCAACACCGAGTGCACGCACTCACACGCACGAGCATACTCTCGCATCATGTACAATGCGTTGGAATGTTTGTTCTGGTTTTGTAGCTGAGTAGGGCTTTGCATTTCGAAGAATCTTAATTATCTCCGCATTTTTATTTTATTGGAATTTATTGCTCTTTTTAGTTGCACGGTCCCGGTTTTGTGTTTTTCTTTCAGCTGAAATTAGTGATATATATGTTAACAATTCATTTGGTGGCTGGTTTTGTTGTGCTTAGCTTGTCGAGGTTTTCTCTTGGTGTCTGAATCGGATGTTGATATTGAACTCTACATTCTAGTGCTGAACTTGAATAAACATTGCACATCAGAGTTTCATTCGTGTACTATAGAAGCCTTGGAACAATTCATGAACGATATATACTCTGTATATTGTTAGGATAAAGTCTTAAGCGTAGAGATATGTAGCTGCAACATTGTAAACGACTGAGCGTTAGATCTTTGTTTGTTTATTTGTCTCCCTCATCCACAGAATGTCACTGTTGCTGTACCTATTAAGTACTGTAACCCACCAGATGGATAATGGATTTGAATCTGATGTCAATAATCACAAGGTTATTCATGCTGATTTTATTTTGTATATTTCATTATTCCCCCATGTTAAGCAATGAATTTGTAAATTATCATCCTATGGTGTTAGGTACAATATATGACCAGTGTTGAGTCTCCCAATGAATTTAAAGCATTATTTTTACACACTTAGCTGGTTTGGGAGGGGGCAATATGCTATGCCTTAAGCAACGCTGTATTGATTTGGTAATAGTTTGAGTATATCTTGTCCTCTGCGTCTATACGAACTTTGATTCATTGAGATAAAACATGCATTAAAGAATTGGAATTACAAATCTACTGTACTTTCTCATACAATAAAAGATCTTGTTTTCTGTGTGCTCTTGCAACTATGCATGTGTTTTTCTTTTGTATATTTGTGATTGACTTTTTATTTCAAAATTCCTCTTTAAAAAAAAAAAACAAATAAACTTAATTTTCCAGGTTTCTTTCAAGTTGAAGAGATGAGACATGTTTAGTTTCTAGTTTCTTTTTGAGTTTAATTATATCTTTTTCTATCTGGTTCATATCCCTCAATATCTCAACTTGTAGGGACATGATCCGGGCCATCCGAGCTTGCAAGACTGCAGCAGAAGAGCGGGCTGTTGTAAGAAAAGAATGTGCGGCCATTCGTGCAGCAATAAATGAAAATGATAATGACTATAGGCATCGAAATCTGGCTAAGCTAATGTTCATCCACATGCTTGGTTACCCCACTCATTTTGGTCAAATGGAATGCCTCAAGTTGATAGCATCTCCTGGATTTCCGGAGAAGAGAATAGGTTATCTTGGCCTCATGTTGCTTCTTGATGAAAGACAAGAAGTTCTAATGTTGGTCACCAATTCTTTGAAACAGTATCCAGTTCTTAGTCAAAGTTATGATTTATTTTTATATATATTCTGTGATTTTTACATTGCACTTTACAAATGTTTTATTTTGATTTTCTATCTATTGAAACAAAATGAGGAAAGGATATTAATAATGGGTTATAGATTAGCCTTAACTGAATCATAGAGATCTTAATCATACAAATCAGTATATAGTTGGACTTGCTCTTTGTGCTTTAGGAAACATTTGTTCAGCGGAAATGGCACGTGATCTTGCACCAGAGGTTGAGAGATTATTGCAATTTCGAGATCCAAATATTAGGAAGAAGGTGACTTTCATTGTACTCATGTATTGCAGCAGACTTTTTGTCTCTTCTAAAACATTTAAATTCACACATATATTGGTTTTTTATCACATATTGGGGGAGAAAATGTCACGAATTCTTTTATGGTTTTATAATGACAAAGTATCTTCTACATAGTGACAATAAGATAATGCCCATCACATAGGTTAGTGTTGAAAATTCCTCTACTATTCTACAAAAGGTTGCTTATTAGTTATAGTTATTTCCTGTTCTTTTCCTGTAGTTTCTTGTAATAAAGGTTTGCTCTATGAATTGTAAAGAATTATCTTACATGCATCTAGAAATTAGTTTCAACCATTCCAAGATTATGCCTTTGTTCTATACATTTAATTTTTATTTGGCTCAAGGGAGTAATTCTGATGCCCAAATGCAATGGTGCTTTGTGTTGAATGCCCATTTGAAGAATCTGCAATGTTTAATAATAACTAATAATGCTTACCTATGGTGGTCTGTTCAGCATGCTACATCTATTTGACATCATGTAGTAAATTTTGATATGTATAATCTTGCCTGACCATGAAACATAAGTAGTTGAGTCATGAGAAAGCATTGAGTGGTTGTGAAATATCAACTTTCTCATTGATTATTAGTAAAATGTTGGTTGCAACCTTGTTACCTTATTCTTTCAAACATCATCCTAATTAGAATGCAACAATTGGTTCCATAGCCTTGTCTATATTATCACGTCAGTGTTTTGTGATCTCTGAAATCTCATTTTCTAAAATGCAATTAATGTTTGAGTTATTAATTAAACCTTTCATTGCTTGAATGATGAATAATCTTTCGTTGTTCAAAAAAAATTCATTCACAGAAGTTAACTATGCTCACTGTTATATAGGCAGCATTATGCTCTATAAGGATCATAAAGAAAGTTCCAGACCTGGCAGAAAATTTTATCAATCCTGCTACTTCCTTACTTAGGGAGAAACATCACGGGGTTTTGATCACTGGGGTTCAGCTTTGTACAGATCTGTGTAAAATTAGCACTGAGGCTCTTGAACATATTAGAAAGGTAGCTTTTCATCTCTTTTAAATTATATTTTATATCACAAGTGTACTTTCCTACAATTCACTTTGTATATTTATTGAAGATTTGAGGTAAAATTATCTACTATAATCTTAGGATGGCAAAATTTTGTGCTGCAAATCAAATTATCTATATATAAGAGCATTTTTTCTTGGTGTTGGGGAGTTAATAACGTCTATGAATTCTTGAGAATGTTACAACGTACAAGAAATTTAATGAAGTTATAATCTGGAATATGGGATTTGTTGGGTAGTTAATTTGAAATTTCCTTGCAATATTGCAATTGCTTTTTTCATGAGCTAGTACATGGTTTTTGTCATGCTTTCAATATATGGCATACTTTTTGTAAGGTCACAACGCCACATGTTAGTTTTTTTAAGCTAGTCTGTTGGGTAGAAATAGTATATACGTATCTGAACTGTAAAGGCAGCATATTAATAAGGTTCATACATGTAATTTTTTGGTGTCAAAGTAAACCTCTGGTTGCATTTTTGTATGAAGAACTCTGCAAATCGAGCCATGATTTGGACAGCTTTTATAGTAATGAAACATTTTGTGAACAATTATAACAGAAATGCACAGATGGTTTGGTCAGAACTCTTAAGGATCTAGCGAATAGTCCATATTCACCAGAGTATGATATTGCTGGTATCACAGACCCATTTCTCCACATCAGATTGCTTAAACTTTTACGTGTTCTGGGTGAAGGTGATGCTGATGCAAGTGACAGCATGAATGACATACTTGCCCAGGTCAGTTGTGTGTTTATGGTGAATTTTATGATATGATATTCTTGTAGAGCTCATTAGTCATGCTTTGATGCTTGTGTTATTTTCAATTTGTGCATAGCTCTGTCTATGAAATTGTATGTTGAACACCATTTAAAATATCTTGTTCACTTACATATGATTTGATTAAGGCAGTTGAATAGTAGTATTTAGTGAATTCCTTGCATAAGAAAGCACTCTGCAGTTCATATATTTTAATATATCCAAGAGTTAACTATGTTTAAGTACAATAAAGTGCAGTAAATACAATTCACTAAATGCTGATTGAATCTGAAAAATCATGTAAACTCCTTTACGAAATGTTATGGAAATGCCTGTTTTTAACAAAGGCAGACCTTGGTACAAATAATATGGAAGTTGTAAGAAGTATTGAAAGGATTTACTTGAGAAATTTCTTTTATAGAATAAAATTGTATTCGAGATAAGAGGAAAAGTATAACTATGGGTAGGATACAATATCCTCCAAGTAGAAACAAATTGGACACATGAAGGAACAAAAAAAATTCAAGTATTGCAGCACATCTGAAATAGTAACTCCCTTGAAACTACCATAACCCTGCAAGGGAAGTTCCAAAGAGAATCAATGAACATATTACAAAGTGGTTCGAGACTAACTCAATTCTACAAAACTAGATTGTAATGTGGGGTTTACAATCACTTATATAATATAATTTCACTATATCTTTAATTGACATGAGATTTTTAACACATCCCCTCATTATTAGGAGTAGACTTCTTGAGTATTAGACTAGATATTTGTGGTCGATTTAATAGAGGCTCAATGGTGGATGACATGAAAGGCCCAACAATCAATGCAAGGATACTCTGACACCGTGGTACAAAATAGTTTAGGTCGAACTCAACCCTATAAAATTGACTTGTAAGGTGAAGTTTGCACGTACTTATATACTATAATTTAGCCATGTTTCTATCAATTTTAACTTATAAGTCGATTTTGTAAAGTTGAGTTATTTGGTATAAACGTGCTTTCTAAAATGGTATTAGGGCCAATAATAGATCCATTAAGCCCAGTAATGTTGGAGTCTATTGGGAAAAACCAAAGTCTCACATTGACTAAAGATAGTGCCAAAATACAGTATAGAAGGGGCATTCCTCACATTATATGCCAATTTTGTAGAGTTGAATTAGGCTTAAATTTACTTTTTAAGAGTGCATAATATTATAACACAACTAATGCAGGGGTGTGGAGTTAATGATGCAAAAATTATGCTCCAGCTTAATGCATCAAAGGACTATCTTGATGTAATTTAGATGACATCAAACATTAATTGTGATTTTGGATGTTGGTGTGTTTGGTTTTGCACTAATGTACAGTTACTTTGTAGAATATGCTCAAAGTTGAAGATTTGTTTTAAAATATTTTTATTTTTTCTTGTGTGCATGTGCATATATGCCAATGTCAGTAAGGGGGAGAGGGGTTTGGTATTATAAACAGCTGTTGAAATGGGAGCTCATTGAGAAGCTGGCTTTTCTTCTATCTTCAAATTTAGCTGTATATTTCTATCTAATTCTTTGAGGGATTATAATTTGGATGAAAGATGAGAAAGGATGGGTTTAATAATTGTGTAACATATAAGATGTATGTTTGGCCAGGAACTAGTATTTATGCTATTCATATTTTGAGAAAATCAAGGGAATAAAAAAGAAGAAGAAATTGATTCCTATTCCAATCAAATTCTTCTTAAAATTTCTATTTCGATGAACTTTGTTTGAGTGCTCCAGTTAACTGGCCAAGCTATGTTGTTTAATCAGTTGAGTTATTAACCACTTGTTCCAGTAATCAAGAGTTAGGTAATTGGTTTCACTAATCTCAGGTTTCCTTTGCTGTTTAACAAATCAATATTATGTGGGTAAATGATTTTTTTATTTAATATTTATTATTGTTGGTCGACATCTCTTCCAAAATTTAAGGTTGATAATTTTACACATGTTGCCTGCTTTAGGTCGCAACGAAGACCGAGTCAAATAAAGTAGCAGGGAATGCCATTTTATATGAATGTGTTCAAACAATAATGAGCATTGAAGATAATGGTGGCTTACGTGTACTAGCTATTAATATCCTGGGAAGATTCTTGTCAAACCGTGACAACAATATCAGGTTTATTTCTGGTCATTGCTTTTCTTTTGTAAGTAGCTGAATTAAAACCTACTAACACATTGAGTGTTCAAATTGCAAGTTTCAGTATAATAGCTAAAAGAAACACAAAATAAAGCGCCGGAATAGGTCTAATATGTCTCCAACTATGGAATAATATTTCGTTTCAGTTCAATGGAATAACTCACAAATATTGGAAGTGCTTTTGATTAGTAGGATTTTTATCTCTTTTCACCTTTAAACATTCTCCTGTTATGCCCCAACTTACAATTATAACACTCATAGAAAGCAACCTGGAACTGTCTATTTTTCAGTGTCAGAATATTCAGATTGTGCCAGATTCATCCAAACCAGTATTTTGCTTGATATAAAGTGGATATTATAACAGTTTAATGATAGTGCTTGTGAGCTTATAACTTGAAAGAGAACATCTTGGATTTTATTAAGTGGTATAGAAATTATCTCAGTTATCTTTTACTGATTATTATGACATGTTTCCCGCTTTTCCTAATACCTTTTTATAGGAGAATTACCTACTGGATGTGCAATTGTTTGTGTCTGTGTGTGAGAGAGAGAGAGTCTTCAGTGGATGACAAAAATGTCTAAATTATTGGCATAATCTGGTGGATGTAGTCTCCTATAATTCTGTGATTGATGGATGACGTATACAAAAATAATTATGATTTAAGAAAGATTTAATATGTGATTGATGGATGTTGCTTCTTGGGTTGAAATATGGTAAACTGGAACCAATCAATCATTTGAGCAATCTAATTATTGTCTTACCAATTTAACACATTTAAGAAACTTAATGAATGGCCAATATGTTTAGAATTAAAAAGGTGGTATAGTTTAGTGATTATTTTTGTGAGATTTTTAAAGTAGTAGTTAATTCATGTTTATTCACAATCAGAAAATGACATTTTTTTAAAGTAAATATTTTTACAATAACCTAGTCTAAAATATAACTTTATTTCTGATGGGACGAAATCTGTTTATGCCAAGTGAAAAAGTTAGTTAAAACTACACTTTTTACAAAATACAAATTTAATCAATCCAACTGTTGAATCTTGTTATATTTTCTTAACGATCATGTATATCAAATTTCACATAATTTAAATTTTTATGAATATGTTATCTTATAACGAATATTTTCATGTATTTAAATATCATGTTATACATTGAAATCAAATCATATAAAAGAGCTTATAAATAATGTTGATATTGTATAACGTTTTGTATATATGCTCTAATAGATTAAATTTGCATTCTATAAAAAGTTATTGAATGCGTAACTTGATTAACTTTTACATGGTGTAAACGGATCCTAATCTATTTCTGATTACATCCTGATTATTTGAAAAGCTGTAACAAAAAAAAAGGATTATTTTACAAAAGAAGTGGTTCTTTGATTGAAAAAGCTTTTAAACAAATGCGACCTAAAAAAAATGGGATCCCAAATATATGGACAGCATTTGCTTGATTATAACAAAGACTAGGTTTGTGGTTGAATTAAATTTGAGTAGATGATACCTGCTGTTAGGTACTTGGCTGTATTCTGAAATTTATGTAGTTTGAATTGCATGAGTGTTCTTCAAGCTCTATATGGATTCCATCTGTCTGTTTTTATTTTTTATTTTTTCGAGTTTAATTATTGAAGTGAATCTTACTCTTCTACATTCTTCCTTCAGATATGTGGCATTAAACATGTTAATGAAGGCTGTAACAGCTGATGGTCAGGCAGTACAGAGGCACCGTGCAACAATTTTAGAATGTGTGAAGGTATTAAATTTGTCTTCTTACTTGCCTACTTAGTGACAAAAATGAGCTGTCTTACAATCCAAGGAGTTGATCACTTGACTCTTCACTTCAGGATTCAGATGCTTCAATTCGGAAAAGAGCTCTTGAACTTGTTTATGTTTTGGTGAATGATACTAATGTGAAGCCCTTGGCAAAAGAGCTTATAGATTATCTGGAAGTCAGTGATCATGATTTCAGAGCTGACCTTACTGCCAAAATTTGCTCAATTGTTGCAAAGTGAGTCATAAGATGCTGAATGATATTCTTTTTTCAGCATACTTCATTTGTTTTTATAATTTTCTTTTTCGTCTTTTGGGCAAGGAGAGAAGAGAAGGATGCTAACTGTGTGAAATTTATTTCTTCCTTTTTCTGTATTCAGTAATTTGTGGATCACTTACGATATTCCATCATTATAAGATGTACAACTGTCATGTTTGTAGTAGTGAACATGTTTCCTATGTTGGTTATGTAATCTTTACATTTTGGATCTTTCTGTTCTTTCTTCCCCTCTCCTCTTTGGTAAAATAAAAAGGAAGTCATATGGCCCATTTTGCATTGGTCCTTGTCTTTATTACCCCCTGTCAATTTAGAACTAATTAGAGATTTTCTTTAAATTGCACACAAAAATATATTTCGTTGACCCCCATTTATTTTTTAATGCTTCAGGTTTTCCCCAGAGAAGATCTGGTACATTGATCAGATGCTCAAGGTTCTGTCTGAGGTAATAAAGATAAGAGACAAGCTTTTGTAGTGAATTAAAACTTAAAGGCATAAATTCCAAAGCATGCTAGCTTTTTAGGCTATCCATGGCAAGGGATGTGTGCTTGCTTACATGTAGATTTAATTCCTCTAAAGTTAAAAGTAATTCAGTAGAGAGAAACGTGAGACATCTCAACTATAGATGACTAAATTAAGGGAGTAGATTCAAATCCGTGATTATAAATGTGCATGTAATATCAATTGTTCTCATCTATGAATAAAAATTCCTTGGCTTTTCTTCTAAAGTGAACTCCTCTCTTTAGAGGAGCAAAATTTTTGTATGTGAATATGATAGTTCATTTGCTTCTCATTTGGTATGCAACATTCTATAAAATCATCCCGATGCTTAAAACCAACTCTAAGGATAATGTTATCTTTTCCAAACTTATTATTGTCATTTTATGAATTGGCGGTTCAGGTATCAATTTTAAAAATCTGCTATGTATATACAATTTCATTCCATCAATCTGTCAGTCAGAATTGTGTGTTGGTCACAAAGTTCTAGGTGTGGAAACAACCTATGTGCTCACAGGGGTGTGGCTACGTTTTACCCTCAGATGCCCCTGAATGGTGGGAGCTTTGTGTTTTGGGCTGTCCTTTTATTTGTGATTGTTATTTTGGTGCTAGCTGTCTTGCACATTGAGCCATCAATTTAGTTATGTTTTCATATTGGGTGCATGTAATGATCTCTATTTTATGTTAGTAGGCTGGAAATTTTGTAAAAGATGAAGTATGGTATGCCTTAATTGTTGTGATAACCAATGCTTCTGAGCTTCATGGATATACAGTAAGGGCGTTATACAGAGCATTTCAAACGTCGGCCGAACAGGTGCTCAGTTCTGCATTGACAAAATCGAGGCATACTATTCATTTTCTTTTGATGTCATTCACATAACATTACCTAATACTTTTCATCAGGAGACACTAGTTCGAGTTACAGTGTGGTGCATTGGGGAGTATGGTGACATGTTAGTCAATAATGTTGGAATGCTTGACATAGAAGATCCAATAACAGTGAGTGCTTCTGCCTGAATAGTTTACACACTTATCTAACTGTTGCTTCAGGTTGCATGGATATGATGTATCACTTGACCAAAGCAATAATTTAGCATGTTTATATATGTATTGGTCTGAACCTTCTAGTAGAAGATATTTTAACACTGCCTTAGTCTACTTACTTTCATTGTCTCTTTTGTAGTTTTATTATTTTTCTTTATTGTAAGGATGGGGGGAGTGTGGGGTTTGGTTTACAGTTTGATTGGTATATTTAACATGCTCTCTGCTAGAAATTGCTCCAAGTTATTTGCTAATTCAATGAAATCTGGGCATCATATGTTGGTGAACCATAAATATTAGGATTACGACTTACCATTTTCATTTTAATTCTTAATGCATAATTGGATTTTTTATACAGAAGAATGAGTTTATATTCCTGCCCAATTTTTTTTATTATTATTATTTTTGGTGAGAGTTGCGGTTTTATTTAACAGTGATTAGACTACTAACAGTTGTTGCCTAGATCTGCGTGTATGTAGGTAGCACATACAAAATTTAAAATAGAATTCTTTCATTGCATCCACTATTTAAAAAATTATTAATTAGTTTTTTATCCTTCAATTTTTCATGCTTCCAGGTGACTGAGTCTGATGCAGTTGATGTTGTAGAGATTGCTATAAATCGCCATGCGTCAGATCTGACCACAAAAGCAATGGCTTTGGTTGCATTACTAAAGCTCTCTTCACGTTTCCCTTCATGTTCAGAGTATGATCTGTTTTTCAAATTGACAGCATACCTTAAATTGGAGTTTACCAAGAATTAATTCACCCAAAAGCTAAAGTTGTTAGAGGAAACCTCTTGGATGGTTTTGTATCTAACAGGCTCAATCACACTAGAACCCTTTGAGCTCTATCTTTTGGCACCTTACTTTGTGCTGAAATTCAACATTTATTTAGAATAATGGAGGTGGAAAGGATTGAACCAATGACCAATTGATCATAGAGGCTTTAACACCACATCAAGAACCAACTCTACCAAAAAGTTTAAACTGTTAGGTGAAGATTCATGAATGGTTTTGTTTATCTAATAGTGTTGTTTCTTCTTTTCTTGCCTTTGTATTTAAGAGGAATTAGGAATATTATATTCCAGTTGAAATTCACCAGACCAGGTTCAAAGTAGTTTTAAAATGTTTAGTTCATATGCTTGCAATTTGACCTGAGAGAAATCAGGGGAACTTTTTCCTTCCATTGTTATCCTACCTTATTACTCCCAATGCCTAAGACCCATGCACCCAATGCAAGTTTATTTCCTCTTATATTTTGTATATTTAGCATGGAAATTTTATTCTGTTTTGAATTTGGATATAGGAGGATCAGAGAAATTATTGTTCAGTTCAAAGGGAGCTTTGTGCTAGAATTGCAGCAGAGAGCTATTGAATTCAATTCGATTATTGCGAAGCATCAAAATATTAGGTAAGGTTGATTAAGTTGCTTATTATATTATTATGTCAATAGTATGGAATTCTGCCATACTTTCATAAGAAAATGTCACTGTGCAGGTCTACGCTTGTAGAAAGGATGCCAATTTTGGATGAAGCAACTTTCATTGGTAGGAGGACTGGGTCTCTGCCAGGTGCAGCTTCAACTCCAGCAGCACCTTCAGTCAGTCTACCAAATGGTGTATCCAAACCTGTTGCTCCTCTTGTAGATCTACTCGATCTAAGTTCAGATGATGCTCCGGCACCTAGCTCTTCTGGTGGAGATTTTCTTCAGGACCTGCTGGGTGTTGATATTTCACCAGCGCAACAATCTGGTTAGTATTGTTGTGTGTATCTTATGAATTATTATGGTGCCTGAAAAACAATATTTTTTGTATTTAATAATTACCATATTTATTTATGCATCTTTTGCTTTTCAGCCATCCAACATAGTTGACATTGTTTTGTGAGACCTTGTTTAGTTTTTGAGCCACTTGATCCATAAGGAAAACCATTATGAAGAACCTGTCTCTAAATGGGTTTATTGAAAATTATTTTTTGATAAAACGTAATGACATTGTTTAATCTGGGTAACCTACCCTACCTAAAGGGATAAGGCTTTGGTGGTGGTGATTGTTATTTGGAATTGTTAAAGAAACATGCAAACTTCTTCATTTAGCTTATTCTGAATACTTAATAATTCCATCAAAGATATTTGTATCATGTCTGACTTTTATTTGCATTTTTAGGAGCTGGCCAAGCTTCAAAAAGTGGCAACGATGTTCTTTTGGATCTTTTGTCTATTGGATCGCCTTCTGTCCAAACCAGCTCATCTTCAATAGACATCTTATCCTCCAATTCCAGTAACAAAGCACCAGTTTCACCATTGGATGATCTCTCGTCTGTTTCACTTTCTTCAAAACCAACTTCGAATGCTGTGCCTATGATGGATTTATTGGATGGTTTTGCCCCCAGCCCACCAACAGGTTGTTAATTTGTTTAGCATTTGGGCAATATCATTGCATGATATAGTCATAGTACTGACTCCTTGTCCTTTCTTATCTTGAATAGAAAACAATGGACCAGTTTATCCATCTATAACTGCATTTGAGAGCAACTCCTTGAGTTTGACATTCAATTTCTCAAAACAACCAGGAAACCCACAAACAACAGTTATCCAGGCTACTTTTACGAATTTGACCTCTAATACATTTACAGATTTTGTTTTCCAGGCAGCAGTTCCAAAGGTATGCCAATCAATATGCTATTGAGCTTTGCGTGCAGTGCTAAGATCTTCATCATCATTGTAATTATAAAGATATAATTTGAATTTACTGCTTTTAAGATTGTGAAAAATGATAAAGAAAATTTTATGAATGTGCTTGACTATCAATTACACTCAGCAGATTGATTTATTTATAACAAGAAGGATTATAGAGATAATAAATAACAACTATTATTTTCAATCGAACATTTAAATGTCACAAATTCCTAAGGAACATTGAACTATGCTATACACTAACTGAACTACTTGGAAAGATAATAAACATTAAATGATCCTATTTCTGACACTCCCTCAAACTGGTTAATAGATGTTTTCCATTCCCAGCTTTCATATTATTCTTTAAAAAATTCCACAATCCATAAGCCTCTGTTCAGATACAAGGAAGGAAAGTGTGATGAATGAAAATGAAAGAAAAGGAAAGAAAAAGAGAGATAAAATAAAATGGAATGTGTTGTTGTTCATTAAGAAGAAAATTACATGAAAAGAAAGAAAGTTGTTATTTTCAAAAATAATAAATAAATAAGTAAAATTATGTAATTGTATAATTACAAAGTTAACCATATATTTATTATGGAGACAGATGTGAGAGGGGTGATTATAGAAAATACCACTTTATGTTACTCCTTCCATGTTTTTCTCCTCATATGAGAGGAAAGTAAAACATGTGTGACCAAGTGGAAAGTGACATTTGTTGTCACTTTCTTTCCTAACTAATAAGGGAAATGTTTTATTTCTACTCATTTTCCTAGTCACATTTTGTTCTACACTTGCCCTTTGAATGAATGAACCATAAGTGAGAATATATGGAAGTTGACCTTGTGAAGGTGCATATGGAGTACAAATCAAACCATTGTGTAGCTTTTCTCCGATAAAATGCCTATCAATTTCAATTATTTTGTTCAATCATGTTTGAATATAGTTAAGAGAGTAAAGAGAGTTAAAAGAAGATTTATAATTCAGTTCCACTCTATGATTTCATATATATATATATATATATATATATATATATATATATATATATATATATAGGTTTACAACATTTAGAACAACAACTACTAACCACTACCTAATAATAATTCTAACACTCCCCCTCAAGCTGGAGCATACAAATTGTATGTGCCAAGCTTGGAACAAATAAATTCAATTCGAGGTCCTCTTAAAGACTTTGTCAACACATCTACAAGTTGATCATTGGACCTGACAAATTCAATGCAAATTTCTTTAGACAACAATTTTTCACAAATAAAATGACAATCAAGTTCTATATGTTTGGTCCTCTCATGGAACACCGGATTAGAGGCAATGTGGAGAGCTGCTTGATTGTCACAATACATCTTCATCTGTTGGATCTCACAAAACTTCAGTTCTTGAAGGAATTGTTTCACCCACACTAGTTCACAAGTGAGATATGTCATTGTTCAATATTCAGTTTCAGCACTAGACCGGACCACTACATTTTGTTTCTTGTTTTTCCATGAAATAATATTGCCTCCAATGAGAACACAATATCCTGTAGTGGAGCGTCTGTCCATAGGGCAGCCCAATCAGCATCACAATACCCAAATATTTGGGGACACCCTTTATCTTCATACAACAAACCTTGTCCTGGAGTCTTTTTGAGATATTTTAGGATGTGAACGACAACATTCCAATGATCAGTATGCAAATTTTGCATAAACTGGCTGACAACTCCAATGGCAAAAGATAGGTCAGGTCTGGTAATGGTGAGATAAATGAGTTTTCCAATAAGTCTTCTATATCTCTCAGGATTAGAGAGTGGTTCACCTGATCCGCCATTAATTTCTGATTTGGATCCATAGGGCTGTTTACTGGTCTACAATCAATCATGCCTGTTTCTTTCAAGATATCTAAAGCATACATTCTTTGGGAGACTACGATGCCTTCTTTTGATTGAGCCACTTCAATCCCTAGAAAGTATTTGAGACAACCAAGATCCTTAGTTTGGAAGTGATTGCATAAATGTTTCTTTAGCAGAGAAATTTTATCAACATCATCCCCTGTAATGACTATATCGTCCACATATACAATTAAATAAACACATTTTCCTGAAGCAGTATAATAAAAAACAGAATGATCTGTTTCACTTCGTTTTAGTCCAAAAATTTGAACAATGTGACTAAATTTTTCAAACCAAGCATGTGGAGATTGTTTGAGACCATAGAGAGAACGATGCAACTTACAAACCAAACTAGACTCCCCTGAGCAACAAAACTAGGAGGTTGCTCCATGTAAATTTCCTCCTCAAGATCATCATGCAAGAAAGCATTCTTGATATCTAACTGATGAAGAGGCCAATGACGGATAGCTGCCACAGCAAAGAAAAGTCGAACAGTAGTCATTTTGGCCACAGGAGAAAAAGTATCACTGTAATCAAGGCCATAGATATGAGTGTAACCTTTTGCTATTAATCTAGCTTTGAGTCGATCAACTTCACCTTTTGGTCCAACTTTAATGGCATAGACCCAATGACAACCAACAGTCTTCTTCCCAGGTGGGAGAGGAACTAAGTTCCATGTACCATTGTGCTCAAGAGCCTGCATTTCATCAATCATGGCTTGTCACCATCCAGGATGATCAAGTGCCTCTTTCACATTTTTTGGACTAGTAATAGTGGATACAGAAGAAACAAAAGAAAAATAGGAAGGAGACAATCTATGGTAGCTAAGAAAATTGTAAATGGGATGTGGATTACGAGTAGAGCGACTACCTTTGCGAATGACAATGGGCCAACTTGAGTCATCATTATCAGGAATCGTGCTGAGGAAGACTCATCTTGGGACATGGGACTAATTATTTGGCTCCTGTGTTGATAGGTAATAAGAGGCAGTGATGAGGATTTCGGTGTATTTTGTGTGGAATTTTGGGTGTCAGGAGGAGGAAGTACAAATGGCTCCACTAAGAGTATAGGTAGGACATTTTGGACCGAACTAATATCCTGCATTGAAGAAGGGAAGAACGGTGTTGATTAAAAAAGAGTGACATTAGCAGACATGTACTCTTGGTTTCAGGAGAATAACATCGATATCCTTTTTGAAGACGATAATATCCCAAGAAGACACATTTGATGGCTTTAGCTGATAGTTTATCTAAACCTGGAGACATATCATGAACAAAACATACGCAACCAAATGCACGAGGAGAAACTTGAAAAAGTGGCTCCTTTGGCAATAGAATAGAGTGTGAAACTTTATTGTCAAGAGAAGAAGATGACATTCTGTTAATGAGAAAACATGCAGTAAGAATAACATCTTCCCAATGATGAACAAGCATATTTGCACCAAGTAATAAGGTATGAGCAGTTTCAACCAAATGTCTATTTTTTCATTCTGCTATACCATTTTGCTGTGGTGTGTGAGGACAAGTAGACTGGTGTAAAATGCCTTGAGAACTTAAGAGAGTGGAGAAATCAGTAGAAAAGTATTCTTTGGCATTATCACTTCGCAAAACTTTGATTACTTTTTCAAATTGATTTTTGATTTCATTAAGAAAATACTTAAAGATAGGTAATAATTCAGAACGGTCTTTCGTTAGATAAATCAAAGTACACCTAGAAAACTCATAAATGAAGGTAACAAAATATCTATAGCCAAAGGATGAGACACGACTAGGACTCCAAATATCAGAATGAACAAGAGAAAAGACAGAGTCACATCTAGATTCAGAACGTTTAGGAAAAGAGGACCTAGTATGTTTCCCTAGTTGACATGATTCACATTCAAAATCTTGAAGAGTATGAAGTTCAGGAACCATATTTTTTTAATCTTGACAAGTGAGGGTGCCCTAAACGTTCGTGTAATAGTTTTGGAGACAAGGATGCAACACAAGATACAGATGATTTAGTCCCAAGGTAATATAAGCCTCCAGATTTATGTTCTTCGCCAATTTGTCGACCCGTACCACATTCCTATATAACAAAAGAGTTGGCATTAAAGGTTACTGAACAATTCAATAATTTGGTTAATTGACTTAGGGAAATGAGACTGAAGGGACATGAAGGAACAAAAAGAACAGATTTTAAGTTTAAAGACGGAGAAATAGAGACTTGACCAGTTTCTTTAGAGGCTACTTTAGATCCGTTGGCTAAGGTTATGAGATGAGAAGTTTTACGAAATGGGAGAGAAGAGAACAAAGAGATATTACCAGACATGTGATCAGAAGCATCTAAGTCAATAATCCATGGATTGACTTTCCACAGATTGTGAAATGCAAGCTTTTGATGAATTTGGGGTTGTTGATGACTGTGCTAAATTACTGGATTTCAACCTCAAATATTCTTGATATTCTTTGTGAGAGAACTTGGGTTCAACCATTTCAGATTTGGAAAAATTGACAGTTTTGTCAGGAAAACTGTGCAAAGGGTATTAATTTTCCAGTGTATGACCCATTCTCTTGCAATGAGTGCACTGAGGACGTCCTCTACCTCCACATCCTCCTCTAGTGCCGCGACTTCCTCTTCCACGAGTAGAAATCATAGCAGAAGATTCAACAAGTTCTTGATTATTTTTTCCTCTGAGAGTTGGAACACGAAGCAGTCTTGTAGTCAAACTTTCCATAGAAGGAACTTCTTGTCTAGTTAAAATTTGATCTCTAACATGATCAAATTTTGAACTCATAGGCCGGAGAGTCATAACCATATAGAATTTATCCAACTTTTGCTTTATCTCCTCTAACGAATCCACCTCTAGGAACATCTTTAATTCTTCAACTGCTGATTGAGCTTCAACAATAAAGGTCATCATATCTTTATCCACTTGCTTGAGAGAGACTAATCGATTAACGGAATCATAGAGACGTTGCATATCATTAGCGAAGATATTCTGAGCCTTTTTCCAGAAAGAGTTACATGTTTTGAAGGATCTGAGAGTGTTCAAAATATTTGGTTCTACTGATTGCCACAATAGAGCACAAAGTTGATAATCAAGTTTTTTTCATTGTTGAGCCTGATCTTCTGGTATCTTACTTCTGTCTTCTTCTAGATGATCGTGAAACCTTTGTCTAAGGAACCACACTGAAGAGGACCAAGACATGTAATTTTTTCCATTTAATTTCTCAACAATTATAGTGGGAGTTTCGAAAAAGGAGGTTGTGGGCCCTGATGACATATTTAAAATAATGTAGATGTAAGATGGAGACAATGGAACCTGTAAGAAGGAGAACATCCAAGATAGAATTAGATAGAGGGAAGTATCAATTTTTACTTTGCAAGAAAACTGACGAATGGCAGCAGTGAACAATTGTAGCGGAACGGAGGTCAGAAGGTTACTAGAAGATGGTCGAAAAGTCGTCGAACGGCAGCAAAAAGTGACTGGACGGGGGGTTGACGGTTGCCGGAAAGTTGTTGGAAAGTAACCAGAAAGTGGCCGGAAAAGTGATTGGACGGTGGCCGGAAAGACAGAGCAAGACTAACCTGCTCTGATACCAAGTTAAGAGAGTTAAAAGAAGATTTATAATTCAGTGGAATACCACTCTCTACTCTATGATCTCATATATATAGGATTACAGCATTTAAAACAACAACTACCAACCACCAACTACTAACTACTAACCATTACCTAATAATAATTCTAACAAATATGATTATGAGCTACGTTGATTGCTTACTTGTTATTACAGTAGAGCTTCATAAGTCCATTAGTTTTAATTCTTCAAGTCTTCTAAGATGATTATCAGTCTAAACCATTCACAAATACCTTGTCCCATAGTTCGGAATTCAGCTTCCTTAATAGATTGACCAACAACTTATAGCATTTTGTTTTTTACTTCCAAGTTACTAAATTTTCTTCCAAGAAAGTTGAAATATCAATTAGTGTATCTCTTATCATTTGTTGACCCTAAAAAACTTTTGTATAAAATTCCTCTTCCTAGTATGCCCTTAAGGTATTGTAAAATTATATATGTGGCCTGTAAGAAGACCTCTCTTGTTCAATGCATAAATTGGCCAACCAAAGTTAAAAACAAATGCAATATTTGAGCCTTGTATGAGAAAAGTTTAGTATTTTTCAAACTAGACATTTATGCATCTCCTTATTAACTGCTACACTATCATCTACATTACCAATTTAATGTTTTAATACAAGTTTCATACCTATCTCTCCTTTGGCAAATCAATGACATATTCTGTAGAGATGTGAAAATACTTTTTTTGGAGTAGGCCACTTTAATCCCCATAAAGTATTTTAATCTCCCAAGATTTTTTATCTTAAAAACTTCTATGCAACATGTTGATTCAAAAGTTTTTCCTTCTAATCATTAACAATAATTTCATCTACATATACTAACAAGACAGTCACTCCCCTTTAGTATGAGTGTTTGATGAGTTAATTTATTCCTCAAGCTCCCCATGCAACAAAACATATCCTTCACATCAAATTGTTTTAATTCCTAACCATATTTGCATCAACAGATAATATTACCCAAATTGTATTTATCTTTGCAATTCGAGCAGAGATCCTTTAGTAATTTATCCCATGGGTTTGAGTGAAACCCTTTGTGGCCATTCTCACCATGCATCTCTCAATCGACCCATTTACCTAATACTTTATTGTATACACCCATTTACAACCAACTGACTTCTTTCCTTTTGACAAAGAAACCAACTCCCATGTTTTGTTCTATGCCAATGCTTCCATTTTGATATCCATAGCTTGCTTCCAATTTTTATCAGATAATGCCTCAAAAGCATTAGTGTGAATTGAGATAGAGCTTAGGCTTGCAAGAAACGTTTTAGGGTTGGATGAAAATTTTTGAGTCATCATTTGAGAGCGAATATAATGTCTTTTGGTGCATTTGCTGAAGGAAATTGGAAGATATGGATCATCTTTAAATGATTGGGTTTCTGTTTCGTTTTGAATGATTATTTCATTTTTATCATTATCCTGTAAGATAAGAATATTTTAATTATTTTTAAAACAAGAATTTCAGAATTTGTTACCTAATGTGAAGGAGTTGGATTGAGCTCTTGACCATGTGTCCATCCAAGAGTGATCTTTTGTCTTCTCTCATACACATTTTGTTTTTTCAAATCTTTTATCAACTTTAGGCTCAATTTTAGTTGACGAGGGAGGCAAAAATGTTTGTTTTGACTCAACCGCTGGAATGGTAAACACAAGGCTAGGAAGAACAAGAGTTTCAAATTAAGTTTTCTTATCTTCCCGTAAATTCTCCCCTTAAATTTGTTTGAGAAAACTTGATCTTTATGAAAAGTTACATTCCAAGATACAATTTTTTAGGAGGATGGTAACACTTATATTATATCTCTTGAGTAAAGGAGTAGCCAACAAAAACAAGTTTTTAGGACTCTTGAATTCCATGATTCTAGAGGGTAACCTATTAATAAGATATGGTGATGTGAGAACCCAAAATATTTTGGAATATCTTTTTAGACCAAAAAATAGTCTGTAGTTTGATCCAAGAGATGCCCATTTTTTCTTTCAACAATCTTGTTTTGTTGAGGTGTTTTAACAAGAGGATTCATGAATTATGCCCTCTTTTGGAAAATGGTATGATGACTTAATTAAAAGGGTTAAACATGTTTCTGTTCCTTGTACTTTTTATGAAAATTAGTTTCAGTCCTTATATTTTAAAAATTAACAATTTAGTCCTCAAAATTTAAAAAGTGTGAATTTGATCCTTTAATAAACTTTATAACAGTAAAAATTGTTATTAAATATCAAATTTAGGTATAAAGAATGATTAAAATCACATTTAGTTATTTTATCAACTCTTTAAGATAAAAAATTCATAACTAAGTGTTCAATTTAGGTATAAAAAAAGGACTTCCAAAGTTAAAAGACTGAATTGATTAGTTTGAAAATATAAGGATGAAAGACAAATTTATGGAAAAATCCAGGGAGCAAAAGCATACCTTTTCCTAGTTAAAACATTATTTGCCATCATCAGACCTATTATGTCTCTTTATGGAAACACCTAAGTGATTTTTAATCATGGAGAAAAGAAAAATGGAAAACTGTAAAAGTGTTTTTCCATATTTCAGAAATGTGTGAATAGATGACATAAATAGCCTTTAGGGTACAATAAATCAGGATCCCAATTAGGGATAGTAAATATTCAATGCTACCGAATCGGAAAACAATAATAAACTGCCATATATAATCAGGGATATTACTCCCTTAATTTTAGCTGTCCAATAAATTAGAATATTTGTTCCGCTGATTTAGGAAACAAAACTTAATTTAGACTTGTGTTTAAGAAGAAAAGTCTAAGTAACTTGAGTACAATCATCAATGAAGATTAGAAACCATTTGTTTTCTCGGACACGTGGAACAAGGGGCAGAGCTCAACACAGTATGGATGAGAGAGAAGGGAGATGTGCTTCTCTTGTTACTTAATCAAAATGGTGTACGCTTGTGTTTTGCAATGTCACCCACATCACATTGAATTTAACATTTAACTCAGAACAATGATGGAAACATAACCTTGGTTGTTTTAAAAGAAGAATGTTATAATCGGCAATGAAAAAGGAAAATATTTTCTCATTTTAACAATATAGACTCTAAATGGGGTGAGTGAAACAGATGAGCTTTTTTCTGTGACAAACAAACAAGGCTCCTCAACATGGCAAAGGTCTGACCTTCTCCAGAAGGTCTAATTTTCTTCCCCAAATCCTATTGTGAAAAATCACCACGATACAAGATAGGTCTTTTGTAAGTTTTTACATGGAAACAAGGTTTGGGATAACTTCGGGACATGAAGAACATATTTTAAGATAATGATATTAGCTATTTCAATATATTTCTATGCCAACTACTGCTAAAAGTGTGTCATTTGCAGTGGCAATTCTTTTATAGCTAGGACAAATAGAATCTGTCCAGGAAAATTTGGATGAGGGGATCGAAAATGGTCTTGGCTCTGGAATCAAGTATCCAAAAAGATGGGAAATGTGTTTTTTAGACATTAAATCAAGATGAAAGTGAAAGCGTACCTGAATACACCAAATTATAGATACATCGACTTTTCATAATTATGAAAAAATCTCTTACCGTTCCAACTTTTGTAGTTGAAAAATCACTTATCCACCATGAGCAGTAAATTATCCAAATAGGGGTTAAAAAAACTTAATCAAAGAAGACTCAGTAAAAACATCCCAAAGATTTACCAGAAAGCCTGACAGTTTGTGGAAAATTTGTCAGAAAACTTGCTGGAATTTTGTCAGTGACCGGAAAAGTCACGAGAAAGTCATTACAGTTGCTGGAAAACTAGCAGAAATTCGGATAGTTGTTGGAAAAATGTTTTCATTTTTTATTTCAATTCCATAATTTCTTTCATTTTTAGTCACCAAAAGCAAAGCCCCTTAGATCGGGTGCTCTCATTCCATGTGTTGTTATTAGAAAGTAAATTTTGTGAATGTGCTAGAGTATCCTATCCACTCATTAAATTGATTTAATTTATAATACGAACTATTATAAAGATAATAAATAACAGAACAATTAAAATATTAGCATTTCCTAAGGACCATTGAACTATGCTAAACACTAATTGAAGTACTTGAAAAGATAATTAACATTAAATGCTCTTATTTCCAACAAACTATCACGGTGTTTATTATAGTGGAAATTCGAAGTTCCATGCTGGCTGTTTGTTTCTCTCAATAGATGGATTTTAGCAATAAAAATATTTGCAGCTGTCAATTGGTCAATAATTTCTTTTTATTTGAATTGAGTGCTAAGTAATTACATTTATTCTTTAATATTTAATAATCGTGAGCAGTTCTCCTGGTTGTTTCTGTTGGAATTTCAAAATCTTTTTAACTGCTTTACCTACCATCATCTGGTAGTACTTAACGTATTTTATGTTTGACTTCCAGTTTCTTCAATTGCACTTAGATCCAGCAAGCAGTAATACTCTTCCTGCAGCTGGAAATGGAACCATAACCCAAATTTTGAAAATTACTAACAGCCAACATGGGAAGGTAGATGATCTTTTCTCTTTTATTATTGCTTTACTGTAATTGTCCGTGTCCTTGTATGATTTAAATTAAACGAAATTTTCATCATTGACATGTTGCTACAACTACAAAACTACTAGTTTATGCTATGTTTTAATATTTGATATTACTTGCTGCAAGCCTGCTAATGTTTTGAGCCTGTTGGTTTTTAATTGATCACTACTTTTCAGATTGTTCATCAAAAACTAGTATGTAGAATTGAACTCCAATATACTTTTAGCTAACTTCACAAGCAGTGAAACTTTTCATCAGGCATTACACAGTAAATCATATTTTCGTTGTTGTATATTGTCTGAACTTACTTAAGTTATCCATACTATTGGATTAGTTTCTTACTGTTGTGCAATTATGTATCATGATTGATTTATCTTGTAAGTTGTATTATAATCTGTCATAGTCGCTATCCTGCTATTTGCCATTTTTGGGGTTGGCATTATCAGGGATTGAGAACCATGGATTAAACTACCCCACCCCCTCCTTTTTATGTTTGTGCTTTGCGAGTATGGATATGGTGACCCTTACTGATATGCATTAATGGACTTACTTTCTGTTATTAATGATGAAGATATTGACTTAATGTTGACTTTTGTGAATTATGTAGCATAAACTATTTATCTTGTTAGTTATATTTATAATGTGTCATGGTGACTATCCCACTATTTTCTATCTGCCATACCATTTTTGGGATTTGCCACTCCATCACATTATCTGGGATTGACGACAATGGATTAGACTCCCCCCATCCCCTCCTTTTCTCTGTTTGTGCTTTGTGACTATGCTTATGGTGTACACTTGCTGAGATTATTTTCCCAAAACATTTATATATATTAGTTCCTTTTAGATAAGACTTGATTGCCAGCTACTTTTTTTTTATTTATTTCAGAAATCGCTTGTCATGCGTACAAGGATAGCGTACAAGATAAATGGCAAGGATACATTAGAGGAAGGACAAGTCAATAATTTTCCTCGTGATTTATGAAGTTCAATGATTAGGGGTCATTAAGGCGATGAGCAAAATCCTTCGTTTTCCCCAGCTCTCCATAATTACTGGTGCAGTTTTCATGTTTCATTCCTTCGAATGAGGAAGGTATGGTTGGAGCATCTGAACCACTTTTTGGCTTAAATTTGAAGTCGATGCAGTCGCTTCTCTTTGTTTTACCTTTTTTTACCTAGGTGGTTTATGTACATTAGTACAAAATATTCTTGTATGAAAATGTCAGTCAAATTTTGCCTCTCAAGGCGGTGAGAGTTGTGTCATGTTGGATACTTGAGGTGCTTTCTTGCTATTTTTTCGGAGGTAGTCGCTCGGTCTTGCTGTCTAAAGTTATAGTGTTGTTGAATGCAATTTGGTATCCTTTAGACGATTGATATATTTGATTTTATGTAACTTTCCCTCCTAAAGATTAATGAAATGTAATCTCCGAATTATGTCAATTTCCTTGTTAGGCGTTTGACTGTTTCATTGAAATTTGAAAATATGGTGAAGCATGTATGTGATTCCTTATCTTTATAAATTTCATTTCAGTTTATGGAAAATAAAAGTTCCAACTAATTAACAGGCTAAAATGCATTTAAGCACTTTCGATTGTAGGTCAATTGAAGAAACTATCATGGTTCAAAATTCTACGCAACTCTGAACTTACCAATTTATGTTGAACAGTGTAAATTTGCCCAAGTCAATATGTACTGTTTGGCAAGTTTAAACAATTCCAGGTGAAGAAATTTCAGACGCATTTAAGCTAGTATTATAAGTAGCAGGTCAGCTAAATGGCTTCCGTCAGTGATCTGGTACAAGATGGTAATTTCCTCCTTATGTTAGCCCTTCCAGTTTGAATTGGTTCATCGAAAATCCAACCTCAAGCTGTTAAGTTTATTTAAGAATTCCGTGGATTCGAAGTTCTTTGGTTATTATTTGTAAATATCACGATAGCGACAGTACACCCGCGTCCCCTAAACATTTTAGTTTCACGGAGCCAAGGTGAATAATTAAGAGTCATTTATTGCATTCTACAGTCATGCATGCACTGAATGAAATGTATATTTTTTTTTTTAGTGTAAGATCCAAAGGTTATTTGTTTTTGTGCTATATTATTTTAATAATAATATAAAGAAATAAATGTACATTTATTAATATTCATAACATAAGAGAGTGGATAACATATTTTATTTAGTAAACTGTCAAGAGTGCATTGAATTGATTAAACTATGTTGTAAATATATGGAAAACATAAGATGATTGAGAAGTGTTTCAGAAGATTTTTAGTAAAATGGAACTTTTATCCAACAGAGAAGTGCTCAGACAGCGCAGTTAAAAAAAATGGTTCAACTGTACTAGTTTTTGGAAAGATTGCCTAGGGTACAAGATTAGGAGTTTTATAAAAATGTTATTTAAATTGGTTCAAAAATTATGTTCTCAAAATTAGCACACTAATTAGATAAAGAAAGCATACATATGAAAATAGAGGACGACACAGGATATTTGTCTTAGTACAATTGATATCTAAGTATTCTCTACACAACCTTCTCTAGAGTCAATTGGTTTTGGTAAGTCTTTTTTCTCGCTCGACATCTTAAAAATTAAAATTATAAATAGTATTTGAAATATTTACAATAAAAACAATGATAGCTAATAATTTATTATTATCAAAACACTAAACAAGGAACGCAAAAGATATGTTTTAAAATTTTGATGCCACAGCCAATAACACTTCCTTTTCCATATTTTTTTCTTACATAAAGCTTCAAGAAAGATAAGAATTGTATGTCTTCATTTAATGCAAAGAATTATAGTACAATATTCATCTTATTATAATGTCTTTAACTACATAATAGTCCATTTACAACTAATTGTATGTACTTAGAGTAATAGTCCACTATTATGATTCTTTTATCAAATGCTATTAATTATTTTTTATAAATTAAAAATTTTAAATATGATATATGAACATTAGTTAGAATAACCTACATTTAGTGATAGTAAGCTACCTAATCAATTTTTGAAAAATATCTTTGAAACTATCATTATGCACACTTTAGATCTACCAATTCTTTAAGATTTCATCCCATCTTTAAAGGTTATCATCAAAGTTTTGAGACAAATAAATATACAACGTTCTTGATTCTAACACGTCTTCTCTACAATTTTGTGCTATCTTAATACAACATTGAAATCACTGGCTTAACTACCTCCTTTGTTTTATTTGTCCTACCTTCGACCCCCTCAAACAGTTTAAACAGTGTTCTCCATCACACTGAATTGAGGTGAGAGAGATAACAGGTACAAAGTGCATAGTAGGTATGTTTCTATACGAGATTCACCAACCACCAATAATAAACTAAGTTTTCCTTTTTTCCCCCTATTTCAAGTCTACTTAATAAACTCATTATAATAGTATGGATTTGAGATATTATTGTATTGATGCTAGTTCGAATTGCCCAATATTCTTCTTAAAAATATTTAGATAAATTAACAGAGAAATACATCTATAAATTATATATAATGATATAAAATTGTAAAAAAGCAAACTCATTTTAAATGTGTTCATAGTCTCTGATAATAGTGATTATTATTTTTCATGATGAATAATATAAATAATAATAATGTAGTTAAAAATTTGGGGTCCTTAGTGCCTCTATCATTTGCTAAGGCATAGTCGGTGAGCATATGATATACACATGTACCCCATTATGATGGGTCAATAATGAGGAGGTGGACAACCTTCCCTTTTCCTCTCAGGACCCAGCATGAAGGTGTGCCCTTTTTCTTACCCTTTATTAACCCTAGGAAGTTGACCCAATTAAAGAATAAAAAAATCCTAGGCGTGCCCAAGGTGTAGATATATGTATTATTCCTCTTATTAAGTGTTTTTCTCTCAAAATACCAAGCAAAATCTAACAATTTAATTTCTTAAGGTGTAATTCATAAATTATTACTACTAGGTTTTCCATATATATATATATATATATATATATATATATATATATATATATATATGGGTGTTGTGGGATTTCTTTCAAATACTTAACATATTGCTAATAACATTTAGAATCAGATGGTTGTTTTTGGTAGATAGAGTTGGAGAAAGGAAGTTTTCATTTATAAAATTAGGATAAACAATACATCTAATTAACCTACCCTTAATGAAAATTTATATAACTGATTTACATGTTACTATAGTGATTGATATAATATGTTAGGTAAAGATCACTATAATAAAAAATAAATCCTATATTTTTTTTAAGAGTTGGTAACTACCATTAAATTTTAGTTGTTATGTGCCTAGGAGAATGTTTCAATCTTATTTTAATTATAATAATATTATTAAAGTTAATTTTTATATTATATATTTTAGATTTCTTATTACAAATTTATCTTAAAAAATCTCTGAATTAAAATAAAATAATATATATAAACTATAATTGATTTAATTCTTAGAAGTGTAATAAAACATAAATCAAAATTAGTTTAAATTTTAAGATAATTATAAGATCTAATTATGCATGATATTGACTATTTATTATTAATTTTTTATAAATTTTATTACTTACTTTTTTTTACATTATATTAACAAGTTAATTTTTATACATTGATATCATTTAAATTGTTCTTGCATATTTCTACTGTTATTTTTCAACAGTTTAGCACCATTTTTGTAAGAAAAATGATTTTTTTTATAAAAACTAATGTTAAACACAACATTAGTACTTTGTAACACGTTTAATAAGTTAGTAATATACGGAAAAACACTGAAAAATATAATGGTAAAATATGCTAAAAATAATTCGGATAATAAAATTTATAAAATAATAATAATTGAATAATAAAATATATTATTAATCCCAATTATTAGAAAAGTCAATAAATTGACAGTGTAATTTTAACAAGAGGACATGCTCGAAAAGGATCAATTTCAAAAAATTTAATTGGTTTTGGAATAAAAACGTAGATTTTAATTTCAAATGCATGTTTTTAAAAATAGCTAGAATTTGTATTTCTTAAAAAAAAACTATTTTATGAATTTGAAAATTTATAGTTATAATTATTCTTTAACCACTTTTTATTTTCAATTTATAAATAACCTTTTTCTTATATTAATTGATTTGTTTAAATAATTTTTTCATTTATCCAAAATGGACCTGTATTAAAATTGACACTTACTATTTTTTTCAATATTTTATTTAAAATTTAATAAATATATTAATTGATTCTAAAAGTTATTATTTTGTTTTTTAGTTTAACGTTATTGGCATGTTAACTTTAACAGTGTGCGTTATTGGCATGTTAATTAAAATAGTTACTTTGTGATATTTTTATTAATTGTTAGTTTAAAAGAGACAAAACTACTATGAAAACCAAATTAACTCATTTATTAAATGTTGAAATAAAAATACTGAAAATTAAAAAAAAAATCAACACAAATAAACTTTGAAAATACAAAAATTTTATTTAACCTCCATGTCAATTCCAGAATGGGTTTATTTAAAAAGGAAATAGTTTTTTCATTAGTAATAATAATTGTATTTTCACATTGTCCCGGTTTCAGCTTTTTTAAGCTACGTACTCAAAACACTAACGAAGTTTTCCATGAAAAATATAAAATTTTAGATGTGTTTGGCATATTTTAAGTAATAATCAAAAACATATTTTACAAATTTTTATTTCAAGAATTCATGAGAAAAATGGTTAAAACAGATAAAATTTTCGTTTGCTTAGTTTTCATCCCAAATTTCTAAAAGATTTAAGAACAGAAAAGCAAAGAAATAATAATAATAATAATAAAAAAACATCTTTTAGATGAAGAGCTTGCACTTAGTGAGTCACAAACACAACACAACCCCACCACCATCCACTCAAGACTCCACAATCCTGATCTGAAAATCTGCTGCACCCCACATTTCAGTTCCCCCCCATTTGGTGTCATGTGGTTGCTAAACCATCCAAAAAGGATAACTTCCATAGAGGGTCGTCTTACACAAGAATCACCCAACACAACAAGGAATAGAATCCTCCCTTTGTAACTTTCACTTCTTTCTAACCCAAAAAAGCTAAAAAGCAACCAAGCCTCTAAGAGAAAACCACAGCATCCAAAAAGCAACCCCAATTTGACTTCACTTTCATCCCCCTTCTCCTTCAAAGAAACTGCTGATGTAAACCACTTTTGTCACTTGAACGAATAATCACATCACATGGCATTAGAGGCCCACGTCCAAATGCTATGTGACTTTACTCTTTTTCCTTACAATCTCAACTAGCTTATGGCTTTTCATGAACTCTCTGTGACCAAAACAGATTATTTGATTCTAGTCATATTGGTAAGATGTATATTACAAACAAAATTGATTTTTTCGTACATTTGAGTTCAATTTCTATGCATTACACTGTCATACAATAATGTTGTCAGAATGACTTTTAAAGCAATTATAGTATAAACTGATATATATTGTTGTTATATATAATGATGTGTGATTATATAATAATATACAAATTCTTTGTACTGATGTACTAGCATAGACTATTTACTTAAGTTTGTGTTCTTATAGGGAATAGTTTAGATTTAGTTTTTTCCCCTCCTTTTACCATAAAAGATAGTGTAAGGTTACTGTTAAAAATGTGATGCAAAAATTTATGTGTGTCATCCATCTAAGGGTAAATACATAATACAACACATGACAGAATTAATTTCGTTACACACACTCAAGATTAATTCTCTCGTTCAAAGGGCATTGCCTGATTACGTTTATGGCACAATTTACAAGTTCTGTCACTATAAATATAAAAAAAAAAAAAAAAAAGTAAAATCACAGTGTGAGAGGAAGAAGAAGCACAACAAAAGGATTCCATCAATGTAAATATCATATGAATTAGTCAAAATACAAAATACAAACTAGCCTCATGTATCAAGTACCTCGGGCTTTATTCATCCATGGCAAAGTTGAAGTATGGAAGTGAGTATCAGATGAACCTGTCAACTTATCTTTCCTGGACCATTGCCAGATCTTGGAAACAGAAAAGCTTTCCCCTTTCCTTGCAATGCTGATTTTCTTTCCCTCAACATCCCCATCAATGAAAGAACTTCCATTTGGGGCTGCTCTTCCCTTCAGTTGTCTCATGCTGTCACTGCTCCCTCCATCGCCTCTCGGAGGGCCTAAAGCCACTCTCAGATCTGAATCACCCACCACATACTGAAAAGACCCCATTGAATAGCATCTCCTTACATCCAAATTACCGCTACTGCTCTCGCCTTCACTTCTCTCCACCCCATCTCCATTATTAGTGCTTCTAAACTTTCCAAGCCTAACAGAAAACACCCTTTTCCCATTCACTATGTGACTTTCTACAGTTTTGTTAAAAGAACCAGCTCGAAGACCACCTACACCACTGCCTGACATCCCATCTTCCTCATGTTGACTTTCAAAGTCAAAAGCTAAGTTCTCAAAGGCAAAGCCTGGTGAATACAGAGTCCCTCGACAGAGAGGGCAAGTTGAATTGGACAACAACCATGTATCTATGCATTCAATGTGAAAAGCATGGTTACACACAGGCAGCAATCTCAATTTGTCTTGTTCCAAGAACTCACAGAGGCAAACGGCACAATCAAATGGCTCTTTCAAGCCTATAATCTCTTTGTAAAAAAAGACAGGGAGAGCATCTATGAAAGCCTGATCCAGTCCCGAATCATGAAGATGGAAGAGCTGCTGTAACTGTCTCTGGTAAGCATCTGATTCGAACATGTCAGGGTATCTATTTGATTGGGAAATTGATGAATTAGAAGACCTCTGCTTTATAATAAATCTAACAAGCAAGTGAAGGAGGCCCAAGATGAAAAACACCACAGCTAAAACGACTATGATGAAAAGAATTGCAGGGCTTATTTTATTCCCAGATGAAGAAGTTGGGGATAAAGCTGATTCTTTCTGGTGGTTAGAAACATAAGGTACCGAGGGTGAAGAAGTGTAAGAAGAAGAAGAAGAATACGGAGAGATAATAGGGGGGTTGGTGTTGGCACCATTGCTGAGAAGGATTTGAGAGTGAACCCTATACATTTTGAGAATAGGGTATCCAAAATTCAAATTAGACCTTGGTTAGATTTTGAGGTGGGAATGTAAAGAGAGAGAGTGCCACTGGTACCCCATGTGGTGGTTTTGAACAAAGTTATTATCTTTGTTTGTTTTGGGATTAAACCCAACTCATACATTGAGGAAAGCAAGCAATGATAGGCAAAACAAAGCATTTAAGGAAACATGCCTGAGAAAATGTCAACGTTGCAGTAGCAGTTGACCAACCACAGAGTTGTTAAAAATTTGAAATCTTAGCAGACACCTGACATGGGTTTCTCTCCAGGGAAAAAGAACCAAAAGAACCCTAATGATAATAATAACGAGGAAGTGATGATGGAGAGTGCATCTAATTGTGTTGCTCCAAATCTATTGCCAATAGTGCCCATGTGAAAAGGAAGTCACTTCCAAAACCCAAGGTTTTTGGGTCCCCTACAACTGCAGACTATAGTACAGACCAAAGGCCTCACCTGACCAAAAAGGCAAACTGTTAGGCAAAATTGTCATTTTCTCATTTCACAACTTCAGGCTGTTGTGTTGTGTTACTTCATACACATCTCCGAAGATTTGTTCTTCGATACTATTGGTCAAAACACTTTCTTTTTGCACCCTCTTATTTTTTTTTTTATATCTATATTTACCTAATAGGTTTGTGATTTATTCGTCTATAAGTTTTTTGGAATAAACTTCTAGAAATATTTTGGATTGACTTTTCTTAAACTTTTTTGAGTGTTATGAAATCAACTTTTCGGAAATATGATCCTGGAACACTTCAATAAAGTTTTTAAAGAGTTCAATTTAAAATATTTTTTAAAAATTCATTCTGAATATTTTTTTAAAAAACTCATTGTGGAAAATTTATTTCAAAAAGTTTCTGAAAATATTTTAGTTTGACCTTTCCAAAAGTTAAAAAAATAAAATAAAATTTGAAACCATCCAGAAAACTTATGATAAAGTTAATCTAAAATATTTTTAAAAAACTCATTTTGAAAAATTTTTAGAATAGTGAATTAATAATATACACATTGTCGTCCCTGGATTAATTCTATCACTTTTTTACATGTCTCGCGCTTCCATTGGATGTTCTTCTCGTCCTTCTTCATAATTCGTCCCACCACTTACCCTTATATATCTCTGAGCACCACGTTTTCAACCAATTCACTACCCTTAATGACGACACGAGTTTAGAGTTTTGTTTAAGAGAGTGGAAGATAATGACATCTTACTCGACATTATAAACTACCTAGGAGGTAGTAGTGTTCCCTAAAACAAGAAAGAAAAAAAAGAAGGTGAAGATTAAAAATGCATAGAACATTTTTATTATTTAATATAGATTTTAAGAGTGTAGAAAAATGTGACTTGATGAAAATATGTGTTTTATCATCAAAAAGATTGCATAAGGCCCGGATGAAGTTGATCTATTGAGCCCAAATGTGTAAAGCTCTCTTGCTGTAGGATGTAGGTAGACTTATAAGTTTGACATCCAAAGTTTTCCAATTATTCAATAAATAATTTTAAAATAACATTTTTTAATTAATAAAATAATACAAAATAAGATAAATAAATAATAATATAAAAATTTTAAAGATAATGTTTAATAAATAATGATTGTCTATGATCACTCTAAGCTTAAATTGGACTATGTCTCTCAAATATGATTGATATTTATAATTCTCTCAAATATTTCCATATGTACCCTTTTTCCATTTTTTATTTTTTCTTGTGAAAACCCTCCCTCGTTATGTATCAGTGTTTAAAATATTTTAAGGGTGTTAAGAAAAAAGAAATTCACAGCTCATAATTATGATATTTGAAAATTATAATTTGTGAATAATTCAAGTTTGATTTATAAAGTTATTTCTAAAAATACTGTATAGATAATCAAATAATAATGATTTATTTTTACTAAATGTTTTAAGAATGACTTTATGTAGTAAATATTTTTTTTCGAAAAGTTAAATTTATGAATCTATTAAAAAAATGTGAAGAAAGAAAATAAAATAAAATATATTCTTAATTAAAAGAAAGTCATGTAAAAAGGAAAAAAATATTTATTTAAAAAAATAATAAATAACTAAATTACTTTTTTTAAATAACAAATTTATTTATATAATTATTAATTAATATTTTATTAATGAAATATATTTTAAAATTAAAACCTTAAATTAATATTTATTTTTAATAATATATTTGATATACAATTATAAAATATTTTTTATTATAAATTATATTTATTTCCCAAAAATACGTGATTTAACATTAATAAAATAATATCATTTTTAAAAAATAAAAATATATTAGATTATTCATTTAATTTTTTAATCAATTTTATTTTTATGATATTTTATTAAATATATATATATATATATATATATATATATATATATATATAATATGAATGAATGAAACAATATTAACTTGAAAATAATTTTCTAAAATATTTTTTTCCTATTTTTCATTATATATTTATATATAAATTAAAAATAAATATATTTATTTAAGTAAAAAATAACATATTTATTTATACTTTTATTTATAAAAAATACATATTTTCATAAGATAATCACTTACCATTTTTCCTTGTCTTGCAAAGGATGTTATAGTGAACTTGACAAGAATTAAAAGTTAAACACGTAAAATATATGTATTTATATGATTTGACACCTTTTATCTAGAATTGTAAAATCATCTTAAACAAATATTTAATTTGATTTTGATAAATTACCAATTTTTTTAGCCACTGCTTGGGCAATTTTTTTCATTAATTCCTTACTCACTCATGTAGTGTGTATTTTGATTGATGAGTAAATTTGGGAGGAGTTTAAAATAAGCGAAAGATAATAAAAATAAAAACATTTAAAGTAAGCGTAAGATATAGAAAATGAGATAATAAAAAATATAATTAATATAATTAATTAAATATAGTAAATAATAAAATAAAACTTTAAAATATTTCTTTATAATTTTAGTATAAATAAATAAATTAAAGTTAAGATAAATATAATTTAATATAAAATAAATAAAAAAGTTAAATTTATATATAAACTATAAATAAATATAAATATAATAAATGAGTTAATTATTCTTATATTAATATTTAATATATATATATATATAACATTTTTTTATAAATAATTTGTATAGATTATTATATATATTTATCTAATATTTTATTAAAAAATAGTTTTAAAATAAAATATTCTAATTAAGTAATTTGATTTTAAATTCAATATTTATTTGAAATTGTATAAATAAATTATAAGATTTCAATAATATATATATATTTTTTTTCAAATATTACATTAATTAACATATTCTTTAGATAATCGATTAACAAAAGTCTTTATTTTAATAAATTGAAAGTATATAAAGTTGATTGAAAAATATCATTAATGAATTATGATAAAATAAAATATAAATAATTAATTATATTATTTTTTACGTGTTCTTAATAGAAAAACTTGTTTAATAACAAAATTGATTAAAGATTTTCATACACAATTTATTTATATTTATTAAATTTTATATAATAGGTTTAATTTTTATAAGAATAAAATTTTTATAATTGTTTTATGGATAAAATAATTTAACTTAAAAAAGTGAATTAATTTTTCTATAAAAAATTATCAAATTAAATTTAATATAATTATTCTCAAATTTATAATATATGTAAGAACAAAATATTTATGTATAATTTATTAAAAAATTATAATCATAATAAAATATGTTATGTCGTATAATTAATTATATAGATTAATATAATTAGTTATGTCAGACTATCTAACGTATATAAAACTATATTACATGCAAGACTATAGAATCGCTTTAGTAAAGTAAAAATGACTTAATTTTTTTTATACATGTGAAAAATGACCTTTCTTATATAATTTACATGCCATTCTAGATAAAACTACGTCACCAACTACAATATATTCATGCAAGACATAGGCATCATTCTAACGAAAGTTAATCTAACTGAAAAAATAAATAAATTTGTGTCTGTGTATGTATGAAACTTTCAATACTCCCCTTTTTCATAATTCCTTGTTTAGAGTATTGTTTCATCAAGATATTCTCAGCCAAAATTCCAATTAATTGCTTTGGACCAACGCCAATTGTAATTCCTAACTGTAATAAACAAATAGTAGTTAATTTTAGATTTAACTGTGTAAATTTCTCCTAATTAAAAAATTTAACTTTAATTCTTCAAATTTAAAATATATGATTTAAATTATTACACATAAAATTTAAAGTACTACCGACACTTTTAAAAAATATTTTTAATTTTTTAAATTTTATATTTGGAAATTAAAAGCATATATATAATTCTATATTTGAGGTAGTATTTTCTTAAATTTTGAAAGATAAAAAATGAGATTTATCTTAAATTTTAATATTAAAAAATAATAAAACCAATAGTTAGTAGTTGATAGATAAATAAATAAATAAAATTTAGTTCAATAACATTTGCCTTAAATCATATGAGTATTGTTTCCTTAAAAACAATTAGTGACACTTAAATTTTTAAAACTTTATTTTCTTAGTAAGTTAGTTATTATGTTAGTAATTTTATTAAATTATGTCTTTTTTTTTTTTTCATTTCTAGTTATGTATTGTTATCTAAACATAAAAATATTTTTTCTAATAATTCATAATTTGATTGCAATTAACATCGATTTTTCATTCAATATCAATTTTTATGTCACTTTCAATTTATACTCGTTTATATAAGCCGAGTCACCAGCATTAGTTTAATACAATTTAAATAAAAAATATTTCAAGAAAATTCTTAAAATATAAACTTATGAAATTAATCACCATAATATATCCATTTTTGACAATTTTTTTTCCTATAAATGAAATATTATTTAATTTTAAAAATAATTAATTAAATTTCATACTAATTTACTAATAAAATATTAATGTTGTTTTTAAATTATAAATCAGTATATTTTTTATAAATACATTGCTAACATACAAATATATTTTAAATTTTAATTTTATATAATATATTTACTCTTTTTATTATTAAAAAACTAAAATCATTTTATTATTTATGAATATAATATATTCATGATAGTATATTTGAATAAAATTTAATTTTCTATCTTTAAAAATTACTAAAAATTAAAAATTGTTTTTGGTAAAATTTGGACTGGATGGGTTTATTCATGAAAAATGTTTATATACTTCACTCTAAAAAATAATAGTTTAACCAAACCATAAACCCTAGAAACCTCTCTAGTCAAATGCGGGCATAGCAGTGGGTTGCAAGCAAGCAAACATAATTTTTTATTTATTTTTTATTTATTTCCATTTCTCTAATAAAGAAAAAAGAAATTTTGAAGCCAAAACCCACACAGAACACAGTATGCTATGCTATACTCTCTAATCCGCTTCCGCCGTTACGCTTCTCCGCACTCTCCCCTTCTTCGTCTTTCTGTCAACAGTTTCTCCTCAGCCGTAGCTGCCATGGTTGCTCACGCGAAGGACGACGCCTACCTTCAGGCGGCGATTCCGAAGCGCATCCATCTGTTCGAGACTATCCAGGCGGAGCAGCGTACGCAGCGCCTCTCGCTGTCGCCGGATCCTATCAAGGTCACTCTCCCCGACGGTGGCGTGAGGGAGGCGAAGAAGTGGCTCACGACTCCGCTCGACGTGGCGCGTGAAATCTCGAAGAATTTGGCTAACAACGCGCTCATCGCCAAGGTCAATGGCGTGCTCTGGGACATGACGCGCCCGTTTGAGGATGATTGCCAGCTCCAGATCTTCAAGTTCGACGATGACGAAGGACGCGACACGTTTTGGCACTCAAGCGCGCACATTCTCGGCCAGGTCTAGCTGTGTTCAATTGTTATTATTAATATTTGTTTCAATTCGTATGATAATGAATTAATGGTTTTTGTTATTGTTGTTGTTATTGTTTTGGTTATTTTTCAGTCTCTTGAGACGGAGTATGGATGCAAGCTCTGCATTGGGCCTTGCACTACAAGAGGAGAGGTTCGTGTGTGCTTTTGGTTGGTTACTGCAGTGTTGATTCTGTTGTGATGTTTTTATGCGAGTTGTGCATTGAATTAGACAGTGACTGTTCTATTTTTAGGGATTCTATTATGATGCGTTTTACGGTGACTTGGGTCTCAATGACGATCACTTCAAGCAAATTGAAGCTGGCGCATTGAAGGCTGTTGCGGTATTCTTCTTCTGCTTCTCTATCACCTTATTCATGTCTTTTTTTATTTTATTTTAATGTTCACCGCTGCTTTAGATGCTACCGTGGCTATCGGGATTATATCCGGTTACTATGATGAACAATTGTTACAATACATAATGATTTTTTTGTTTACGTTCATTTATCCTTGAAATCTTGTCTTTTTTAGACTTAAAGAAGAGACTTTGTAGTTGAACAGATGTGGAGTGTAATATCAAAGTGTGTTCCAACTTTCTGAGCCTCTGCATATATTTCTACATCTGGAAGTCTAAAGTTCGTCAAACTATTTTTTGGAATGTTAAATCGAATTTGGTTTAATTTGTTGACCCAATCTCGAGTTTGGAATGTTAAAAAAATAGTCATTGATTTTATTTTTAAGGAAAATGCTCTTCTAAAGTGATATCTTCTCCAATATGAGTGCAGGGATGTATCCTTCCTTCAATTTTAGCAGATTAAAATCTCAATGCACTTTCAATTAAATAAGGTAGATACATCATACACCCTTAATCATTTTAGAGATAACTTCACTTTAGAGGAGCCGGCCTTATTCAAATTTTCAATTCCATGGATTTCATTGCTTTTGTTTTAGAAGTTGTCTCTAATTTGGCATGTTTTAGTAAAAAATGATTTTGATTTTAATTTTTTAGTGATTGGCCATATTTACCCTTAGTAACTAGCTAAGTTAATAAAAATAATATAAAATCTATCCCCTTTTTAATTAGAAACAAACATAACTTTGATTTCGAAATCAATTTAAATCCCATTTTTATGATGCATGTTTGGAAGCAAATCAGCAACACGTCTTTTCTCCCTCCAAGTTTGCCAGAAGCAACAAATTGTTTTGAGGCATTTGCACCGTTTGGTTTTATAGAAGAACTCATGTAGTGGATGGGTGTCCACTCACTGATAATGAGTTTCAAACATAGCATTTAATGTCTAAATCAAAACTTATCATTTCCTATCATAAATTATTCTTAACACAACGAATGAGATTTCAGAATTTTCTCTTTAATCTAGATGTTTTTATCTGGTCGTTCTTTTCCATTCTTTTACCTCTCATGTCCATAGTTTTTCCTAGCATGTTTCTATGGTAGTAAATGTGGGTTTTAAAGGGAGAACGATAGAAAAATGTTGGAGTATTAAACAAGTATGCTTAAGATGGATGTGTGGCTGGACAAGAAACGATGGGATACAAAATGATTGTATATGAGGAGATTTTGATGTAACAACTTCATATAAAATGATGATGAAAAATTGGTTAAGATGGATTGGAAACATGTAGAGATAGCCAATCATGAGGAGAGTACCTCTTATGTTTTTTATAGCCTTATAAAAAGGGGTAGAGGGAGATCAAGAACAACTTTGGAAGAAATTATGAAAATGAAAAAGGTTTACAGTGAATTTTATTTCTGAAAATTTTGTTTTCAATTAAACCCCAAAATTTTGTCTGAACTATTTAGTTCGTATCACTTAGTGTTGTTGTTATTGTATGTGTTGCTCATTATTGTGATAAACATTACTTTTGTGTTAATATATGTGATGGATGATGAACATTATATTTACAGGAAAAGCAACCCTTTGAGCGCATTGAAGTTACACGTGATCAGGCACTGGAGATGTTTTTGGATAATAAGTTTAAGGCAAGCATATCGTTCTTGTTTTAATGATATTTTCTATTATTTTTTGAATTATTCAATCATATTGAGGTAAACTATATTTCCAAATTTCTTTTGCCTATAAATTTTTATATCTCAAATTCACAATTTCGTACTTTGGGTTTATGGTTGTTGTGATCAGATTGAGATCATCAATGATTTGCCTGCCGACAAAACTATCACGGTGTACAGATGTGGTCCCCTGGTTGATTTGTGTCGCGGACCTCATATACCTAATACATCCTTTGTCAAAGCAATTGCATGTTTAAAGGTATGTGTAAGCTGTCTTATCATGCAACCATTTCTAGTTTTTATTTATCCATTAATTTGTATATATGAGAAGTACTGTGGTTTAATTGGTTTTGGAATTCCAGGCTTCGTCAGCATATTGGAGGGGGGACAAAGATCGTGAAAGTTTACAGAGAGTTTATGGCATATCTTATCCTGATCAGAAGAGTTTAAAGGTGATTTTCATTTCGGAAGTTTTTTCTTTGATTAAACCATCCAACTCTACTCAGATTGAGCTTTGTAGATGGAATGACCAATTGCAGTTCCTTTTGGAATAAGTACATAACTAACTAGTAGTCGTTAGTAGTGTGCTGTAGCATTTATCAGTGATAAATCCTCTGCACTATACTGCATTCATACTATGGTGTTTTTGAATAAGGCTTGGATATTGTTTATTGTGGTACTATCATTTGATAATTTGAATTTTTTTTTCTCCTTTTTTTGTCTACATTTTTTTTTCAGGAATACTTACATCGGCTGGAGGAGGCTAAAAAGTATGATCACAGGATTTTGGGTGTGAAACAGGAGCTTATTCTTCATCATGAATGGAGGTATTTTGGGGTGGGTCATTCTTTTCTGATTGCAACATTTAATAAGCTTCTCTGACTGATATGTCTTTATCTGTATTTGTTTATGTCAGCCCAGGAAGCTGGTTTTTTCTTCCACATGGCACTCGGATCTACAACAAACTCATGGACTTCATTCGAAATCAGTACAGAGACAGGGGTTATCAAGAGGTTGAGTTTTAGGCTACATCTGGTCCATTGTGTATTTTTTTTTTTTTTTTGCTTAAAAGTCACTTTGAAGGTAAAATCTAACAAATGAACTTTAAAACAAAGTGGAAGTTGTTTGTCTGTTTTAGGTTTAACTTCATTCGAAATAAGTACTGAGACAGGGGCTATCAAGAGGTTGAGTTTTAGGCTACATCTGGTCCATTGTGTATTTTTTATTTTTCTGCTTAAAAGTCACTTTGAAGGTAAATTCTAACAAATGAAATTTAAAACAAAGTGGAAGTTGTTTGTCTGTTTTAGGTTTAAAACTTCGTTAAAACTAGAAGCTCCATATTGTTGTCCCACGTTCATTTGTGCAGGATCATAGCGAGGGTGAGGTAAATTTTACACCTATTTTTTCTAAGAAAAGCTTCTTTAGTTAACTATTTTAAAAGCTACTTTTCCTTCTCTTCTTTTATAAACATAAAGCTCCTTAACTTTTAAAGAGTTTTTCTCTAAATATGTTTCGCTTAGATTCTCCTTTTAAGGAGAGGAAAAGCCATAAAGGATAGGCCAAACGCAACTGTAGTGTAGGAGTTTCTTAAAAGTGACCAAAAGCAATCTTTTTCCATGTGCTTATTACTTATTTGGAAATGGAATCAACAGGTCATATCTCCAAATGTATTTAACATGGATCTGTGGGTGCAATCCGGTCATGCTGCAAATTATAGAGAGGATATGTTTATCTTAGAGGTATGTTTTTCTCAATATCTCTAAATGCTATATTTTGTCTAATAATGCGGCTTAGAGAGCTGGAGGGTTTCTGTTGTTGGAATCTAGATTAATCATATTTGTGTTGATGTATGTGCTCATGTAATTATTACCTTTATGAATGATCTGTGTGGGCCAGGGACCATGTTTGAGGATGTTGGAAAAGAAACTAATAGGATTGATGGGATTTATAGGAAATCCCAAGAAGGCATTGTTTTAGAAGCAATCAATTTATTGACCAAAGCGTATTTTCTTATGTGAACTAGATTGACAAACAAGAGTTTGGGTTGAAACCAATGAATTGCCCCGGGCACTGCCTGATGTTTAAACACAGGGTTCGATCATATCGAGGTAATTTTCATTGAGATGGATATTTATCTTTTCAAATGATATCAATCTTTTATGTTTGTATGTTCAGTAGTGGAGCTAGTCCAGATATCATTTTTGAATTCAGGATAATGCACATGTTTGAGCTCCTAGATAAGTGGATTTGCAGTTGCCTATATAGAAAAATACTTGTCCACTCTCCTTTTTTATGGCTTCAGTTTTTCCTCTTCCTATGATAAAGCCAAAATCCTTTTTGCACAGGATGACCTAGGTGGTATTGTGACTGTGGTTCATCTAGAATTTCTACTTTTCCTCATAATATCATGTTGTTTGGCATAAAGCTAGACATTTTCAATTAACCTTTACAAAATTGAACTTGACTATAAATTTATACCTTTGTGGTGGTGAGAAGTGGACACAATCTGTTTTCTATTTTACAAGTGAGTGAGCTCAAATACTAAGAGCTTCTTTAAAACTGTTTTGATTTTTTGTTTTTTAAAAACTGTTCTGTAAGTAGTTTTGGAAAACTATTCTCGAGAACAAAAAACAAGAACATATGTTTGATAACACTATCTGTTGATAACACAATCTCCCCGATACTGCTCCACCATGCCATGGACCATCTAGTAGGCCCTTTGACTTATCCTCTGATCTCTATCCTATCCTAGTCGTGCCACCAAATCATTCTGCCACTTCTGGAACACGTTGCTTTATCAACAAACTTCCATCACAGCATCACTACTTGCTGCCAGAATGGCTGAGCGTCATCATTATGCCAACCCTTTCCCCAGGTTTGGTAAAAAGGATGAAAATAAAAGAGGTGAAAGGGTTGACTCTGACAGTGCTCGGTTTCTACAACATATCACTTTCTATTTCCTTGAGAGACATTAATGAGAAAATTTTTAAAAAGCAAAACAGATTAAGAAAACATCTTGAACCTGTTCTGATTTTTTGGTTTCTAAAACTAATTTCGGAAACATTTTTCTCAGAATTCAAATGAGATCTAATGCATAAAGCAAGTTTTATTGTTTTTAATAATAAAGAAATGTTTTTGAAAACAATATTCAAACATACTCTCATCTGTAGTTTGTTTTTTAGGTTGATATGATTCATGAATTTGTGTATATAGCTTGAACAATGGAATTTGATTGAGCTGATTTTTTTATATGAAATATTATGTCTCAACTTTTCAATTGTTGTTCAGAACTTCCTCTCCGTTTTGCTGATTTTGGGGTTTTGCATCGGAATGAGGCTAGTGGTGCCCTAAGTGGATTAACACGCGTTAGGAGATTTCAGCAGGTAAATCTTTGTTCTGTACCAATATTTAACATGTTTTTATGAAAGGGGGTCTATTTTTTCTTGGGTTAATCCAAATAAAATTAATTTGATACGTAGTATATTAAGCCAGGAAATACATTCTTTTTTATGCTTTATTATGGCAAGATTATTTGATTTTTCAATTTTAATTTTATAGGCATACACAGTGAATACTAAGTATTGCAAAAATCTTATTGGGGGTATTTATAATTCTGAAGACATGTTTGGTCTCATTTATTTTGAATACTGGAGTAGAAAATGTTAGTTTTATAAACAAGTCAGGAACTAGTGTTTGTGGGGTTGAAAGTTTTATTGACAGTACAATAGATTGGTCTGCTCAACTTAATAAACCACCTGGGATAGTTAGACGCTGTTATATTAGTGTAGCTATTTTAGTTTTTGCCTGGGGATGATTTTTGTTCATTTCTTTAAAACTAATTACAACTCAAAGAACATTCCCAAGGCAAAATATGGATCATTTGCCTTATCTTTAATTTCTATTTTTTGTACTGTTTAAATTTCATACTGTTAATGACATTAATTAAATGTTGTTCAGGATGATGCACATATTTTCTGCAGGGAGTCCCAGGTGTGTTTATGTTTCTATTTATGCAACATAAATCTTTGTAATTTTGAGCTGCAGTTTGTGTTACTAATTTATTTATTTTGCAGATAAAGGATGAAGTGAGGAACGCCTTGAATTTCATCAATTATGTCTATAACATATTTGGTTTCACATATGAGCTGAAGCTTTCAACGGTATGCTTTCGATCTTGTTTGTTCTTAATGCCGATGTACCTTTCTAAAAAATTGGAAAATCCAGTTTCAAAGCTTAGTCCTCAACTCAGGTACCTCAATAGTATCTTAATTGTTCTTTCCTGTGAATTTTTTTTAGAATTTAGCATGCAATCCCATTTATTAGACAGTTTCTTGCAGTAGATTAAATTATAATTATGGCTACACTAGTAGATTATTTAAATTACAAGAAATGCAGTAGTATTTTTTTTTGTGGTTCTCTCATGTATTAGTAGTAACTAGCCATAGACTGGATCGATTTGTAAAATCAATATATTCACTATTATATGTGTTATTAGTTATTTGGTATGGTAACACTATGGGGGGACTTTTATTATAGTTGTGTCACTTCCGTGTAGCACCGTATCATTGATACTCATTTTAACTCCACAGCAAATTTGTTTTTTCCTTCTATCTTATTCTCTGCGAAGGAAAAAACAAAGAAAGTTTTTGTGAAGCAGTACTTGTATTTCTTTCAATTAAATATAACTGTTTAATAGCGATTTGTTATTTTCTTTTTTCCATGTGTTGGATACTTGAGTAGAGACCAGAGAAATACCTAGGAGATATTGCAACTTGGGATAAGGCTGAAAGTGCTCTTAAAGAAGCTTTACATGATTTTGGCAAGCCATGGCAGGTAATTATTTCCTCTTCTATAGGTCTTGTAGAATGTTTCATGCCAGTAATATATAGTTAAAGATATTGTTTTGAACACATGGTTATAACTCTGATTAGATTAGAACTAATTCAAATTGGACATGCAAAAGTGGAGTTTGCCTATCTCATCTTCCATTCAATTATCAGTTTACTTCATTCCATTTTATTTTCTGATAGAACTCAGTAGTATTTTTGAAGGGTAAATATGGAGATTAGGTTGGACAGATAGTCCTCTGTAATACTTAGAAACCCGCAAGAATAAAGACGCCTACTGAAGGAGTACCAAATACCAATTCACTCAACAGTTTTCTCCCCTCCCATCACATTTATCCGACCATTCTCTCATTATTTAGTGATAATTGTAGAATCCATTCTCTCCAATCAGCTCATGACAGCTGAACTTGCTGTTCACAACCTCAAGATCCTGGTGTCCTTTTCTCTACTACAAACCCATTCGTCCAATTTGCTCTTGGTTCCTTTCTGCATCAAATCACCCAATTTGCTTCGGTGGCAAATTTTGTTCGTCCGAGGACAACACCCATTTCTTCTTTTCCTCTTTCTGTAGACATGTGCAAAGGGTCTTTCAGTCGCACCTCCACACACACTCCATTTTTTTTCTTAACCCTGTTTTATTATTTTGTATGAAATCTGATATTTTTTAGCTTTAATTCCTTTGTGCTTATATTCTATGTAAAACCTTGCAGTTGAATGAAGGGGATGGGGCATTTTACGGACCAAAGATAGACATCAGTGTGTCTGATGCATTATGTAGGAAATTCCAGTGCGCAACATTGCAGGTTTGCCATGTTCAGATGGATTTGCTTTCACATGATTCAGTTTTGGATAACTTTTCATCTGATAACCAGATGAATGTGGTTGCTTGCAGCTTGACTTTCAGCTTCCAGATCGTTTTAAGTTGGAATTCTCAGCTGAGGATGAAGCCAAAATTGAGAGACCTGTAATGATACATAGAGCAATTCTAGGATCAGTTGAGCGCATGTTTGCCATACTTTTAGAGCACTACAAGGGTAAATGGCCCTTCTGGCTCAGTCCTCGTCAAGCAATTGTATGCCCTGTGTCTGAAAAATCACAATCCTATGCACTGCAGGTACATAACTCTGATTTTTATGCTTTATTCTTTGGTATATTTGTCTTACAATATTAAATGGTACAAATAATGTGTACTGTATATCACAGGACAGCACCTTTATTTCATGCCTGTCTAATTGACTTTCTCTTACCCTCATAGGAGCTTATGCAACCTTGGCTTTTCCTTGTTTATTCCTGACCTTTTCTGTATCATGTTGAAACTATTGAATCTGTTTAGTTTCCAGTTACTAAATTATGTTGAATTCATCACATGCATTTTTAAGTAAACTTCCAGCTGTAACCTGATCACAAAGCTCTAGCAACTTAATTGAATAGTTGAATAGCTCAGAGTGTGTTGGTTTTTTGGAAATTCTTTCTATTTTCACTAATATCACTAAAAATCCACCTTGTACGATTCTTTGAAAATAGTAGACAGTGAGATTTTTGTAACTATTAGCAAAAGCAGGAAAGATTTCCTTAAACCAAACAGGCCATTTACTTTCCATTTTTCTGATTCTAATTCGTTAGGATACTTGTACTATTATATTTTGATATGAGAAAAGCAAGGGCTTGTTGATCATCTAACATTCTTGGACTGCAAATTTTTAGGTGCGAGATCAGATCCACCAAGCAGGGTATCACGTTGATGCTGATACGACTGACAGGAAGATTCAAAAGAAGGTAACATAAATCTTTAGGACACCAATAGTTTGATTTCATTTCATGTCATTCGTTCAGAGGACAATAATGCCCAAATTATTTTCTATACTGCCAATGGAATATTGGTTTATTTGAGTGGTATTACTTTGAATTTTTATGGTTCATTTTTTTTATACAAGCGTTTAGATAGAGCACTGGTTTGTTGCCAAAGAGAATTTTATGTAACTGATTGTATATTTTTTCTGCCCCATGCTTTTGTCACTAGTCAGTTACTGATGGGTTAAGCAGTGTGTGTTTATGTTATTAGATTTGTACCTTGCACGTTGCCAAAGTGTATGTATTTTCTATTCATTTAATATTTTAAAATTTATTAATTGTAATGAATTGTATTCAAGTTGTTATATATTTGAAACCTTAGTTAGAGTATTATAATTCATTAAAAGGCAACTAAACTAGTTTAGTCTCCTATACAATGACTTAATATCAGTTTTATCCGACAACATTTTGTTTTATCTTTATGTCTTTTAATAATTGGGGGATTTATTTTATATACAAAAATTAGTAGATCAAATGTTCTGTAAATCGGTAATTGAAAGTTTTTTTTTAATAATTTTTCTTTAAGTATGGTGGTATACTTTTATTATTCATCCAGTTTCTTGATTGACGAGAATTGTCTTAACTAGAAGTTGTAACATTCTGCAGGTGCGAGAAGCACAATTAGCACAATATAACTACATATTGGTTGTCGGAGAGGAGGAAGCTAACACTGGACAGGTTCTTCCCGTTTCTCTTTATCATAAATAAACCTGTCCTTTTTTCTATAAACATATTTTCATATGCATTTTATATTTTTTGTTTTACCTAGGGCTTCTGTTAGTTAACTCTCAAGCGCAGTTTTTAATGAATTTCTCACACTTGGATAATTAAGTTTGGACTAATTAAAAGTGTCTAAGGAGAAAGCAAGCTTGCTGATAATGATCTGTGCACAATGAATATTGTGAATAGCACAAATAATGTCATCACAATATTTAATATATAGTGAGCATGTGTAAAACATTTACATCATCCAAATTCAGAAACTGAAACGGTTGAGATTCAATGTAAGATATGTACGGTTGAATATAGTGAAAATTTAGGTATAGGGTTAATTCCCTTGTGTCTAAAATATACATAAGGTAATATATTTATAATTAAGAGTTATAAAAAGTAAATATGGTAAATACATATATTGTGACTGTGGGAAATCAAATAGTATTTTAGGAAAGAATAAATCAGGAAATTTGTATATTTCCTTGTAATCTGTACAGATTTGAATAATTAGGAACAATCCCATAAATCAAGGGATCCTAGCATAAAATAGAGTTATTATATTTCCTAAAATAGCTTAGGTCTCCTGTATATATCTTATATCATCTCTTTGTATTGAAATAATAAAAAATCATATTTCAGTTAATCTATTTTTCAAGATGGTATCAGAGCCAAAGCCTAACATCTTTCCGGTTATTGTCATGGGCCAAAAGTTGCCCTTTAGTTGGGTCAAAAGTACCCTTTGCCTGGTCCGGCGGGCTTCGTTGGAGGGGGTGTGTTGAAAGTCCCACATCGCCTACCTGCATGTTCCTTAATTCGGCAAAAGATATTTGGGATGCTGTAGAGCAAACCTACTCTAAAGCCAAAGATGCTGCTCAAGTATATGAAGTAAAAGTGAAAACTTTGGCAGCAAAACAAGGGAACAAGACTGTTACAGAATATGCCAATCAGCTGAAATCATTGTGGATGGAGCTAGACCATTATAGAGTCATAAAAGCCAAATGTACTGAAGATTCAGCACTTCTCAAGGAGTATATCGAACAAGACAGAGTTTATGATTTCCTTGTTGGTTTGAATCCTGAATTTGATCAAGTTAGGATTCAAATATTGGGGAAGCAAAAGGTACCATGCCTCAATGAAGTGGTGACTATTGTGAGAAGTGAAGAAAGTAGAAGGGGTCTCATGTTAGAGAGTCCCGCAGTAGAGACTTCAGCAGTGGACCATAAAGGAGATCAGACTTTGGCCATGGTAACCGAATAGAAGAAAGGAGGATCAACAAATGTGGAGAAGAAAGATGATGGTCTCTGGTGCACCTACTGCAATAAACCTCGTCATACCCGAGAGAAGTGTTGGAAGTTACATGGGAAGCCTTTAAATCGAGATCGAGAAGGAGGACACAAAGGAGGCTCCTCAAGGAAAGGAGGACAAGTTTATGTTGCTGCTGAAACAAATGAAGGAAATAATCCAGAAGTTGCTGTCCATCTTAATCAAGAGGAGATAGAAAGGGTGAGAACCTTTCTTAGTAAGCTGGAAAAACCCACAGGTGTGTGTTCTTTGGCATACCCAGGTAAGTTTCCATTTTTTTTTGGATTAAATGTCTCAGATACACCTTTTAACCATTATTGGATATTGGACTCTGGAGCCACAGACCACATGACACCATTAGCCAAACACTTCTCCACATATTCCCCATGTCCCAGCAACAAGAAAATTGCCACAGCAGATGGAACCCTTATAACTGCAGCTGGTCAAGGAAATATCCAAATCAATCCTTTAATAACCTTAAAAGATGTTCTCCATGTCCCAAAGCTATCCACCAACCTAGTCTCTATACAAAAACTTATAAAGGATTTGTCATGTAAAGTTGTTTTTTTCAACGATCATTGTGTATTTCAGGACAAGGAGTCGAGGAGGATGATTGGACATGCTAGAGAATGAAATGACCTTTATTATCTCGTAGATCCAAGTCTGCCCAGCAAGAACAGAATCTCTCACTCCTTCATATCTAAATCCTTGATGACCAATAGAGAAAAAACCATGCTTTATCATTGTCGGTTGGGACATCCTTCTTTTGGAGTGATCAAAATTATGTTTCCCTCTTTGTTTACTAAGTTAAATGTTGAGAGTCTTCATTGTGAGGTGTGTGAACTTGCTAAGCACAAGCGTGTATCTTTTCCAATAAGTAATAAAGTTAGCAATTTCCTTTTTTATCTTGTTCATACTGATGTATGGGGACCTTCTAATATTCCTAATGTGTCTGGTGCTCGATGGTTTGTCACCTTTATAGATGACTGTACAAGGGTCACTTGGGTTTTCCTACTTAAACAAAAATCAGAAGTCAGTTCTGTCTTCCTAAACTTCCACTCCATGATAAAAAATCAGTTTGGTGTCAATATTAAGAGACTTAGGTCAGATAATGCCAAAGATTACTTCAATCATGTCCTTAGTTCTTTTTGTCAAAAAGAAGGTATAATTCATGAGTCCTCTTGTGTCAAAACACCACAGTAGAATGGGGTCGCAGAGAGGAAAAATGGACATCTATTAAATCAGACTCGGGCATTGTTGTTCCAAAAAAGTGTCCCAAAAAATTTCTGGGGGGAAGCTGTCCTTACAGCGACATACCTTATCAATAGACTACCCTCTAGAGTCTTAGGATCGAAAAGCCCTATGGAAGCTTTGTCATCTTTCTATCCAAACCTATCTACTACAAATAATCTTAAACCAAGAATTTTTGGATGCATCTCATATGTCCATATTCATAGTACAGACAGGGGAAAACTTGATCCTAGAGCCTTAAAGTGTGTCTTTGTTGGTTACTCACCCACTCAGAAAGGGTATAAATGCTACCACCCCCCATCCAAAAAATTCTTTGTGTCTAGGGATGTTACCTTCAATGAACAAGAGGACTATTTCCATCAACCTTATCTTCAGGGGGAGAGTTTCAAGGAAGATAAGGAAAGTAGTAATTCTGATTTTCCCATTCTTCCAGACTTGATATTTGAACCTAAACAAGATCAAATTGAAGTTGTAACAAGTGAAACAGGTCAAAGAATTGGTCAAGAAAGTGAAATTAATTGTGAAGCTGATCAAGGAGATGTTGAAGCTGACAAATTTGGTAAGAAGCTAGTGTACTCAAGGAAGACTAAGGCCATTCCAGGACCAAGCCATGTTCAAGAATCCAACTCGACTCCACAAAAAGAGGTAACAATTTTTTCTCCAGCTGTACAGATTGAAATTGAAACCCAAAATGATCCTGACCTCCCAATTGCCATTAGAAAAGGAACAAGAAAATGCACCAAACAGCCACTCTACCCTCTCTCAAACTACCTGTCCTTTAAAAATTTCTCTCCTACCCATAAAACCTTCCTAGTAAACCTAAACACTACACTTCTACCTAATACCCTATCTGAGGCATTGTCTGACAGAAAATGGAGGCAAGCCATGGATGTAGAGATGGAGGCATTGGAGAAGAACAACACCTAGGAGTTAGTCACCTTACCAATAGGAAAGAGGCCAGTTGGATGTAAATGGGTCTATACAGTGAAATACAAGGTTGATGGATCAATTGAGAGATATAAGGCAAGACTAGTTGCCAAAGGGTTCACCCAAACCTATGGAGTTGATTATTTGGAGACCTTTGCTCCGGTTGCCAAAATGAACACAGTTAGGGTGATATTGTCCTTGACAGCCAATTATGGTTGGAACTTGGAACAATTTGATGTTAAGAATGCTTTCCTACATGGAGACCTTGAAGAAGAAATTTATATGGAGATACCTCCGGGATACGGTAAAGATGTTGCTGCCAACACTGTTTGCAAGTTGAAAAAGGCATTATATGGGTTAAAACAGTCCCCCCGTGCATGGTTTGGCAGGTTTACTGAAGTTATGACAGGTCTGGGTTACAAACAAAGCCAAGGTGACCATACTTTGTTTTTTAAACATTCCAAGTCAGGGGGAGTAACAATATTATTGGTGTATGTGGATGACATAATATTAACTGGAGATAATAAAGAAGAACAACAATTATTGAGCCAATGCTTAGGCAAGGAATTTGAGATCAAGACCTTGGGAAAACTAAAATATTTTTTGGGAATTGAAGTTGCCCACTCTGAGAAAGGGATATTTATATCTCAGCAGAAATACATCACTGATTTGCTTAAGGAAACTGGCAAGGCAGCTTGCAAACCTGCTAGTACCCCATTAGAACCAAACCTAAAGCTTGGAAATGCAGAAGATGTTGCTGTTGAAAAAGATATGTACCAAAGATTAGTGGGCAGACTTATATATTTGTCGCATACCAGGCCAGATATTGCCTATGCAGTGAGTTTAATTAGCCAATTTATGCATAGCCCAAAGGAGACCCATTTACAAGCTGCCCACAAAATTTTACAGTACCTTAAAGGAACTCCAGGAAGAGGGATTCTATTCAAAAGGAATGGTAATGTAAAGCTTGAAGCCTATACTGATGCTGATTATGCAGGGTCAATTGTGGATAGGAGGTAAACTACAGGATATTGAACCTTTCTTGGAGGAAATCTTGTGACTTGGAGAAGCAAAAAACAGGGTGTAGTGGCTCGGTCTAGTGCTGAAGCAGAATTCCGAGCCATGACACAAGGTATATGTGAGTTACTATGGCTTAAAATCATCTTAGAAGACTTGAGGATAAAGTGGGAAGAACCTATGAAACTCTATTGTGATAATAAGTCAGCAATCAGTATAGCCCACAACCCAGTGCAGCATGATAGAACAAAGCATATTGAAGTAGACAGACACTTCATCAAAGAAAAGCTTGATAGTGGCTTGATATGCACTCCATATGTGTCCTCTCAAGACCAAATTGCAGATATTCTTACCAAGGGACTGGGCTGCCATAATTTTGAGAAGATTGTATCCAAGCTGGGAATGGAAAACATGTATTCACCAGCTTGAGGGGAGTGTGAGAAATCAAATAGTATTTTAAGAAAGAATAAATCAGGAAATTTGTATATTTCCTTGTAATCTGTACAGATTTGAATAATTAGGAACAATCCCATAAATCAAGGGATCCTAGCATAAAATAGAGTTATTATATTTCCTAAAATAGCTTAGGTCTCCTGTATATATCTTATATCATCTCTTTGTATTGAAATAATAAAAAATCATATTTTAGTTAATCTATTTTTCAAGAGTGACTAATAATATCTATAATATCTAAAACATCTAACACTCCCCCTCAAGTTGATGCATATAAATCATATGTACTAAGCTTGTTACAATTATAATTAATTCTAAGTCTCGGTAAAAATTTGGTGAAAATATCTGCTAACTGTTCACTTGAATTAACAAACTTGATCTTAATGTTTTCAGATATAATCTTTTTTCGAATAAAATGACAGTCAACTTTAATGTGTTTGATCCTTTCATGAAAGACAGGATTAGAGCTAATATGAAGAGTAGTCTGATTGTCACATATAAGTGTCATTTGAGTGATATCTCCAAATTGCAATTCTTTAATTAATTGTTTAAGCCAAACAAGTTCACAAGTGGCTGAGGCCATAGTTCTATATTCTACTTCTATACAAGATCTTGCTACAACATTTTGTTTCTTACTCTTTCGAGAGATCAAGTTACCTCCAATAGAAACATAGTATCCGGAAAGTAGATCTTCTATTAGACGGAGATCTTGCTCAGTCAGCATCTGAATAACATACAACTTTAGTCTGATTATTGTGATCATATATAACAAACCTTTTACATGAGATCCTTAATGTACTTTAATATACGAATGACTGCAATCCAATTATCTACAAATGGGAAATTAAGAAATTGACTCACCACACTAACTGAAAAAGGAAATGTCAGGACGACGAGTAACATTAAGATAGTTTATTTTCCAACTAATCTCCTGTACTTCTCAGGATCTGAGAGAGGCTTCCCTTGGTTAGGTAGAAGTTTGGTATTGAGATCCATGGGTGTGTCAATAGATTTTAAGTTCATCAACCCAGTTTTTTCTAAAATATCAAATGCATACTTTCTCTGAGATATAACAATGTCATTATTGGATGTGTTACCTCAATCCCTAAGAAATATCTAAGTTTGCCAAGATCTTTGTTTTGAAAGTGGTGACAAAGGTTTTTCTTTATCTGGGAGATGCCATGGTGATCACTCCCCGTAAGAACAATATCATCAACATATACTATTAAATAGATACATCCAATACTTGAGAGTGACAGTAAAATACTGAATGATTTTTCTGACTGCAAGCTATACTAAACTGCTGAACAACACTGCTAAATTTTTTAAACTAGGTCCTAGGAGATTGTTTTAGGTAATATAAAGATTTGTGAAGACGACATACCAATCTAGAAGACTCCCCCTGAGCAACAAAGCCTGGAGGTTGCTCTATATAAATTTCTTCCTGCAAAACTCCATCAAGAAAAACATTTTTGACATCCAATTGGTGAAAAGGTCATTGTTGAAAAGTAGTCATAGCTATGAATAAGCGAACATAAGTCATTTTTGCCACTTGAGAAAAGTTGTCACCATAGTCCAAACCAAAAATTTGTGTGTAATCTTTGGCTACAAGACGAACTTTGAGATGGTCAATAGTACCATTAGGACCAACTTTGATAGCAAACACTCACCTGCAACCAACAACAGAATTTCCAGACGGTAACAAGACGTGTTCCCAAGTTCCATTATTCTGAAGAACACTCATTTCATTAAGCATGGCTTGACGCCAACTAGGATGGGCTAAGGCATCACCATCAGATTTGAGAATTGACACAGAAGAAATGGACAAAAGGCAAGTATAAAAAGGTGGAGATAATCTATAGTAACTTAAAGCAGTATAATGAGGAGAGAGGTTATGAGTAGAACGTATATCTTTGCAGAGGGTAATTGAAAGGTTAAACTCATTTGTATGAGCTGAAGGAGACAAACTTGTTGACACTAGACGTGAGTCATTTGGTGGTTGTTGGGATTGTTGTCTTTGATTATAAACCTGAAGTGGTGGTGGCAGAGAAGAATCCACAGGTGGGCTAACAGGAGAATTACACACAATAGGAATAGTAGGAATATTGACAGTAATATATGGCAACACTCATGGAGAAGAAAAACACTTAAAATAAAAAGAAGACTCATTAAATATGACATCTTTAGAAATAAAATAACGGTTAATAGGAGAAGAAAAACACTTATATCCTTTTTGTGATCGAGTAAATCCTAAAAAAACACATCTGTGTGATTTAGGAGATAACTTTTCAAGACCAGGACTAAAATTATGAACAAAACATGTAGATCCAAAAACTTTTAGAGGAAAGGGATGTAGAGGTTCATGAGAAAATAAAAGAGAATGAGGAATTTTGTTATTTAGAATCATAGATGGCATGCGATTGATAAAATAACATGCAATAAGAACAATATCATCCCAAAAATGTTTAAGAACCTCACCATGAACTAAAAGAGTGCAAGTTGTTTCAACAAGACGTCTTGGCTCAGTCACCCCATTTTGTTGAGGTGTATAAGCACATGAAGTTTGATGAAGAATGCCATGAGAAACCATAAAATTTTTTAAAGTAAGAGAAAGGTATTCATAGTCATTATCACTTCACAAAATTCGAATAGAAATCTCAAAATAAGTTTTAATTTCATTAAAAAAGGATTGAAATATAGAAAACAACTCAATGATTTTTCATTAAAAACAACCAAGTTCTTCTAGAATAATCATTAATAAAGGTAACAAAATACTGAAAACCTAAATTAGATTTAACACGACTGAGTCCCCAAATGTCAGAGTGAACTAATGCAAAAGGGGATGAAACACGTTGTGAGACACTACGAGGAAATGAACTACAACTATGTTTACCTAATTGACATGAGTCACATAATAAACTAGATAAATTAAACAAACTGGAAACAAGTTGCTGTAATTTGGCAAGACTAGGGTGACCAAGTTGAGCATGGAGGAGAGATGGAGACTCCATAACTGTACCAACATGTGTAGAATGATGGAGATGATAAAGACCATGAGACTCACATCCGGTGCCAATCATCTGTCTCGAACTCCGGTCCTGTAAGCAAACAAAATCTTTGGTAAAAGAAATAACAGTCAAAAGAACGAGTTAGACGACTAATGGATAATAAGTTAAAGGGAGACCCAGGGACATAAAGAACATTATCAATGATAAAGATGGAAAAAGTTTAACAGTACCAATACCATGAGGCAAAACCCCCATTAGTCATTATAATCGAAGGTAAATTATTCGGAGAGGATAAAGACGAAAACAAAGATTTGTTTCTAGTAATATGATATGTGGTGCCTTAGTGAAGAATCCAAAGTCCAATAGAAGGAGATTGAGTTAGGTTAACAAAAAATGTAACTGTGAGTGCAACAAAAGTAGTGAAACTAAAGTTTTGACAAGCCTCATACCATTTGAAAAATTCATTGAAAATAATAGATTTGTCTATGATATAAGATGACTTAGGATCCATAGTAGATGATTGTGGGACAGCGGAAGAAGCCATGGAGGAAGAAAGAGAAAAAATGTTAAAATCTTTAAGTAGCACGTAGAGACTTTGATCATGATGATTTAAATGACACAGTGGTTGTCTAGTTGAGATGAGCAGAACGGTGTGGTCGTTGATCTAAATTGTGACTTGGCGTCGACAGTGGCGGCAACAAAAGAGAAAAAAAAAACCTTAAGCTCTAGATACCATGTTGAATGTAGTGAAAAACTAGGTATAAGGATAATTTTCTTGTGTTTAAAATACACATAGATTAATATATTTATAATTAAAAGTCATACAAGTAAATATGATAAATACATATATTGTGACTAATAATATCTAGAATATCTAAAATATTTAACATATACTATCCTTGGCCTACATAACAAGCCAAGCTTCGGCTAGAGATACTAGCTTGGTTAAGACTGTTTAAGCTTTGTCTTGATTGATTTTAATTAAAAGATCTTAAGCATGCTAGTATTTGTCTCATTTTGGAGAAATTATCGTGCAGACCGGTAAGTATCCATAGTCCCAGTTCAACCAATATCTATATAATACATTTAAATCTTGAAATTTATGAGAAAATAAATTATAATACTTAATTATGCGTTATGTGAGGATTAATGTAGATCATGATGGTACTGAACCACCAAATAATTTTGCTCATTTAGCTCAAGTATGCCTTGAAAGGAATTTCAAGTTAGATGTAAGCCTGGTATACATTTCACGAATTCTTATCTTGGAGGCTTTTTCCCGCATTATCTCTTTAGAGGTGGTAATGGTCTCTGATCGTTTGGAAAAGACATCTGATTGTGCCTGTGTTCCTAGAATCAGTTCTGCATATCTACGGCAGTAAAATATTTTATAGATCAGTGTTTACGTCCACTTCTTACACCATTATTTATGAATCATGTAGCTATTTTTGATGATTCTCTTATCTCCTTGTGGAAGGCTGAGTTGATTTGTTATTCCAGGTGAGTGTACGAGTTAGAGACAAGGCAGATCATAACGTTATGAGTATTGAGAACCTACTCAAACATTTCAGAGACGAAGCTGCAGCTTTCCATTGATACTTTGCTTGTGGAAACTGTTGAAAAATTTCAGCCCCAAATACCTTAGTTTTACACATTTGTGTGCATTATTTATATTTTTAACTAGCTTTATTATCCGGGTTTTATATATGATTTGAATGATCACTGTATTGCGATGAATGATCACTAAGATAATGGAACTTAAGGTTTTACCCTGACCGTAGTCTAGTAAATATTCTTGTATTGTTTTTATTTACGCTGCTACTTTATATAAGCAGTCGAGTTTACATGGCTCTTGCATTTTAAATCTTCTTTTGAGTCGGTAGCTTGACATTTGAGTAAAATATACCTTTTGGAGTTGGTCCTCAATGATGATTGTTAGCAAGTTGCCTAGGTTTCCATTAGGATCCAGGATTCTCTCTTTGGTGGATTCTTAAGCACGTTGAATATTGGTATCCATTTTGGATGTAATGTGTCAGATGCTTGTACTTGGTTCGTTCAACCGAAATGATTTATATATAGCATGGTGAGGTGAACGTAGATTTTGCATCCTCTCTAGGATAGTTTTAGCTTCAGAGTCTCTCCCTCTGCACGAGTGGATTCAACTCTCAGTTCATTCAAATGAAATTATTTATGTTGCATGAACGTTGAGTCTGCAACTTTGAGAGGATAATTTTGGGTTCCGTTGCCCCAACATTGGTTTGCCACAGCAAGTAAAGTAGTTGGTAGCTTAACATTTTTTTGGTGAGAATGACTTCAATTAATCAAATGAACAGGAATGTAGCCAAATATATTCACTTGTCTTCGGAACAGAAACGAGTGCTTTTCGACTTAGATTTTTTTTCTATGTTGTTTTACTTTTCTTTTGATTTTAATATATTTTCAATTCCCTTAGGGGAAAATTCATTTATTTGTCAATTGACCATATACAAATTTTGTTATAATAATTAGTCATAGTAAATTAGAAAAAATAAATACATTCGTCCGTGATATTTTTAATTCAGTCTTTTTCTTATTTTAATGTGCACATTGCTCATGGATTGTCGTTGACATTATAAAATGTTATTCACAAGCCCTTCAAGACATGAATATCTTCACCATTTTTTGATCAGTAATCAAAATTTCTTGGCAATGATTTTATTTTAAAAATAGTATTATATTTTAAAAGTATTTTATAATTTTTTTTCATAATTTTTCTATTCTGAAATAGCTGTTCCATGCTTATTCTGCCTGCCAATAGAAAATATTATGCAGTTTCTGCGCAATAATGATATCATTGCACTATCATAAAAAAAAATAAAGGATGAAATGCTATGTGTTGCTTTGCTTTAACTTGGGTAGAAAATACTTCAGACTAATTGTTCTATTCTTTTTTTCCAGAATAACTATCAAACTGGTTAAACTTATGAGGTGTATAATTTTTACTGTATTTTTTTATGCAACAGTTTATGGTTAGTTCTGTCTATATCACCTAGGCTTTGTAGCATTAGATTTTAGAATCATAAAACTTTGATTTTGAGGTGGATGAATTAAAGTATGTGTGTGCCCATTTATTAAGTATCAGAAACTTTGTCATGAAAGTTTATAATTATTATGTCTGACTTGTGATATCATAACGAAAAATTCAGTTAAATACTGAATCATTAAAACTTGAAAGTGATTTGTCAATCCAATTAAATTCTATTATATTGTCCATTGAGGGAAAATTTATTTTGTCAGATTAAGTAAAATTTGATAAGAATTGTTTCCATCATGATAAAAATTTGAATATCAAAACAATTTAATTACTATGTCTGACTTGAAAATTTTAATAAATAAAAATTCAGTTAAATACTGAATTATTAAAATTTGAATGTGATTTATCACTCTTATTAAATTATATTATGTTATCTATTTGTTTTCCGTTAGATTAAATAAAATCTGATAAGAATTGATTTTATATAAAAAAATCAAAATAATTTAATTAGTATGTCTGAATTGAGGTTTCATAAAAATACTAAATTATTAAAATTTGAAGGTGATTAGTTTCTTTTATTGAATTCTATTATATCATTTATTTATTTTCCGTCAGTAAAATATGATAAGAATCGTTTCTGTAAAGATAAAATTTGAATATCAAAATATTTCAATTACGGTGCCTGACTTGATATTTTATAAAAGCAATTCAGTGAAATACTGAATTATTAAAATTTGAAAATGATTTCTCACTTTGAATTTAATTATATTATTTATTTATTTATTTTCCGTCCGTATAACAACAATTGTGTCCATGCACATAAAATTTGAATATTAAAATAGTTTAATTTTAGATTTAGTACAAACACTCTAAATTCTTTAATTATAATTTGAAATTAAATTGATTATGCAGAAATAATTATGATTTTTTATGAAATTCTTCTCTTAAAAATATTCTGAGGTTCTAATGTATAATAACGGAAATATTTTATTTTCTATACTTTTTTTTACTTTTTATTAGAAAAAGGAAATTAAACAGTTACACTGATACTTTTATACTTTTAAGTTAAAATAAATTAAGTTTTAGGTGATAAGAAGCAAAAGCTACTCTATAATAATAATAAACTATTGCTGTTTTCTATCACATGAATTCTTTGAACTTTAGTACAAACAAGACTACAAGCTATGGTCTTATGGTTCCCAACAAACCTAAAATTTGACTTAGCCAAGGTTTTTGGAAGGTGTGACACATTTTCATAGTCAGTATATAAATAATACATTTTTTTTTTCATTTCATTGTTTATTCTATACCTCAAAATGATAGTTTATAATTAGAAAACAATGCTTTACTTGACCACCTGTTCATGTAGCAACTTTTGTTAAAGTAAGAAGCAAATTAATTAACTTGTCAAATTTAGCCAAAAACAGTGTTGAGTGAGGATTTACCTTTATTTTCTAAATCAAATAAAAACCACACACTAGGTGTTTATGTATGATGATGGATTGACATATTTGGGTAAAACTTGCATGAATTAGAGCAACACAAGGGAATCTAATTTTACTCTTAATTTAGACAAAAGGTCGAAATCTAGCCTCTGCTAGCAGCAGTCTGCTGTGTAGTGTTTGGTCATCAATTATTTACTAATAGACAATCCCCACCAAATTTTGTTATGTCTTTCTTCTGCATCACCTCCATTATTATTTCAAACTGCTTTAATATAACAAGGATTTCTCTATAATACATATCATATATCCACTTCATGACAGTCATATATATATATTACTTTTTTTAACCATGACTCCCTTAGTCTTAGTCTTATTTATGTTCAGGAATTAGATTTTGTAAGAATAAATATTTTATTTTTTAGATTAAGAATGTTATTTAATATAGTTGTAAAAATGAACAGGAAATAGACATATTTTCTACAAACTACACACATCCCTTTTAGTTCCATCGTTCAAAATTTTAGAATTAAAAATCGTAATAATTTGTGTATATAGATTAAAACAAGTTTAAAAATATATAGGTAGAGTTATAAAATATAAATATAAATATAACTGAACATGACTTTAAATATGTTTCCTTATGTTGTATTATTATATTGAAGTGTGTTCATGTTAATTTATTATTATTACTATTATTTTAAAAAAGGTACCATTTTAATAGAATATATTCATCCTACTGAAATGTAACCTCAATGCCTTCACTAAGCAAAAACAAATCTCTAAAAACAAGATTGACGAATATATTTACATCCTCAGGAAGCTGAGTGAATAATGTTATTATATAAAGTAGGGTATATATTTTGTTTGCTTTGATGTAACATGTGACTTATTCATGAGATCTTATCATAAGTTACAATGATATAGTATGTTATTGCCTGTTACACTTAACATCCTTAAACAGCCGCAAGAGTTGATTTCTAAGTACATTGTGTTAGATTCGCTTTGTGTGACTACATGCTACGAACCCATACACACGTCCACCCGCTGACAGACACATCATGATCAGCAGCTGCAGATATGCACACGCATGCATGAAATGGAACTTCCTTTCTTACTACTACAACATAGCAAGAATCAGAAGCATATAGAAAAAACAATACCAAACTGAAAATACAGCGATTAATATTATTATTATTATTATTAATTATTATTATTATATTATTGCTATCATATATTTTTTGTTATTATAATAGTAGTGAATCTAACAACTGGCTACAATGTTAGGACTTAAATCATTAGGACTAAATTTTCATTAATGCCACTGATTCTTCCCATGTGTTTTTGAAAAAGTCTAGTCATACTCAAAATCCATTGTTGGCTCCACTCCTAGTTACATTATTCTGATCCTGATGGAAGTGATGTTGATGGTGGTACCCTGGCATGGAACTGCTACTCTCACCTATGTCAAGTTCTGGCCTGTATACCTCTTCTTCTAACTCTTCCTTTGCCACTTTTTGCATTGTTGATCCCATGAACTCCAATGGCCTTTGCTGGGGTGACAGAAGTTGATGATGGGACTGTGGTTGTGTTGGATGTGGTGGTGGCACCACTGAGGGGAGCTTAGAGAGAAGTGCCTCAAGGCTGCTCATTGAGGGGGTTATTTTGAGTGGCAAGTTGAAGTGGTTGTCATATAACTCAGTTTGGGGTGCAAGGTGGTTGCCTTGGAAATGCCATTGTTCTGGGACTCCATACCCTCCTTCTACTTTATAAGGGTATGCAGAAGATGATGGATGTGGCAACAACACACCAGGGATGCTCTCAATGTAGCTGAACTTTTTTCTTAAAAGAACCACATAGCTCAGGTCTTCAATCACCTTCAGTTCCATGGAGAGACATAATAGAGTGGACATCGTACAAAGAGTTATGAGTAAAATTGTAAAATTGACCTGCGTGAGAGAAAGAGAAGAAGAAGAGGGAAAACCTTGTGAACAGCTCCTAATTGAACAACACCTTCTCGTACAGCAATAAGAGCTATGGTCTGAAAGAATAATAGAATTGAATTCAATAATCTTGGAGTCTGAAATCAAAGAGGGACTGATTATATGATAGCAATACCTTTATACCAGACAGGAACTGGGCTTCCCAAGTCCGAGGGTGCTGTAAAAGAACATATTTGTATAAGGATATACGGACATTCAAACACACCTAAGCATGAAATCATGACTAATAATTTGTCACACATTAAATTAATGGCTAAACTTAGATGATTATGCTAGCAATTAATTTGACATTTAATGCTGTTCACTTGTCAAGCATGAGGAAGATATAGATGGACTTTTAATTTCTTTCTCACCGAATCTGCTGAATTGTGCCATGCTGACAAGAAGTTGATTTCTTGATCGTTAGGCTCTTTGTATATCCACTTGTGGCTGTGATCTGCAGCAACTTTTCCTATCAACCTGCTCCATTGAACATGATTACATAACCTCTTTGCGGTGAAATCTTCCAGGAGCAAAATAAGAGAAATGTGCAAAAAGGATATTAACATATACAGATATTGCATACCCTTCTCCATAGTTATAGATCTCATGTGACATCTTGAAGAAGAGCTCCGGTTGCAGCCCTTGGTAGGGCTGAAATTCACAGTTCCCATAAACTGATGAGGTAGGACAATCTCCAGAGTTGATTTCTGGAGCTGCAGATGCAGCAAAATTGCAGAAACCATCTTCCCACACCAATATCCTGCATGCATATGAACACCCTTGTTAACCAGACACAATAATCCAGTACCAGTATTGAAGTTATGACTAAATAACACTGGAAATGCTACCAATTCCTTCTGTTTCCTCTTGATCTGTCATAAGCCCCTTGTCCTTCCCACCTATATGATTAAGAAGAAACAAGATTCAAGAATCAGCACATGCATCATGGAAATGTTTTCATAAAGTTTGAGTTAATTAGTTCATATATAGATACTATATATGCGTGTATGTGTGTGATCTATGTGCCTAGCTAGTTCACAAAATCTGTCTTTCCAGGAGATATAGAATTGATTGATCTCTAATTCCCCTCTCCTTACTTGGGTGGAGGGTAGTTTCTAGGCAAGATCCTCCAGAAGACTGCATAGACCCATTGGGAATTTTCGTGGATGCACAAACTTCTGAGAGTGTGTTGAAGGAGATGGGTAACAGCCAGTGGAGTGAGATGTTCTTCCATCAAATCCTCACAAAAACAAACAATTATAGGCTCTATGTATATATTTGATCTCTTTCCCTTGCACCCCCTTACCTAGCTATCTTTAAGAGTGGGGAACTGCAGCATCCTATCTTCCTTTATATAAGCCCACCAACAAGGAAACCTCACATTTATACTCCCCTCCCCTCTCTCTCTATCTATCTTTCTCTCTCCCTCTCTCTCCTACACATACAATACATTTAGGTGGGGGAAAAGTTGGGGTGAAATAAATGAACCATATACTTTTCATTGTACACAAAATATTTCAATATTTTATTCAGACCCCACCACCTCCCGTTTTCCTTCTCCATTCCCCAAATCCTCATCTTTCAATATCCTCCAACGTTGAAAACAACCAACCTCACCCAAATTCATGAACCGTCTATCAGCAGCAGCATAGGCCAAAGGTAATAATTTATATATAACATTATATTAGGTGGTTTCAAAAACAGCATGATATATACGAGTCACGTAGCTCCATGTCTTAGTGAGTCTTATCTAATTTCTTAAGCCTTGATCCAGAACCCCAATGCTCCTGCAGCAGCATCCATCTTTTCATACCTAAATATTTTATATTTTAATTCATGTTCCATCGCTTACCGTTCTGTTCCCTGACACTCTTAGGTATCAGCATGTACTCATGATTCCAGTCCCAGGCTAACTTCCTAAACCACAACCATTTATTCTACTCAACCGGCCACAACACCGCACCTAATAAATGTTACCACTTTTTTAATTAACTTTAATATATATCAGACACTACTTTTCTATTTTTCCATTAACTTCGATTTGTAGTTTTGTTCGATCGCTTGTCTGCTACGTGAGGAACAAGATAATGGTGCCAGGATATCCCTTAGAGGAAGCGAAATATCAACATCAGATTACTGTCTCAATACTATTGCATCAGAGCCTCGTAGCAACTAGTAGCAACTAACAAGTATAATAACTAGTTTTAGTAATAGTGCTTAAATTACATAACCAATTACTTAATATATATTATCAGACATTAATATTCTTATAATTTTCTTTTGCCTCCAAAAAGACTAGGTAGCTGAGTTTTATTTTCTTTAACCCAAATGAGAAAATGGACTAGGCTTAAATCTTAGATAATCTCATCTTATAAATTCTTCAAGGTAAAATTGTTAAACTCTTGTTGTTCAAAAAATCCATTATATTGTAAGAAGCTAAAACAATAAACACACATAGTTCTCAATCCTTGTTGCAGTTCTAGGGGAAACATGATATTTTTCCGTGTTTTCTTCTTTATTATTTCCATTTTGTTACGCTTTTCACATCTCCAAATGATATACAAATTAAACCTTGATATATAGAAAAGTTTCCCAGTTTCCATGAGTAATTTGAAACTGAAGTTGAAAGTAAAATATAAAATGTAATTAATGAGAATCATAGAGAAACCGCAGTATACATAAAATAATACAAGCTAGAATTCAACCGCTTGTAACCATAACCTGGTAATAGTGAAAATTTTCCAAACCCAAAATCATGATGAACCAGGGTCAGAAAAACAAAGTTTCAACGACACCATCTATACACTTGAAATTTAAGAACTCCTCCATTTCTCTCTCTCATAGTATAGTCGGTATCTCCTTTCTTTGCACCTGCTACACTCCCATCTCTGATGAATCTGTAAGTTACATAATGACTAAATGGAGAAGAACTCATTACTTTCATTTCCCCACTCTGACACACCAGAAAAAGCTTGACAGCAGGCCATTATACTCCTATCCCTTTGACCATACATTATTATCCATAATAACTAGAAATATATAATAAAAAAACTGTTCTTAAAGAATATATTTCTATAATTCAAAATTTCCATGTATATATTCTAGCTAGACATTAATGTTATAGATTACCTAATAACCCAACCATTTATTTATTGCCTTCATTTCATGACAGTGACACACATTGCTGTCTCCATGATTTCCCAAACGGATTCTTCCTGTGTAATGTACCACAACAATGCTTTCATGTCTATGTGAGAGTGTCCCGCGTGTGAGTGAGAAAACGGGGGGTTGGTGTGATTAAGGGCTAAAATAAACTGTACTATGCATGTATAATTCATGATGTGTACGATGGTAAGGCAGAGAAAGTTACTTAGCAGTGGTAGAGAGTTGGGGACAGCCTCTGAAATGGGTGATGTAAGCAAAGGGAAAGTGCTGGGGGCTACAAAACAATTCAATGAGTTTTGGATTTTATTGGAGGTGGGTGATGCCCTCTAGTGGACATAATATATTGCTATCTTGTTTCTTTTCACAAAATAATAAAAACAATAACTATAGACGAAAGAAATTAAATTAATCATCAACAACTCATTACTAACTCTGAAACCAAACTCATACATTTTAAGCAAAATCTTATATTCAAAGTTTGTGGATAAAAAAGAAAAAAAGCAATTAAAAATATTTCTGTTACTAATAATCAGTTAATTCTTTTTAGAAAGATCAATCATTAATTTGACACTTACAGCATGATAAAGATTAACTATTAATAAAGACGGTAATTAAATAAATTTTCTGATAAAGATTAAACTAAGTGATATTTGGTGAGGGGAATGGGATGGAACAAGTTTGGTATGGGAGCAAAGAATGGCACAATAGTCTTGGTCAAGGAACAGGTGTTGAATCTGGAAGGATGCCCCATCCCTTTCTTCAATTAAAGGAAGTGGAATCTCTGCTCTCCCATCCTTCCCAATGTCTATGTGTCTCATTTGATCATGTTAAATAAATAAATAAAAAATAATCAAACTAAGAAAATAACTAATTTCAAAGTGCATGAGTGTGATTTCCATAATGTGTCCTTAGAAGCATATAAATTATTAATTAGGAGACAACGAAACATAGGATCTAGTAATGCATACTTCTAAGCAGGCAAAGATAGTTGTTATAGCTCCACCTCAAACTCATTGCACAAAGCATATTATGTGAAATGAAAAAAAAATAAAAAATAAAAAAAAATACTACTTGGTAGGGGAGAAAAGGGTGTAATTAGATATTGTTTTGGAATGTTTGGTGGCATGTTATAGGATATAGTTAATGGCTAGGGTTAGATTCCCTCCGGCCCCCCCTTTTTGTCTTAAAAGAAGCAGACACATAACCCTTACACCTCACTTACTTAGGCTTCGTAAATAAAGGATACCCTAATTGGTTATCCGTGATGTCTATCTATCAATATCTAAATTTCAGTGTTTCTTGAAGTGATGGAATTTCTTATCTTAACTAACTCATTTGTTTCTACCCTTAAATTCTATGAAAACAATCAACTTTCCTCACATTCCCCAACATTATCAAAAATTATTTTGTACGTGTTGATTCATTTTTATTTACCCTGCTCCTCGAATAGACCATTCTGCCACCGGTAAAAAACCACTACTTTTCTTTTCTCAACAACAAACATGACTTACTTACATTTTACATTTTTCTCTAAATTCTTTTCTGACCAAATTAACAACCACTCACTATTGCCAACATCCCATCACAATGATTTCATGGAATTACTCATCTGTGGCAAAAATCATAACTATAGCAATCAATAATAATCAATCATTAATAATTAACTAACAATCGGTAACCTGAGCTAATCATCGATAGTTCTATGTGATAAAATATTGCTCACCACTTTTAGTTGGTCACTAAATTAGTTACCAATCAGTCATATACATACAGTAGTTTAAGTAGTGAATATCTTCAATTGGTTGCTACACGAATGTGACCTTTCTCATTGTGCAAAGCTCAAATTTTATTCAACCATCTATGTTGAATACTAAAACTAAATTTTAAAACTAATTGTTGGGAGAAATTGAAAATTGTAAAATAAACGACAAAAGATCATTGGGAAACACCTTTGTAATTGTTCAGTAGTGTTAAGAGGTTTGCTTATTCTGCAAATAGACTAAAGTATAAAGTATATTCATTTCTTGTTAGGAGAATACAATTTTTTTAAAGTAATAAAACCATAATGTAACAAGTCTCAAGTTAGAGTAATTTACTGAAAAAAATGCATATATGGCATATGTACAATTAAGAAGATGCAAGTAATATTGACATTAAGGTTATATATATATATATATATATATATATATATATATATATATATATATATATATATTTGGAGTGTAAGTTTTGTTGGTGGCATTAATATCAATATAGCTTAAGTTCAATTTGTCCTTGTGAAAAAGTCTTCAAAGACATTTCTGCTCGGCTTCTCAAAAAATGGAGATGAGATTGGGATAAAAAATGAACGAGTGGAAAAAAAATTGTTTTTCCATAATTTTATCTTAGTCGTAAATTTTATTAAGAAATTGATAAGTAAAACATTCATTAAATCATGATTTTGAACAAAATTTAGTGAATAATAAAGAGTATTTTAGAGAATATATTATTGAGATTTGTTGTAATAAGTTAAACTAGTTGGCAGCATATATATTAGTTTGTATTCCACTAATGTCCTTCAATTCCTTTTGAAGCCATCCCTAAAATCAAAACCCTCTTTTATTGCCTACTTTGAAAATGAGAGTGGTTTGGGACGAAAGCTAATGTCAATGATGTCACCTACGAGGGGTCACCACCATTGATTCCTCATTCCAACACCGACATCACCCTTCTTCATAAGGAAGCCATTCACGATTTAATCACTTTTCCACCACTACTCTAAATAAACACTTTCGTTTTGCATTTTAAATAACTATATACACAAGATATTATACATGCATCATGTTCTTAAATGAGTTAAAGTTGAATCATATTGTTTCCATTATATATAAAAAGAATGTAATTAAAGTAGAAAGTTGACATGCATGTGTATATGATCTGTTTCCATCTTAAGCCCTATCGGACTCTTGAAATGAGACATGTTAAGGAGATAATGAACCATTTATATGCTTCTCTATCCGACAACTTCAGTTTCCTTTTAACAATTGATTCTTCATACGGAGCATATATATATGCCTAGGTGTAAAGTTCATTACAAGAGAAGAACAACTTTACAAAATTAAAATAATCAACTGAAAAAATGATTATGGTTCCAAATTCATGGCGTAATTAACCCATGCATAAGTCATGATTTTGCCATTGTTGTGTGAGATAGGGATGCAAAAACATTAATAATTATCAATATGTTTAAAGGGGTATTAGATGAGTTGTTTCTCACGGTAATGAGTTGTACTAGTTTGGTGTATAGTAGTTACAATAGCTAAGTACACCACCAATACGGACTTTTCTTTTTCTACTTTCAATTCTTCATCTTTTTCAGCTACAAACAATAAAATTATGAAAGAAAAAAAAAGTGTGAGCGAGAAAGAAAGAAAGAGCCAAGGAAAGAATATATATATATATATATATAAAAAAAAAGGAAACTGAAAACTTTGCTCTTTTTCAAATTTGAATCCTTCACTTGTTGATTTTTGTGGTTGAAGTGTTGTCTCCCTTGAATCGTATAAATTGACTTTATTTATTTGAAAACCATGAGTTCCTTTCTGTACTATACACCCAAAAACAGCCCAAAAGCACTCTCTTTACTATAAAGAAACGACCTATAACATTGAAAGACTTCAAAACTAACTCTTAAAATAAAGATTGAGGACCACTTTATATATTAACTAGTACAAAATTATTCTAGTTTAACTACATTAATATATTCCAAAGTTTAAAAATTGAATACAAAATTAAGTATAGTGTTTGAAATAAGTTTTTCTTTTCCTTTTTTTTTTTTGTAAAAACTCTACTATATATTATCTTGGTAAAAGTTATACTTAGTTTATATAAAAAGATTGAGATGTCTTTATCTTCCATGAAAGAATGATGAAAAGATTAAAAATAAATAAATATTGGGTGGCTGTAGGTAGAAGAGTTTGGCCACATATGTCATATATATATATATATATATATATATATATATATATATATATATATATATATATATGTATGTGTATACATATACATGCATGGACTTATTAGGTATAAATATTAATAATATAGTTTTAGGAAGGGATTTTAATTTGATACCTACTTTACCTCTGTAAATTAAAAAGCAATGTAGTTTTTTTTGCTTAAAAAAAACAATAATGGTTGATTTTTGTTAAATAGGGTTACAAAAGATACTTAACCCCATACAAACCATACACTTAAATCAATCCAATAGACAAACATAAACATTACCACTACTAAAAATTCTCATATTTTATGAGAATATTTTTGCAAAGTTTTTGTAAAAATGGCAAGAAATAAGTTTTCTATAAATTTAAACAATTTTTTGCAAGAAAATTGGCAAAAAAAACCCTTAGAATTATTCAAAACCAAGATTAGAGTTTCGTAAAATCCACAACGCTATAAATATTTTATTATCAAGTCTCTTAAATAGAATATACTTTATTTTATTTTAATAATAGTAATATAATCAAGACATCATATACTTTTATTAATCTCCAGAAAAAGACTTTGTGATATTTTGGTGGTCAATATTTTATTGGCATGTGAGTAAAATATATATATATTTTTTGTTGATCTCGTAATATATTATGGAATTTTGATAGTTTTTGTAAAGTCATAATAACAACATATTTAAAACTAATATATATTATAAGACAAAGAATATATTAAAACAGCACCTTTATTTAAATTATTAATAAAATAATTTTAATTTTAGGTCTAGTGTTAGAGTTGATAAATTCAAGATATTCATAATATTAGTCTATCATAAATTGTTGGGGAAAATATGCAAGAGGATAATCACATATTCGGATTTGTTTTAATGTATAATTAACATTGCATTCTTAGGATATATATGCCTAAGAATATTATTGACATGACCATTTGATAGCTTCAAATAATAAATTAAAATTCATTAATTAAAAATTGTAAAAAAAGATTAAAAGAAAATCATAGAAAAATGAAAGTTATTTTTTAAAGTAACTTCTATCTTAATGAAAACGTGGGATATCTATCACCTATCAGCATATGAAAATATGAATATTTTATATTTCTGAAGATTAATAGCACTTAAAAATGTTTTTTCGAAGTTGTACCGAACAATAATATAATTTCAATATGATTATTTTTTAAGTTTTTCATTTTTTAGAAGGAAATGCATACAAAAATAAAATACAGTTTTATTCAACTAAAATTGATTAAATATCAAACTGTATGTATTACAAAAAAGAAAGAATTGTTAAAAAAATGGAATTAAAATTGAATGGGGTAGAATCCAGTTTGCATTTTCTCTGATCTTAGATATGAGCAATTATGATGTTGGGTGGATGTGAAAGGTAGAAAACACATACTTCATTATTTATTTAGTTCTTGAGTTACAGCCAACAAATATTGGTGGAAAGCTGTAAACATGAAGTGGAAAGCACCAAATTGTGAAGCTTCAAGCTGGATGCCACGACTTACGACTTTTAATGGATCATAATCCACAACGTATATTATGTAGGGTACCCTAAAATAAAGCACGTCAATTTTTTTTATTTTATTTTTTGGGGAGCATATTGATTATAATTAATAAACATGATTAATATATATATAGGTTAACATTTACACACACGCTTGCATATCATAAATGCATATATGAACACCATGTTTTGCTTTCTCTTTTGCTAAAGGTTTTAAGGTTCAAAATGACTCCTGTAAGAACATAAGCTATTTTTTCCAGTTTAATTTAGTCATTTACATGAACATAATAAAGCCCACAAATACGAGTATATGATTCTAGAAAATATATATGATGATAATGATTTTCACTGTCATGATATGTTGAAGAGATACTAGATATCTTAAAAGTTAAAATAATTGAGTAACTATTCTATATTATCACTAATTTCATCCAATTAATTGTGTTATTGTAGAGGAGAGAATCAAGGTTTATTCAAATGAGTCATATATTAATTGCACAGGTATACAAATTATACTACAAAATTGCAAAAAAAATAAAATCTCGTTTTAAATCAATATATAATTATAAAAATTATAAACGCTTTGTTTTATACTAGCTATATATTATAAATAATTTTTGTATATCACTGTTAAATTTTGTATGAGAAAAATATATAGTTACATTGAAATTTATAACAAACTTGATGAACAGAACGATGTAAAATACGGCTCCTAGAGTCAGAAGAATTATTGTAAGTGTTTTTAAATTGTAGGAGATTATTTTGAAATTTTTGTTTAGTTATTGTAGAAATCATATGAAATTATGATGAAAAAAGAAAAAAATGAAGAAGGCACTTGAAGCTTAATTATGAAATTTGGTTATTAGTAACAAGTGAAAACATGATAGGATAGAGTCATGGCATTGGTCAAAGCTTTTATCTTGGCACCACTAAGCATGCATGGTTTGATTTTTGGATGTGATAGGTCCCCCCACACTATATACCACATTATCCTTATGGAGACAAAAATGGCATAAATGATGAGTTTGTTAATTTATGTAGAGAGATATTACTTCTTCACCAAACACTCATCATTATCAACAAACCAATCTAAGGATACAATAAATAACAATGCTTCTACATTATGTTGATTACTTATCTTTTTATGAGAAATTTAAAATTTTTCATTTTAAGAAATATTGATACTTGTTTCTTTTAAGTTATTTTATTTTATGTTCATGTTTTATTTATTTGATGCTATAGGTTTTATGCATGTTTTATTTATTTTCTAAGAATACACATCTTATTTTCTTACAATTTTTATAATTTTAAACTTAAAATTATAAGAAAATTTTATTTTGCAAAATATTTTATTTTAAAAATCTGAGAATAATTGTGAGTAATTGAAATTGATGATTATGTTTTTTAGCATAAATTTTATTTTTAATGATCATTTTATAATATATAATTAATATATATATCTTATCTTATAAATTATTTTTTAAAATTAATTTAATATTTTTTTATTTGAAATATGATATCATAATTTATTTTATTGAATCTATTACTCTATTGGATTATTATCGGATTACTTTTAATAAATTTAATTATACATTTTTTTATTTTATAAAATTAAATTAAATATCACTTATTTTTAATATTTTTTGGGTGAAATATTCTTATTTTAGGGATTTTAAAATAAGTTTAATATGATGAGATAGGAAAATATTGAGAAATAAATTAGGTTAGGTAAAAAAAATGTGTGACCTAAATTAAATTGGTTTACTCCATTATTTAAATCGTGATAAATGGTGTATGAATTGATATTTTATAAAATTTAACGTTATAAATGACCTATATCACATGTTTATGAATTGATATTTTATAAAATTTATATTTTTTATTTTATTTAATATAGGAATTTATTGATATTTTGAATTTTGATTTCAAAATTAAATATATTTTTACGGCTAAGATTAGGAGATAATTGATTTACTACAGCTATGAAACTATTTTAAATTGTTTAGCCTTTTTTTTTTTTTCATAAGGCAAATTATTTAATTGTATTTTATTAGATATATAAAGTGAATGCTTCACGGAAAATAGTATGAAACAGAAGCATCTTATACTAAAGTGTATATTTACATGTGTAATTCCATTATAGTGATCATGGTATGAGGTAATTTTTATTAAGAAGTATGATTGAATTTAACTAAATAAATTCATTAGAGTTATATGAAAATAGTTATTTTGAAATAATTAATTTTATAAATAGTTATTTTAAGGCATTCTTAATTAAAATTTAATTAAATATAAAATAATTACATATTTAATAATTATCATTATATTTAATCTAATTATTACTCAATTAAAATATTTCATTTTCTATTAATTTTAAAAGGAATTTAATTATATGGATAAATTTATGTTTTTATTATTATTATTTTTCTCTCCCACTTTCCTTTATAATCCAATAAATGAAAATAACCTTATATTATTCATTATTTATTTCATCAAATCATACAACTTAATGGAAATTGTTACTGGCGTCATTTTCACAAATAAAGTAAAAATAAATATTATCATCCAAGTTAGAAAAATTTAAAATTTGATAAATTTAACTTGTGTTAATTGAAGGACTTAGTTTTGTAAAATTATTGGTATTTTTTATATGAGCCCATATATTTATCAAATTCATTATATATTTTAGTATTACAACGATTAATTAATTATTTATATATAGAAAATAATTACTTATTTTAAGAATAAGAATTAGACATTTGTTCTTTATTTTTATTTTTTTAATATAATAATTAACTTGAATTATTATTTTATTCTATTAGATGATTAAAAAATAATTGTGAAAATGAAGTTTTTGCTCTTAATATATATAATATCGGGGCAGAATCTCTTCTCCAATTTTATACTCTGACCATGTACCTATTCTTTAAAGAGGCTCAATTATAATTTATAAAGGAGTAGGAAGGGAAGATCTTATTACGATGCGGACAAAAGTATATATTCACATTTACAAATCAATAAAACGACATTTTAAAATTCAAATATCTTAAAATATATGTATCTTATACGATGTTCTAAATCATAGTATAAATAGTTTATGAACTTCTACAACTTATAAACCTCACTTCAATAATCGTCAACATACTTTATAAAAAATATAAATTATAATTTAAGTTGTTATTATAATTGATAAACTATAATTTAAATTAATCTTTAAGTAATTATAACTATAAACTATTCTTAAAATAATAATAATAATTTATTTTATTTAAATAATATCTATCAATTATTTGGAGGCAGAATAGGTGATCAAATTTCTAGAAATACATTATTATGATTGTGTGAAGTTAATTTGGTGTAATATAGTCCACGCTTTATTATTCTAATCCTTTCTATCTTCTTCTGTTACAATTAAAATCTATTATATGGACTTCACATAAAAAAATTGAAAAGAGAAGTTTTAGTTTATTCAAATATAATGTAATGGTGTGTATATATACATAAAGGAGGGTGGAAGAAATGGACAGAAGTCGAATGGAGTGTAATAGGAAATAAGATGGTCAAATGTATGGAAAAGTGTGGGGGTTGGTAGTTTTTCCAATGGAGAAAACCTCCAAAGTGTCACGTGAAGCATCGGATTGCAAGTCACCATCTTGGCCAAGAATGGCTTTGCCTACCCTCCATAGTAGCCATCCACGACCCAAAGGAAAAAGGGCAAGTGTAAGAGCCACTTCCTCATGTTACTATCACACTTGACAGTTTATAAACTTTTCAACCTTGTGGAGACAGATTACAGAGTCCATCTCTATAATAAATAATTAGAAAATGTTCCTTCTATCCCTAGCTATTACTATAGGACATTGTCCACTCAAACAGTACAATATATATATATATATATATATATATATATATATATATATATATATATATATAAATAGCACACGTATGTCCAATATGGAGGGTTATTATTCAAAGCATGAACCTTGCTTGAATCTATGCATGCCGTTCAATCAGACCACTCCCCATCATGACAACACCATTTGATAAAAGGGAGAAACTTTTTGTTCATGTTAGTCAAACAGAAAGTGATTGATCGATCAAGAATAGCCTTTGAATAACGTAAACTAGCACTTGCCACGGATTTGTCAAGCTAATGGAGATCTAGAGGATGATGATGATAAAAGAAGCCCTACCTCATCTGTAGTAAATGTGATACAGATGTTCGATTCTGATCAAACCCACTTTCTCCAAGGCTTACAAAATATTTACTATACACTCACAATGTTTGTAAGCATACATCTGACCCATCATTGTCTCATTTGTTGGACAACTAGGACAGAACTAGTTGGATTATAAGTAGGTCAGGTCCACTTCTAGGCTGTAATTTTAACCTTTAACTAAAACACGTTTAGTTGTTCCACCCTCATGAAACATATGCTGCCACCTAGCCTTCTTTCAAATTATTGACTTGTCAAATTTAATACATAAGCTAGTGTTTCTGTGTGTCATGCGCAAGAACTTCTTTCATTAATTATTTGTGCAAACAGTGTACACAGTGAGTATAAAAGACTTTTTCATCATCACTTAATCACAGACTGACATATATGGCAAATTAGTCATTTTTCATAATGGCTATTTTAAAAGTTATACTTAACAATCATTTTCTTACTTTAACCTTTTATATTCTCATTTAGGGGAGCATAAGGTTATATATATGTATGGCTAGGTTTGAGGTTTGGAAACAAGAAAAGCAACCCAACCTGTTACATTGCTTCTAATTAATGATGATACAGTGAGAGTTGATTTCCTATTAAAAGGGTAATCAATGTGTTGTAATTAATCTGTGATATATATATAAATAAAGCAAAGTTGACAATTAGTTATAAGCTAATGATTTGATGAAGAAGTCTTAGTAAGATGGAAATTAATGATTACAAGTGTTGGGGGAGGTGGGGTTGGGAGGGAGGTCTTGATGATGATAGCTTCTTTAGCCAACAGGGAACTGAAAAGGACTCACAATGATAGAGAGATGGAATAGGCATCTAGTGCTGTGGTTGAGGACAACATGACTGAGATATGTGGGGTACCAAGAGATAGAGACATTTGATCATTCACATTAAAGTGTTCCCTTTCCCCTTTACTCTGTGGAAACGGAGGTCCTACACTCCTTTCTTCTCTAACTACGAGGGATTTTGGTGCATCAATGTTCAACATTTGAGAGTGATAGTCACACACCTATCCTTGCTAATCAAATAGTAATTAACTAATTTGGTCCATCATTGATGAAGTTAGTACAATGATGAAACTCAACATCAAAATAATAAAAAGTTTGCACTCACTTGATAACTTTGTTCATAAGAGGTGTCTTGGACTGGGAACTATTTCTTTATGTGGAATTCAGTCCTTGTCAATACTCTCTATATCAACTTTCCATATATCTTTTCTCAGGTCTTACCAAGGGCCATTAGGGTTCTCATCAGCTATGTTTCTATTGATGGAAATGGATAGTATAAAATCATATTAATTCAAATAAAATCATGTGGAATAGGAGAGAACACTATAATAATATTTTCATTCTATATTTAGATATATTATGATATAAGAGAAGCTTCAATTCCTCACAGCTTAGAGGAGAAAAATGAAAGTAAACAATGAAATTTGATAAATAATTTTCAATTTCTATTATATTTCATTTTATTCTTTTTGTTTTAATTACCAATTCTAATAATAAAACACAATACTGTTTATTATATTTTCCTCTGTATCATCATCTTCCACCAATGCACGTGAGATGATATCAATGGGTCTTGACTTGAGAATAAAATAATTCATATTATTAACATGCATGGTGGTTGAGTGGAAGTATATATGTGCATGTACAAGTACAAATCATTAGCATTAAGACAGAAAAATGACCTAAACAAAACTGTTTTTCTTTGTTTTTATTTTTAAATGGTCACGTCCTATTTTCTAAATGCCCTGATCATATATTCTTTTCACGGAAAAGGATGGTGATATCAAATTGAGATGATGTCATTTCATGTCAAACCACACACTTACATTTGATTTGTTTTCCTTGTAATCTGATAAATAAGAAAATCACTTTACAGGATGGAGGGCACATGGGGGTATGGCCAAAATGTAACCAAAGATTTGAATATAAAATCATGGGGGCACACTTCAGAGTATTATTCTCCCTCATTCCCATAGTGCCTCTTGAAAAACTTTACAAATTCCCGTTTCGTCACAATAAATGTATTTATATATATATATATATATATATATATATATATATATATATATTTTTTTTTTCAGAAGAAAAATGATAAATGTATTCTTGAAGACAATCAAGTTTAACTTGGTTCACTAGACCTAACCCACGATGATTCATATACGATATTTTGAATATACATACATGAGGGTGATGAATATTTGAGTTCCAAATTGGTGATGGTGATGATGATGATGATGCGAGCGAGGGTTGACGTTTACGTGATAAAACATGGTACATGCTACGGGGTTTTGAGATTGGAGCACTACGTACCCTTCCTTCACAATTCAGATAGATGCATATCCAATTAGGCTGTAAAGTTGGTGGGCCATGGCCCATAAACAAAAGTGGCCCCACATCTTGCATGTCTCCAAAAATGGGCCCCTCTGGAACTATAATGCACTGGTTGGTGACGATCGATGTTTCAAAACACAGTGCAAAAAACCTCACACATAAACAGGGCAATGGGGAAAAACATAAAGCCCTCCTGTGCATAACTTCTCTCTTCTCAATTAGCAAACAAAAAGAGAAAAATCTACCACTCTATTCAATTATTGAAAACTCCAATGCATCTTGTTTGAAAACAATACATACATCACTTTTGCATAAAAACAAGACTAGTTATTAAGAAAAATAGATACATAAAGAGACTTTGATACACTTCGTTCTTTTTCTTCTTCTTCTTCTTCTAATTGTAGCTAATTAGAGCTTACTGGAAATATGTACATGTAAAGGGTCAAATAAAACTCAAAACAGTTCACGATTTAACAATGAGAGAACTAGAAAAAGAAAACATCAAAGGCTGATTCAATTGAGGGGATGAGAATGTAACATAAAAAAAAAAAAAAATGTTGCATTTTCCGGTCTCAAATTCAACTATCCTAAAAGCATGAATAGGAGCAGTGAGACTGGTCCCAACAGTGAACTTTCATACAAAGATGGGGCTGGTTCAATTTCCAAACAACCACAGGCCTGGAAAATTTGAGTGGAATTAGCCGAACTACACTCTCATATCTAGAGTTTCTTTTTATTTTATGTTTTGTTTGGACATGAGTTATTCTAAAAAATTGTACATGAATTATACTATTCCAGGCATTTCAGAAGCACTAGATATATATCATTCAAATTGAACATAATTGATAGCGTTATTGATGATGGTATCCAGGGATGGGAACACAAGGTTAGGCCACCATCAAAGAGAAGCTGTCCCACATTGTACTATTCCTTTCTTTTCTTTCTTTCTCTCTATTTTTCTTTTTTCTCTTTTATTTGTTTTTTCTCCTTTTTCCCTTTCTTTATGTGTAGAGCAGTGAGGGAAGAGGCAAAAAGAGAGAGAAGTACTTGGTACTAGCAGCCAATGGGTTGCACCGAGTGGTCACTGTCCCTCTGCAACTGTAAGCAACGTCAAAGGTGGTGAAATTGGTGATGGTGTAGCCGAACATGTACTTATGTTAAAGGACTGTCACCAAACCACCCCTGTAGAGGAAGAAGAAGAACATCGACAACAACAACAAGGGAAGGGACAGAACCATCTCCACCATCACTTCTTCACCACATATCATATTCATTCCTTCATTCACATTTCACAGTCCCCCACCCACTTCCATGTGACTTCCACGTGGCACTATCACCACTTGGCACGTGCCATTGTGCAATTGGATCCAAAACCCTGCATCCATCCCACCAAACTCGGGTTTTTGTTCTTGTTGCACCAAGAATTCCACTGCAACTAATCATACTAATCATCACCCTTTTTTCTACATAAAAGAATCACGGCACCATCTAATGTTGCCGTACCACTCCATCATTGGTCACCAAATTTCCCATCTTGTTTGTTAACCTCACATTATCACAGTTTTTCAGTAAAAAAAAAGGACACCAGTAAATACAAATACAAATGTGAGATGGGCTTGTTTTGCTTTTCTTTTATAGGCCAAAGTGAAAGAAACCCATGAATTAATTTGTGGCATGGAATGGCCTCCCTCTGAGATTTGTGATCCAAAATGTTACCAAGGGGAAAGCAATGTATGGTTTTCCATGTTGCTTCATGACACCCCAATGAAATAAAGTTTGGTTGATTTATTGGGAAATATAACCAAAAAATCTTGGCAAAGGGTGAGGCATATTCGAAAGTACTGGATCTTATTATGTCAGGCATTACTTAGAACTATGTCTATTTTATTTTCCTTTCTTCGGGCAGACAAAGAACGGTGCAAAGGAACAGCATATTTTTTGGCAATCTCGTTTCAGGGAGATCTTAATTGACTAGCTATTCAAGTTGTACAAAATGGAACTGTTGATAGACGGGGACCAAGCACGCCACTTTTAATGTGTCGTGTTATAGCCATTCCAAGTAATTGTAGCAAAACTACATGCCCTACTCTCTCAACTATGCCTTTCCCTTCCACAGTTTTATAAGGCCATTCAGCACATTGCCAAAGCCTCATGTTAACTTCAACACCTATTTAAGAGACAACATTTATTGACCATCTAGTGGAGTTTAAGACTAGTGACTTTTTCAATACGACACAAGCCCCACAAGTGGTACTACAGTTTAATGGAACGCAACTTTGTTGACATGTAGTTAGTTAACAGATTATAGCTTTAGGTCTAATTCCATCTTCTCTCTAGGGCCTAGCTATGCCTATATGGGGCTGACCACTTTCACACCTAGCTAGAAATAATGTATCCAGTATCCACCATAAATTCCTTCAATAACTTCACACCCTAACTTTCAATTCTTGTTTTCACATTGCACCTCACCTCCCTGCATCTTGGTTAATTTATTCATCTATCTCATACCTTCCACATAAGTTATCACAGACATAACAGTGGAATCAACTGTGCTAGCATGCAACCAATAACTCAAACGGAATCATTAGTACTGTATTGTTTAATTAAGAAGGAAAAAAAGCGTACACTCTTCTTAACATTGACAATTTTTTACTCATGCGCAACTTAACTTATCTAATTATTGTGAGAACCAAGCAGAAATGCATTTAGTTTAAAATACTTGTACACTCATCACATAATAAATAGGTTCCCAGTAAATATATTACATGGCAAATTGAAATTTATCTTCTTAATTAGAACAAATTAGTTACCCTTAATGCATGTCGATGGAAAAAATATATATATAAATGAGAAACCATTTCTCATTGCTGACATCTATCGAGATGGTCAATAGCTTCAAGACACAATCTTATGAGTTCTTCAAAAGTTTCGACAACTTTTACATAGGCAGTACTTTGGTTGAGGCCTGAGGGGGTTCAGTTGACAGTAGTCCGGTTAACTTGATAATGGAAAGCACTCAAGAGTCTAGCAGGACTAGTAAGTTCTGTATCTAGTTTGTGAGTGCATATATTTTTCAATTCTAAGTGCAAGAATTCACATCAAACGATTGATTGCTATGAAAAAGTGATTGGATGAAGCTAGACTAAAGACTGGCTATATAAATATGATCGATACAAAACTGATATTATGGCATTCAAATTGTATCTTGCATACTAGAACTTCATTACTAACATTTTTTGTATCAGTAATATATTTCATCTTAGATTGATTTCAGCAATGGTAGTGTAAACATTTATGTTGTATAAAGGTTATAAACAGGTGGACTTTTTGTATTCTCTAGCGAAGGAAAAACAACTCAAAACGAAGGTTGACTATATTAGCATCTATCACAACAGAGTTGTTTCATTAATTTTATTTTCTCCTTTTCTTTCCATACGCATGCACCGCCACCAAAATCAGCGTAGTTTTTTCTTTTAATAGTTTTAGAACTGTGACACTTATCTATGGTTAGAATTGACTAATATAATTCACAAGTACCAATCTACAACTGGATCAACTCTATCAAGAGAGAAAAGAAAAAATGATTCATATTAACTTCAATCAAAATCAAGTTCTCCGATTTGAATACAAACATTAGGTAATGTGAATGAAAGATTTATTATGCTGCATTGGTCCAACACTTCATTCAAAGCCCACAAAGTATCATGGAACACTGGTTGAGACAGCTTCCTACATCCATCTAACTGCCAACAACTTTGTTAACCTTCCCAAAGACAGGCCATAATTAACCACTTTGCGGGTTGTGCTTGATTTTGTGAAATTTATATTTCATAGAAATAAGCTGCCAAATTGTACTTCACGTTCTGAATAAAAGTTCTTTTTTCTTCCACTTCTGACTTTACACTACATGTCAAACCACATTATTTTGATCTGGCAGATCGATCACATGCAAAGTGAGAAGGGTAGAACTTTAAACACATCAAGGGCTATATATTACCAATCAACTAAAAGTCGACCAAGTACTTTTTACACGAATGCCTTATGAAATCATACTTCAGAGATCAATCATATTCATCAATGTACCCATAAATTAAAACAAAATTTTCCTTGTCATTTCATCATAACAGAATGAACACCATCGTGTATCACTTATGCCCCAATCATTACTCAATGAGCCACGGAAGATTTGCATCTAGTTCTATATATAGGATCATAAGAATAAAGCATGGGCCATAGAGTACATTTAGTGTGCACTTTGAAGGAAGACAGTGATGTAATGAGCAAGTGCACTATAGCTACCTACAATGCACAAAAATGTAAAAGAAATCAGAGTTAACGTTGACAACACAAGAACTAGCGTGAGATTCCTCAAGTATAATTAACCGAATCCCTCAGAAGCAGATTTTTTGACAGGTTCTAAAAGTAAAAGCGACTATGTAAAAGCTGAAGGATGTACTTTTCATCATTTATCACAAGAATCAGCTTTTGGTGTAGTCTCAAGATTGGCTTTGCAAAATGGGAAGTTACAGGAACAAATCATTGCTACATGAAAGTCTTAGGCCAACGGATCAAAATATTAAATATTAGATTGCTAAAATAGATTGCTCCTGATGGAATGCATGAAGTTCATGAACATCGTGGTCAAAGTTTTCCTTCACACTTCTCTAGAATTTTGATTCTTCCCTGCAGGCATGGTTCTATACTTCCACCTTGTGATTGATTAATTAATGTCTACATACAAAGAGCATAATTAACCATTCTTCGGGAAGATCATAACTCTGCTTGGGAGACATTATCAATAATTAAATGTTGGATTTCAATGAAAGAGTTTTCCACATAGAAGACCCCAACATTATGTGAAATACCGTTAAAGTATGTCATTTTTCCTTAATTGAATTTTGGATTTTAAATAAGTTTAGATAGTGATTTGTTATTGTTGAATATATCTTTTTCAATTAGCAGCTTTTAAATAAATATAATAGTAAGTTAGATATTTTAGGAATTTTAAATTGATTATAAGCTTATACATAGACATTTCATAATGGTTATTTTTCTTCAAGTTCAACTGTTTCCATATTGTTATTTTTAAATTCAATATGGTATCAAGATCTTAATTTGTACAAGTTGTGAGGCAAAATTTTCATTGAGCGATAAACAGAGTGAATAGAGTGCAAATATGTGGTGAAGACGTGTCTTACAAAAATTTTCTCCTATAATTCTAGTTTTTAACGGTGAAAACTATTTCCATTTAGCAGTTGTAGATTATTAATATGTATATATATTTGATAAAAACCATAGACTTGGAAACACATAAGCTGGTGTTGGGCAAGACTCAGGATGAATTTCAGGACAAAAACAAAGTCAAATAATATGTTATACTTCTCATGTTGAAGAGAGATTTTGAATTGATGAATATGAAAAAAAAAAAAAAAGATTGTCAAAGATTATTTGAAAGAATATTGTGATTTACAAATCGACGAAAATCCTCTCGAGAGTTAGAATAAAATCTCTTACCATTCTCGCTGGCAAAAACAACAAAATATACCTCAATTTTCTGCACATGAAATCAAGAATTAGATACAAATGTTCTATACGAACAACTTTACGTTGATAGAATTGTGAAATTTACATAACTTATATAAAAAATTATCGAAAATTGGTAGAAATTATTGGGAGGAAAACCAAAGTAGAGTACAATGGACATGGGTTAGAGTTTTGTTTAAATAAAAGGGTATATTCCGCAATAAAAAAAAAATATAAAGAAAAGGGAAGTGAAAATAGAAATTTAAGGTAGTGTATAGTAAAAGTCCCGACCTGTGTGTTCATCTGACCCAGTCAATTAAATTAATGGATTGTTCAAATTCAATCCTTCTTTTTAAAATATATGTTTTAGTCACTTTCTTGTATTTCTATAAGTTCTTCCTGCACCTTTATAATTAAAATAAATTTTATTTTATTCTTCTTCAAAATATGTTTACATTTTCAAAATTCCTTTTTTATTAGGTGTTTCGGAATGCATTTTAAATTAACTGTTCGGAAATATATTTTTACATTGGTGGTTGTGAAAATATATTTTGGATTAGATGTTTCATAATGTATTTTTAAATTAGTTATTTTAGAAAAATATTTCAGAACACCTAATTCAATTCAAAAATGTATTTTGGAACAATTAATTTAGAATACATTTCTGTTAGGTTATTCTAAAAATATATTTTGAATTGAGTTTTCGAGATTTAGAAATTTGTGTCGAATTGAACAATTTGGATCTATACTCATTTTCAATCTAGTTTCATATATATAAAATATTAATAAATTTTTCATCTTTTAAAAATAATATTTAATGAAGGTGGAATCATGATAAAATAAAATTATAATAACTATCAAGTTCTGTAAATATAGTTTCATAGATATAAAATATTAATAAATTTTTCACCTTTCAAAAATAATATTTAACGAAGGTGGAATCATGATAAAATAAAATTGTAGGAACTATTAAGATCTATATAAAAGATATGGAAGTATAGAGGAATGAAAGAAAAAAAGCTCTTAAATTTCAAAAAAAAGTTAATAGAAAGATATTTCGATTATTTTATCCAGAAAGAATATATTGGTCAACAAAACCAACCCATCAAAAATGGTGATGATAAGCTGGGCCGAAACCCAGGCCCGTATTTTCCCAATAAGCTCTTACAAATGAATAATAATAATAATAATAATAATAATAATAATAATAATAATAATAATAATAATAATAATAATAATAATAAAAAAATAAATAAATAAATAAATAAAAAAGGTAATGGTAATCTTTTTAGCGTTTTTAAATAAACTAAATCAACACGTGCTTAGTCAAAATTTAAATTATATTTACGACACTAACAGTTCTTATTCGTCTGGGTCTACTGAGCAACCCTAACAAATTTACTATAATATTCTATAAGAAATGAAAATTTAGGAACTAATCAAAGCTAGAGATTTGGGATATAGTTAAGTTTTAGCTTAGTTTTAATTATTAGAATCACATGCCATAGTAGGTTTTTAATTGCAAGGAAAAAAAAACCTTAAATCAAACAACTAAAGGCTATGATGTGGATACATTTTTCTGGTTTTCTATGCATCGTTGTTTTGTAAGTTGGAACAATGTTTCTCCATTCTTATAATGGATTCAAAATCGGTGTAGGCATATGTTTCTCAATTCCAATATCATCATTTATAAACTCTTTCTTAATTTCTTTTTATTATTATTTAAGGTTTTTTTAATACTATAAATTATCATAAATTTGATAAAATATTTGTAAAGTTATCTATTCTTATTCATTCATTTATTATTATTATTATTATATATATATATAACTAATCAAATATTGGGTGAAAAGTAAAGGTATTAATAAAAAATAGTTAATATTGTATTAAAAATTGAAAATAAAAATTAAATAAAAAAAACTTTTAAAATTCCAATTAATTTAAAAAATAGAAGAAATATTTTTTATGACATTTATTTTATAATTACATTATTTGTAGTACTGTTATTGATATGAAGTATCAAACAATTTATTAATGTTTTTTGTATTAAAATTTTATTGAACAAATTGTAATAAAGTCTTTCTTTCTAACTACAATTTTTTTATACACATGATTCAAATTCAACCCTAGTTAAAAAAATAAACTTATGTGTTTTGCCTTTTTGAGTTTAGGAAAAAAAAATTAAAAATCAAAGGAAAAGGCCTAGAAAAACATGAAAAATGGATATAATTTGGAAGCTCAATCTTGCTTAGAAAATAAAGTTCAGTATTTTATTTATACATTGGTGAGACCATGTAGTATTTAATTGTGTACACCCTTTTAAATTTAATTTGAATGATCAAATCTCCATTTACTAAGTCAATGCCTTATTTCAACCGTGTATCCTCAGAATTTGCACAAGATCCTGGACCAAAAGGTTGTATCTCATCTAATTATGTTAGCTTGATTTCAATTAAATACCTAATTTGGTTTCCTTATATAATTCAGTTAAATTTGAAACTTTTGAAGTAAATCTTGACGTAATCATATTTTCGAGTTTTGTAACAAAAATATTTAATATCATAAAAGTCTATATTAAATTAGGTTAATTTTGGTAAGATTTATTCATGTAATTGAGTTACATAAATTTAGATTATATTATTATATAGATTTATTAATCTATTTTATAAAATAATAATTATTTTTTAAATACAAATAAAAAAATTATTTTATTAATATATATATATATATATATTATAAATTTGATAAGTGATTAAAAGTAAGAATAAAAGAAAATTTTTGTACCTAATTTAATTGAAGAATTATTACTTTTAATAATTATATTATTAAAAAAATAATGATAATAATAAAAAATAAATATTTAACTTTTATTTTGAATAGTAATTTATATATTAAAATATTAATCTTATTAATATAATTTAAATTTTAAAAATATATTTTATTTTTATTTTTGAATTAATTAATATATTTATTTATTTTTATTTTTAATAAGGATAAAATTAATTTGTTAGTCTTTAAAATATAGGTCTAATTGGAGTATCAATTTTTTTTTTCATAACCCATTATTTATTTAAGTAATTTTTTTAAGAAATTACCCAAAGCTTACACTTTATTGAATCAACCGTGGATATTATGCCAGTAATATCTCTGTAATCATGTTTTCTTTTAGCTTTTATTTAACAAGTTGAGGTAAGTTTTTAATAATGAGATTTTTAATTTGAGTAATGTCTTAAATTTAAAAAAATTCAAAATTGATAAAAAAAACTAAAATTTAAACATTATAACAATATATAAATAAGATAAGATTAGATAAGTTTGAGCGTGTGAATGGTGGATTGAATTACCATCTCATCATTTACATATTTTTGAATTGAAAAATCCGTATGAAGTTAAATTGGATTGAATTACCAATTTTGCATACTCTTCTATAAAATATACCTAAAAACACTAAAAATAGTAAGATGTTAAACCAATAAAATATTTTGGCTATTTTTCTTAAATTTAAATAAAAATAACAAAAATAGAGTACACGCTTTTAAAATTCAAAATATCAATAAGATTAATTTTTATTTTAATATAATAATTTTAATATTTTTTAATAAAATAATATACTTTTATATTTTTAAATATAAGAATTATTTTTACAAAATAAATTGATGAACACCACTTGAATCCAACAAATTGACAAAAAAAATTATATTAATCATGTTAAAAATTATTCCACAGACAAATCATGTGCATTTTGACAACTCTAAGTATGGGCATCACGAGCTCTTGTTACCTGTTTATGATATTGGATAAGATAAATGTAAGCAATATATGTATTCTATGTCCTACTAAATCATGAAGATCCAACAGACAAATTTTGTTGCCTCCACCTACAATCATTCCATATAAAATAGATGGTATTAACGTAAATAGATTAGACTAATTAAATTTTCCCAAAAACCAACTTTTTTTTTATGTAATAATAATAATAATTTTGATATTGTATTTTTATTATAATATTCTTATAAAAGAGTTATATGAAAGGTGGGTGTAAAAACATCATTAATTAATAGATTATTTGTGAAAGTGAAAGCATAAACTAATATTGTCTCAGGACTTATGTGTGGGAGAGTAGTGAGCTTTCATGAGCCTAGCCAAATGTGTAGCATGCATGTTTTATACTACCGCATAAAAGTAAATAAATTATATAAATATTTTCAAATTAAATTCATATTTCTATTTTTTATCATTATAATTATAGTGAGTAACTGAGTTTTATCTTTTATAATCAATAAGAAAAATATAAAGATGTTTATATTTTGTTGTAAAACTTAGTTTTAAAGTCTAGGATCTAGAATTTAAGATGATTTAGTAATTGATTTTTAGTGATATTTATACAATTTTTTATTCTTCTTTCTAAACCTCTTCAAATATGTTCAAAACTTTAGTAAATTATTATTTTAAATAATTATTTATAATATTTGTAAAATTAGAGAAAATATACAATTGAGTTGCCTTCAAAATAGGTTTATATTAGACAAAAATGATAATATCTCAAAATCACAATATTATTTACTCTACTCTCACAAGTGTTTGCAATACAAAAGATTTAACTCTTAAGGGATATTTGTTTCGAGTTATGACATATTTCCATAAATCATATTTTAAAAAATATTATAATCAAAATGTTATTCTAAGGCATAATTAGATGTTTGGTTAATTTTTGATATTTTTAGATTTATTTTAAATTTTGAAGTAATAAAAATAAACGTTTTAATAGGGTTAGAAAAATCACTTTGGGTATTCTTATATAAGATGGTAAAATTAACCATGAGCAATTCATTTAGCATTCAACTATATAAACAAAATTTATTTTAGTTTTTAGTTTTAAAAATAATTTGAGATAAATTAAAAAAATATATTTTTCAAACAAGTGAAAAAAAAAACACAGTTCTGAATTAAAAACTTATTTAGAGGGAAGAGGACTATATTCACAACTATAAAAGTTTATTATAAAATGAAAAACCGATTTTAATAATTTTATGGTATATTTAAAATTATAAAATAAAAACATTTTTCTAAGTAGAGTGAAAACAAAATTTCAAATGCATCAATTCCATCACAAAGTATATTAGGACATTCATTAAATTCATATAACTATTCAACTAACTCATCCAATGTTTGATGTTGAACTTATGTGTACTGTCGGTGGGATGGGAAAGGAATGCTCAACAACAATTCCATCACAAAGCAGAACATCATAAAATTGATTGAGTAAGGTATCCTGTTAAAATGAAAAACAAAAAAAATAATGATACTGTTATATAAATTTGAAACAAAACATTCTACCGACAACATGCAATGATAAATATGATTAGTCTTAACCAACAAGTTAGAGAGAAAATAACATGTAAAGAGTAAATAAACAGATAATTAAATCAACCCAAAATACTCGTAATTATATTTGATTGAGTTTGGTATAAATCTAATCGATAATTAAACTTAAATATTTAAAAATATTAAGAAATCAAAATTATAAATATACAGCTCTTACAGAAATATTAGTCTCTGATAGTAATAAAGTCAGAAACAAGTAGGACCAGTTCACAAAACAGAGAATTAGCCTTACAAGAACACTGGTATAAAAGTAGTTGAAGTAATTTGAACAAGCACGTCAGAGGAGAAGTGAAAGCCACAGGAAAATGGTGGGTGTAGGATTAGGTGTAACAGCAGCAATGGTTGCAACTCAGTTCTTGGATGTGGGGTTGAACACTCTAATCAAAGCAGCAAACACCAACGGAATGAGCAATTTCGTTTTCGTTGTCTATGCAAACTTCTTAGCTCTCTTCGTCCTTCTACCATCAACGTTCTTCTACTACAGGTGTGTTGTGTTGTGTTACCCTTTTATCTGGCCTACTCAAAATGTTAACTTCCTTTCACTGTTATGGTTGGTCTTTGATTATTTCTTGTGATTCATTTTGATTCCTGGCTCTTCAAAATCACAGGAAGAAAGCTCCTCCTCCAATCCCTACCTCACTTTTCTGTAAAATGTTTCTGATTAGCTGCCTCAGGTATGAAAATGACAAGCACCTAATTCACACTCTGAACTGGATGTATGTAACATGTGTGTATATATATACATTGTGGATCTGAATTTGTCAGTCGAGTAAATAAAATGGGTTAAAAAAATAAATAAAGTAACATATAAATAAAATATGTAAGAAATAATTTAATGAGTTTCACTCTCCTATAAAATTATTTCCCTTTCATTCTCCGGCAGCAATCATTCGATATGTTCACATGATTAGAAATCAATTAAGAAATATAAACATGAATCACAAAGATAATATCCAATAGGGATGATTACCTTATGCTTAGATTTCATAAATAATAGATAATAAATAAAACAAAACCAAACATAATAAATATGTGATCCCAAAATGGTTCATACATTTTATGTATTAAAGAGATGTAATAAAATTGACGTTATTGATAAATTTACATCTCGTAAAAAAACCATAATAATATAAATTATGAATCTCAAACTCCCACTAACCCAGTACATCAAAAGACTTAACCACACCCATGTGAGTTACATGATTTTGAAAAACTCCAATAGCTAAGCCTTTAGTTAGTGGATCTGCTAACATATTTTCTCGTAGCAGTATGTTCAATCCGAGTTTGAAAATCCAAAACTTTCTCTCTAACAAACAGAAATTTTATATCAAAATGCTTTGAGCGAGTAGAACTTCGTTATTTTGAGAAAAATGTACTAGCAGTAGTGTTGTCACAATATATCACAAGTGGCCTAGAAATACTTTCAACAATTTGAAAGTCGGAAACCAAATTTTTAAGCCACACAGCTTGACAAGTAGCTTCATAACAAGCAACATATTCTGCCTCCATAGTAGAAGTAGCTGTAAGAGTTTGTTTAACACTCTTCCAAGAAATAGCTCCTTCTGCCAACTTAAATATAAAACCAGAAGTAGATTTTCGATCGTCAGGGCAACCAGCAAAATCAGAATCAGAATAACCAATGACTTGAAGTTGATCAGACTTCTTATAGGTCAACATGTAATCCTTAGTTCCACTGCAAATATCTAAAGACCTTTTTAACGGCTTTCCAATGACCCAAACCCGGGTCGCTCAAGTATCTTCCTAAAGCATTAACAGCAAAAGCAATATCGGGACGAGTACAAACTTGAGCATACATTAAACTACCAACGGCGGAAGCATATGGAATTTTTTCCATTTCAATTCTATCATTATCATTTTTAGGACATTGAGATTTAAAGAGTTTATCACCTTTTTGAACAGGTGCTGCACATGAGGAGCAAGAATGCATGTTAAACCGTTTAAGGACTTTATCAATATATCCTCTTTGAGACAATCCAAGAATGCCACGTGACCTGTCACGAAAAATTTGAATGCCCAGAACAACAGAGGCATCACCAAGGTCCTTCATATCAAAATGACTATTTAACATAGACTTTGTCTCAGCCAAAAGTTCAACACTGCTACTCGCAAGAAGAATATCATCAACATATAAAACAAGAATGATGAAATGACTTTCATTTTTCTTCAAATAAATGCATTGATCCGAGGCGTTTTCCTTAAAGCCAAAAGAAGTGACCACCTGGTCAAATTTCAAATACCATTGTCTAGAAGCTTGTTTCAACCCATAAATAGACTTTTTTAACTTGCAAACCAAATGCTCATTGTTTTTATTAGCAAAACCATCGAGGTTGAATCATATACACTTCCTCAAATAAATCTCCATTAAGAAAAGTCTGTTTTGACATCCATTTGATGAAGTTCCAAATCAAAATGAGCTACTAAAGCCATAACCACACGAAAAGCATCCTTAGTAGAGACGGGTGAGAAAGTCTCTTTATAATCAATGCCATCCCTCTGACTATAGCCTTTTGCTACAAGTCTGGCTTTATATCTCTCAACTTTTCCATCTGGATTACGCTTAGTCTTGAAGACCCATTTACACCCAACTGGTTTGCAACCGAGTGGCAAATCCACAAGATCCCAAACTCCATTATGGGCCATAGAAGCTAACTCATCATGCATAGCATTTAACCAATCAGAACCATGAGAACTAGAGATAGCCTCTTTAAAAGTAGTAGGATCATCAACATCATTAAGATCATATTCATGCTCTTGAAGATACACCTGATAATCATCAGGTATAGAAGACTTGCGTAATCTTTGAGATCTCCTCAAAGGAACCTCTTCAGTCACATCATCATGAACTTGTTCATCTACTATATGTGATGTAGCATCAACAAAATCTGGAACCGAATCATTTTCATCACGAACAACTGGAATCACATTATCTGCATGAAAAAAATTGGATGGTACGGGAACAACAACACGGTCTTCTCTAAGAGTGACTGGTTGTGGCACACTGCTCCCACTGTCCAAATCATCCTCAAAGAATATCGCACGGTCAGACTCAATAACTCGGATGGAGTGAGAAGGGCAGTAAAATCTGCTACCACGAGAACCGATACAATAGCCAATGAAGAATCCACTGACAGTCTTAAGATCAAGTTTTTTCATCTGAGGATTATAAGGTCTCACCTCTGCCTTACAACCCCACACATGAAAGTGTCTTAAACTTGGCTTCTTCCCAGTCATAAGCTCATAAGGAGTCTTTGAAACAGACTTGTTAGGTACTTGATTAAGAATATACACAGCAGTCCTTAAAGCGTCTCCCCAAAGGAAATTCGGTAAAGAGGAATGACTCAACATACATCTCACCATATCTAGAAGAGTGTGATTCCTCCTTTCTGCAACACCATTTTGCTGAGGAGTACCGGGCATAGTATATTGAGCTTCAATACCACATTCATTAAGAAATCTAGCGAAAGGTCCTGGATTTCTTCCAGTCTCATCATATCTGCCATAATACTCTCCACCTCTGTCAAACCTTACACATTTTATCTTCTTTCCAGTTTTCAACTCAATAGCAGCTTTGAAAGACTTAAAAGCATCCAAAGAACTTGACTTTTCTTGTAGGAGATCTATCCATCCAAATCTGGAATAATCATCTATAAATGTGATAAAATACCTATATCCACCCATGGAAATGGGTGTCATAGGTCCACACATATCAGTGTGAATAAGTTGCAACACATCATCACACCTGTTTGCACCTGCATTTCTTACTTTTGCAGTAAGCTTGCCCTTAATGCAATCAACACAAGTATCAAAATCAGAAAAATTCAGATCATGCAGAATACCCTCTTTAATCAACCTCTCAATCCGAGGTCTAGAAATATGCCCCAGACGTCTATGCCACAACATAGAGGAATTTTCATCAACTCTACTACGCTTATGTCCAACAATAGAATTAACAGACATGTCATTCAGATTTAACATGTAAAGCCCATCACATAAAACTCCTAAGCCAACAATAATTGAATTGAAGTAAATAGCAAGTTTTCCATTGCCAAATTCAAAAGTGTAGCCACATTTATCCAAAGCTGAAACTGAAATTAAATTCCTTCGCATAGAAGGTACATAAACAACATCTTTCAATAACAAAACATGTCCAGAAGGTAAATTTAAAGACACTACTCCTATGTCTTCAACTTGTGCTCTAGCTCCATCTCCCATGATAATCTTGGATTCAAGGTCACTTGGTTTTCTCAGGCTTGTGAACCCCTGTAAAGAATTCACAACATGAATAGTAGCACCCGAGTCAAACCACCAAGAATTGGGAGGAACATCAACAACATTGGATTCAAAACAAGCTAGAACATACATGTGCTTACCTTCCTTATCAGCATTCTTCTTCTTAAGAATATAACAGTCAGTTAGCTTATGCCCAAATTTCTTACAATAGGCACAATTCCCCTTAAAGTACTTCTTCTTAGGCTCCAAACTTACTGATGCTTTCCCTGTGTTCCTCTTTTCATGGCGAGATTTGCCTTTGAAACCCTTTTTAACAGGTTTAGTACCTGAAGTAATAGCTGTGAATTGCACACTATGCGGCTTGGATTTTTTAATAGATTCTTCCTCTTGGGAAATAATAGCTATCATCTCATCAATTGTCCATTCCTCCTTCTGAGCGTTGTAAAAAGTCTTCAACACATCAAACTGAGAAGGAAGTGATTCCATAACCTGCCAAATCAAAAAACTGTCACCAAGCTCCACCTTTAAAGATTTGAGTTTATTATAATAGTGCACAAGCTTCATCATATGTTCACGAACACCATTGACACCATCATATTTGGTCTTCTCAAGAAGTGACAGATATTGACCCTTTTGAGCTTTGTCAAAAGTCTTAAACTTCTCACCCACTGATCTCAGAAAAAACTTAGCATTATCAGCATCCGGAATGCTTTGTCGAATAGACTTCTCCATGGTGTATTTCATCACCATCAAACACACCCTATTTGAGTGTTCCCATTTCTCACGATAAGCTCTTTGGACAGTAGTGGACTCAGGAGTAAGAGCTGGAGGCTCGTTCTCTCTTAAACAAAGGTCCATATTAGTAATTGCCAAATACAAATCCAGAGATTCTTTCCAATCCTCAAAATTTGTCCCATTTAAAGTTTTGACCGAAGTCAATTGCATAGGCAAAGAAGCTGGTATCAAAATAACAAAGAAACATTTAATACGCACAATTATTGTGCAAATAAACAAAATAAATGTTTCTGAATACACAACAAAACATGCCTATAATATCAAATTTCTCATTCATTATGACCCAGCCTAAGGGTCCCGAGTCATAATAAATAAGAAATATAATTAAAATAAAAATAAGAATACAATGCATATCTCATGTCACAAGAAATCTAATACCGAGTAGAGTACAAGACAAATAATTGACATAATAAAATTTAGAATTACATTGAAAAAAAATACATTAACAATAAAATACCGATAGGGCATAATTAATATTAATGTAATATAAAATTAAATAAAATAATTAAATTATTTTATGTTCACAAAATTTTATACAACTATACTCACGATATGTGAGTTTACAATCATATAAAATTATATTATGCTTAACAAAAAAAATTATGTGATGCATGAATTAATAATAATAATAAGGGTCCTTAATTTTACGGATTAGGCCCGGAACTTTTCTCAGCCAAGCAAGCTCATTCACAAAACCTCTTGATCCAGTTTCCTTCATAATAAAAAATTTAAGAAAAACATAATAATATTATTTGTTTTCAAATTCATCTTTTCTTATTATTATATATATAATTTTCTAAAAACAAAATAATATGTTAGTGGGATTTAATGCTGAATTCTCTTCCACGCCCGTTCGTACTATGCCCACAACGTGCAAAGCCACGTCCATGAAACTGGAGTAGCACATGTACGAACATAGTGAAAACGTGCACGGTCTACGACATCGCCGTTGTTAACCAGTGACACGAAACACAGATCCACCATGAACAAACAGCCCACCACCATGAGAACCAGATGCGCCTCCAAGACAACATAAAAAACGCCACGTCAGCCACCATAAAGGGAGACGCATGCGCAGCGGAGGTGAAGCGAGTTCGCGGGCCACTGGTACTCGTCGGCAGGGACGCGCACACAGGAGGTGCGACAGGAGGTGCGCTGAGGAAGATGACGACGCAGATACCCATCGTCGTAGACCACCACGCCGGTGCATAGACCACTGTCACCGCCACCATGCAGTGAAACCGGAAAACAGAGGCGTAGCCACGACGAAGGACAAAGACGCGCGGTGCGTAAACCACCGTTGCCGCCACCATACCAGTGAAACCAGAGAACAGAGAATGAAGACGCGCGGGAAGAAGAGGTTCGAAAAAAAAAAAAATCTAAAATTTTTTTTTTTTTGCCCATCATTATTACAGAGATTGATAACATAAAGGTTTGATTCGAAACATGTTAAAAGGATTGTAGATTTAGGGTTCAGCCTCTGATTGCATGTTTAGGGTAAAACCTCTGATTGCAGATTTAGGGTAAAACCTCTGATTGCAGATTTAGGGTTCAAACAAAAAAATTGATTGCAAATTTAGGGTTCACCTCTGATTACAGATTTAGGGGTAAAACAGAACAAAAAACTTTAATTTTTATAATTAGAGTTCTCTGCTTCGGGAAAGAGTTTTGAAATTCGCCCCTTACTCAATTAATTTGATCTCAAACGAGAAAATTAAATTTTCATGCTTTCTGATAATGAATAATTATTAAAATTTATGATACACTCTAAAAAAAATAATGAACAATTATATTCTGTATCTTTTGGCTCGATACCAATTGAATGAAATACATAATAATTTAAGATACAATAAATATAATATATTCAAAAGATTGTGTACCTGGAATTGTTGAAGAATCCATTGAATGCGTATATGAGAGAATATTGCTCTCTTTCTGATAGGTTTTTCTGTCACACGTTAAACTGACTAATGGGGTATCAGCTTTTATCCACCTATCAGTAGAGATCATGGATCTCTCAATAAGTAATCGATTCCGAACAATCCAACCCATCACGTGATCAGTTCATCGAAACCCAAATTAAATTATTAATTATAAAATTGATTATGTGTAATATAATTGATAATTACAAATAATTAATTTATAAATTAATGTTAATCCATAACAAATAGAGAATAATAATTTATATAATATATATATATATATATATATATATATATATATATATATATTATATAAATACAACAATGTTGACGTTGAATAAGATATAAATAAGAAAAACTAACGTGCTGTCATATTTTTCATTTTGTCTTATGTGCCATTCGTTAATAACAGCGCGATGTTTTCCTTGATAAAAATCCAAAAAGTGTTCATCCATCTTCTCTCAACCAAACAAACTATCCCTTTCGATAAAAATTGAAATTTTTTAACATCGAAAAGTTATATTGAATTTAATGCAAACTTTTATTAGTTAAATATTTCAGGTAAAATTTATTTCTGAAGTTATTTTGATTATGCGGATAACCATGAGGTACTTGTGCAGTACTGCATATCAGACATTGATATACAGTGGGATCGGATATAGCTCTCCCACACTATGTTCGGCTATGGTTGATCTTGCTCCTGCTTTTACCTTCATATTTGCCTTTATTTTCAGGTTGTCTTCCATCCCCTATCAATTTCATCTTTCTGAATAAAGTCTTATTTATGAAATAGAAAATTAAATTAAAGAGTATGTTCTCAAACCAATGAACAAAATAAGAAGTTTTGGAGGATCAAACCAAATAACAAAAAAAAAACTATTTTTTTAATCAAACAAAACCTTATTATAATTAAATTACCCTGCTCTTCTTTGATACTTGAGCAATAATATGGAAAAGAACGGAGTGAACAATATAATGTGCACTTTCAGGATGGAAAATCTGAATCTGAAACAGCATAGCTGCCAGGCCAAAATTGTTGGCACAGTGGTTTCCATTGCAGGGGCATTGATTGTCACTCTGTATAAAGGAACTCCATTGAATTTCAAGTTCTTGAGAAATGTAGTATTTGGTGGAAATGGAACTTACCTTTCAGTGCAATCAGATTGGATAATTGGTGGTGTGCTTCTTGCAACTGCTAGTCTCTGCCTTTCTGTTTTGTTTATTGTTCAGGTAATTAGGCAAATCATTCAGAACTTCACACACCAGTCTTTGCAGTCTAGTGTTTAGTTAATCTTATCTAAAAGAAATAGTAGTGAGTTCTTTTTAACTGGTTATTTTTCCCAAAAATTTTATATTTCTCAAACATACAAAAGTCATTTAAATGCTCTTCCAACACTATGCAGACTTCGGTTATCAAGGAATATCCAGAAGAGTTAGTGGTAACAAGCATTTGTTGCAGCATGGTGGTGATCCTATCTGCCATAGTTGCTCTCTTTGCAGAGGGAAATACAAAAGCTTGGATATTCACATCTCATCAAGATTTGATAGCTGTATTTTATTCAGTAAGTATAAACTTTATTGGGACATACGACAACCTTCTGAAATATCTTCTTATAATTTGGATGCTATATTTGTAGGCAATATTTGTGGTATCATTGAAGAGTGTTGTATGCACATGGGGATGTCGAAAGAAGGGAGCAGTTTATGTAGCTATGTTTAACCCTTTGGGAATGGTGATTGCACTTGGCATGGGGGTAGTATTTCTGGGAGACAGTCTTTATGTGGGAAGGTAAAACATCTATTTTAGGACACAGAGTTTGTGAAAAATAATATAATTGGTAAAATGTGTTTAACATTGGGTTTAATTTCTGGTGCAGTATGATTGGAGCTGCTACAATAGGTGTTGGATTTTATTCCGTGATGTGGGGACTGACTCAAGAGAATAACAATCTGGTAAATGAGAATAATGAAAACCATGATTTTGTGACTTCTTCTTCGGCTCCTCTCTTGTCTACCAAAAACCTGGATGCATAGCTTAGCCAATTGCAAGCTACAACGTTCTCGGATGCAGGCCACCACGTGCTTGCTCAAACGCCACCTCATTGTTGCCCGCAGGGGATTCAAGATACTATAATTCAAGATAAAAATGCATGTGTTCATAGTCAACAAACTTTGACAAAGATGTCTTATTTTTTTGGTGCATACGGCGGTGAACAAAGAAATTAATTAGGATAATTGGTTGATTTCTTGGCCAATTGCTCTCAATCCTATGCATATTATAGAACTTATATAGGGTGCCTCTCTTCCATAGAGCTCGAGATACAACAAAAAAATAAATAAAAAAATTGCACAAGCTTACAAGAATAATTATTCAACATAAATCTAACAGGCTTAATAGTCCAGTGGAATATAAATGTCCAATATTCATAAACTCCAAAAGGTGTAAACTCCAAAAAATAATAAATTTACAAGTAAGTTATGACATATTTGATAGTTATTTTATAGTTAATTCTTCGGTGATACGTTTTGCGACATATTAGTTATGAAATAATTCATCGCCTAATTCAAGTTGCTAATTAGAGAGATGTTTTGTCTTCTCAATTTTGTAGCAAATTCAATTGTTAAGTCTCTCGCTAATTTAAGTGATGACGTTTTGTCTTTCTCTGACTAGTTGATCTCACAAATTTTTACCTATCAAAAAGTTAAACCGTCGCAATCACAATTTTTCCTAGTTAATTTCTCGTAATTTGTCTGCCGCTGATGCATAGCTAATCCCTTACAAGTTGTCTTTCACTTCTAAAATTTGTTTGTCATTAATATGTAATTAATTCTTTGTAATTTGTCTTTCATTAATTTGCAACTAAATCCTTATAATTTATTTGTCACTAATATGTAGTTAATTACTTATAATTTATCTCTCGTTGATTTGTAACTAATCCTCACTAATATGTAGGTAATCCTGCTAATTTTTCACTATTGACATAATAAAATTTGCATATATTTTGTAGAAAATTTGTCACAATATTATAATATCGAATGTAGTATTAAAAAAGTTATACATATTTTTACAAAAAAAAAAACTAAAACTTATCAACTTTTAATATAAAAATATTGTTTAAACATAACCAAAATGATGTTTCAAACATTTAAAATATAACGAAAATAATATTTCATCTAAAAAGTACTAGATCAATACAATTAAAAATAGAAACAAATTTTTTATTCTTAAAAACACGACTTCATCTTATTTCGTTAAGGCAAAAAGTAAATCTTTTATAAAAGACTATTTTTTTTTTTTGCATTTATTGTTGCATGTCTGCATTTCTACTTATCTATTCATTTGTGCTTGCAGCAATCCTTACATATTAATTTGTTTCTGCAACCGTGTTTTCATATGCTATTGTAAATTAGATATTTATATAACTAAGGTAATAATTTCTTTAGTAAGAGATGTGGAAGAATTTTGGGAAGAGAGACATTCAACTGATGAAAATGAAACATGTGAAACAATATCAAGATCTAAACTTTGACCAATACCACAAATTCTATCTTTTTATTTTTTCCAATAATCTTCATCCAAACATCAAAATCAACTATAAGATGTTTTTATGTATTTTTCCCATATTTTTTCAGTCATAACATTTTCATATGATTCCTATATCAAATCAATATTTTGACAATGTTATAAATAAATAAATTTTATTATTTATAAAATGTACACTCTTACAATGAATTTTTATTTTTTTGTTAGATACATATTCACCATTTTTTTAATGAACTTTGTTATATACTTCATCATAACAAATGAGACGTTTGTGTCATTCTTCCCGTGAAATAATATACAATAATATAAAATTTAAGAAACACAACTTAAAAACCATCTCATACCAACATCAAACCTAATATTCAATTTATAACTAGTAATCAATATTGATTAACAATTAAAAGATTTGAATTATATTATATTTACTTGAGATACATTATAATAAGATCATATGTATTAAATGTGTAAAGTATGAATATCATTTTTTGTTAGGTGTTGTCCAAATCTTCTTAACCCTCTAGTGTGCATCAGGCTTGATAGCTCTATTGGTCTTACCTGCAATAAACTTCTTTTTCTATTCTTCTATTGCCCATATGTGTACTAATCAATCCCACGTCTCAGTCTTTATACTTCTTGGTCCAAAATCCTTTAAGTCTTGGATATTATTTGAATTTGTCATTTCTTTTGGCTTTTTCCTTGTCTTAGCTAAAGCGTCAGAATATCAATCCATGCATGTTAGATTCTAAACCTTTCTTACCATACTTCAATCATAAGTTGATGCAAAACGATACTTATTCTACACCAATAAAAATTTGATAAATTCATTGCTTAATACAAAAGTTAAAGAAAAACTATTTAAATACTTTAACACAATAAATACTAACCATAAAATCATTGAATAAATTTTGTTTCATATCAATAAAATAATTTTTTCAATTTGGTGCTAGATTATTCATTCTCATGAGTAACTCAGATATAATATCCCGAGTCATTGAATCAGGAACACGCCTCCTCCTATAATTTAAAATTCTCAATGTATAATTATGATTTAGTATTCTCAATGTAAAAACATAAGTTAAGTTTTCATCACAAGTTCACTCCCAATTTCTCTAGTTTAGTTTTGAGATTCTCTAGTTTTGAGTGATGCTTAACTTTCAAATCTGCTCATGGAGCTTCTTGTACGAATAATACTATGAAGTTTATCAATTCAAGTTCTCTTTGATCATATTCTTTTGTTTTACTTTTTGTTTTATCTTCTTTCGTTTTACTTTTTGTTTCATCTTCTACTTCATCTTTTATTCCATTTCTTTATTGTTTTCACCTTATTTCTAGTTTTTTAATTCTTCATCATGCTCTAATTCACTTTTATTGTTGATTTACCGATTAAAACTTGTTTTTTATAATTTAGATTTGATTCTTAATGATTCTAACCAATTATAATCCATTACAATCAATGAGGTTATTTGATCGAATGTTGCATTTACATCATAATTCAACTTCTAAGTTTAAGTGATTGTTTGATTTAGAAACTGAGTTGTGAATACGAATTTCAAATAGATTGTAATTGATTGGAACTGATGTAGATTTATTTTTGTTATTGTAATACAATTTCATAAAAATCAATGATAATTATAAAAACAAGTTTATGTTTGGAGAATTAACACAATTACTTATTCTCATCTTCAATGTTCTTATAATCTACAACTTTCATATATTAGATTTATAAATTTTATTTAAATGCTTTCATTTACAACTTTCTTTAAATGCTTTCTTTAATTGTTTCATAGTTTATATTTAATGCTTTCATTTCTGGTTTTTAATATATTAAATTACTGCTTTCAATTTTGTATTTGAAATCATAAAAATCTTATATTTCCTAGCTTTTAACATTGAAAATCAAGATTGAAACAAAATCAAACTATTCTCTTAAACAAAACGACTTAGACCAACCCCAATACTACGTTACTTTCATTATAAATTGTTTGATCAAATTTAGGCGACAAAATTAACTTCATCATTCTCTCACGTATCTAAATTTCAATAAAATTTCAGTTAGCATTCTTAAAACATTCTAGAAATATATATATATATATATATATATATATATATATATATATATATATATATATATATATATATATAAACTATTTAAACATTCTATTTCATCACGTTTAACCCTCTACTAGTTTAAGCACTATAATAGAGTTATTAATATTCCATTCTATTGGGATTGGGTACAATAAACATAAACTGTTTTGTAGCTTATTCATTTTAATAAATGTTTTTGTACTTTATTCTTGTATTTTATGTAATGCTTAATGATGCATGACTTGATGCTTCCTTACATTGAAAAATGATTTTGGAAATGTGATTTAAGATTAAATAACTTCAATTTTCATATTAGAGATGATATGTTAACTCTGAGTCATTTTAAGACACTTGAACCTAGCTAGTACAAACTATTTCTAAAATTAATCAAGGAATTAATGAATATATTGATGGTTTTGAACTATATTTCTAAGAAATTAGAATTAAGATATAAAATTAATCAAGGAATTAATGAATATATTGATGGTTTTGAAGTATATTTCTAAAAAATTAGAATTAAGATAAGCACTGCGTGAATGTTTAAATAATGTAAATAATATATTGGAATATGTTGAAAGTCTCACATCGCCTACCTCATATCATTTGGTATGGTTTAAATACATGTTAGGTTACTCCACATATCGCCAATTAGTTTTATGTTGGAACCTTAACATGGTATCGTAGCCAAAACCTAACATCTTTTCTGTTATTGTCATGGAAAAAAAAGTTGTTTACATTGATTTCATGAAATTCAATCTCAACCATAAACAAAAGAGATAAAAGATGATAATAATAATTATATATGAACTATCATTAAAAAAGATAAGATGAAATTTTTATAATTATTTTTTACTTTTTAATAATAATTCATTTATGATTAATGTCACATGTGACATATATTACCATTGTGTATAACTTATGACGATATTTTTTTAATAATAGTCGTATATGATATTGTTTTAGTAATATATGAACTTATGTTTGTAATAATATAATTTTTTAAAAAATTATAAATTATGCATATTTAAATTTTATTTACTTAATTTATGATAAATTAAAATTGAAATTGCAAACTATTTTATATTAATTATCAGTCTTAACTAGTAAAAAATAAACAAAAATTAAATAAACGTAAATATCTTAGAAATAATAATTGAATTTTTCATTTGACTACTGTACAGTATATATATATATATATATATATATATATTAATTTCACGAGACGTAACAATCACGAGATATTCAATTAATTTTGGTCAAGATTGGAAAAATATTTCTTTTGACTTTTGAGGCCACACGGGCTCCACACAATCATAATCTGAATCATCCATCCGAAAAGTCTTTTTCTTTTTCTTTTAGTTAGGATGTGAATAGGATAATAGTACAAATTATGTTATTTTAATAATAAGTTATGTTAACACTAATTATTATCATAATAGATTGAAATTAAAATCAATATTTGTTTTGACAAACTTTTACAAAAAAAAGTGATTTTAAGATAATTAATTTTGTTTAAATATAATAAAAAATTCGTTTAATACAAAAAAAAGTGTATGAGTGACTCTGAAAGGGAAACAGAATTGTTGAAGCATAAATTTTCAAATTGATAAATACAACTTATTTTAAAAGATATTTTTATCAATATTTAGCTATTTAGCTTTTTTTTAACTAAATTATTGTGCATAAAAAAACCATGATTATAAGATTATCAAACATTCTATTAGTTTATTTTTCTTTTAAAAAAATTATAAGAGATTGAATGAATAAATATCAATAACTTTTATTAATAGTTAAAGTGTTATTAAAAAATACACATTAAGTGATAAAATATATTATATTGTGTGATAAAAACTTTATTTATTTATTAAACCCATCTTCTTATATTTATGCTAGGTACTTTTTTTAAATTTATGGTAACAATAATTTTAGTCTTTGCTAAGAGCATTTACTATTCAATCTTATCAAATTTTCGTAGGGATTGGAAGTTGGAAACGGAGGGAAAGAGGTTTGAGGAACCCAAAACTTTCCTAAGATACCAAATAATTTGTATTTGGTTTCTGTGTTTTATCTAATGATGCATGATTTGATGTTTTTTTACAGTAAAAAATGATTTTAGAGTTATGTTCTTAAGATAAACAATTTAGATTTTTAATGTTAGATATGATATGTCAATTCTAAATATTTGTAAACACCTTAATATACAAATTATTTGTAAAATAAATTAAAAGAGTAATAAATTTTAATGATGATTTAAAACTCTATCTGTAAGATATTAGAGTTAAAATAAATAACGTGTGAATGCTAAAATAATGCATAGAGTACATTAGAATAAGAAATTATTTGTAACGAGTTTATGAAATTAATAATTATTTAAAAATTACAAGTTCAGCACAATTAAAATTTTCTTGCTTGATTTACGATAAATTAGAGTTGAGATTGGAAAACTATTTTCTTCCAATTATGAGTCTAATAAACATAGGTATTGTTTAAAATGAAAAATGATATTCGAACTTTCTCTTTTAATATTTGTATGATTAGGTAGCTGGCTAAAAAGTTAAAAATCAAGATTTTTTTTCTCAGCTATCATGTTAAATTATGATGTTAGATTAATGAAAAACGTGGAGGAAATCAATTTAAAAAGATAAAGTAATATTAAACTAGTAATTTCTGAATAGTGGTTGGCTTCCTTTTGTGAAGCATCCTAAGTATTCTCATTATCGAATCAATAAAACCAGTTAGGTCAAACAGAGAAAAAGAAAATGATAAGTTAACACTCTTTACCCATCAAAATTTCATCCTACAACCCATAAACCTATATATTTATTATTATTATTATAACAATAATAATAGAGACAGAGAGAATGTAGATTGAATGTATGGATGAATAGGGTTGTCAATAAATCAGTGCTCCTGAGAAAAAGAGTTGGTGTTGAAGTGCAACATCAGCAAAAACATAGTAAATATGATATGAGAAGTGAGAATTGAAGAGGCAGGAGAGAAAAAGTTAAAGGCACAAGAGAAATGGTGGGTGTAGGATTAGGTGTAACAGCAGCAATGGTTTCAGTTCAATTCTTGGAAGTGGGGTTGAACACTCTAATAAAAGCAGCAAACACCAAAGGAATGAGCAATTTCGTTTTCATTGTGTATTCAAACACCTTGGCTCTCTTCTTCCTTGTACCATCAACCTTCTTCTACCACAGGTTTGTACTACCCTTTCACCTGGTTCTACACAAATTGTTAACTACCTTCCACACACCTTGTTGTGTTATAGATTCGTATTTGACTCTTTCTTCTGATTCATTCCTTGACTCTTAAAATATGACAGGGAGAGAGCTCCTCCTCCAATCTCATGCTCAATTCTCTGTAGAATGTTTCTTATTAGCTGCCTCAGGTATGAACAAGACTAGCACCAAGTTCACAGTCAACAATGTGTTATGTAATTTGATAGTAGAGTAATAGATATTTTTACATGGAAAGTTTGATTATGGTAAGTCATTTAATTCATCAATCAAAATCGAAATTTCATTATGATAATCAATGTTGACTTTATGTTAACTTTTATCACATGATTTTTGTACATGAAAATCTAACGGTTGACCTTAAGGTAACTGTACAGTACTGCAGTGCAGACGTTGATGTACAGTGGGATCGAATATAGCTCTCCCACGCTGTGTTCGGCTATGATTGACCTTGCTCCTGCTTTTACCTTCATATTTGCCATTATTTCTAGGTTTGTCTCTCTGTCTGTGCTCTTCCCCTTATCACCATCATTTCTCTGAAAGAACGCAAATTTTTCTATAAGTTGACTTAAAGTTGTTTTATAATTATTTATGAGATAAAAAATTAAATTAAAAATTATGTGATCAAACCAATTAACAATTAAATTCTTATCATAATTAAATTACCCTGGTCTTCTTTGATCCTTGAGCAATAATATCGAAAAAAATGGAGTGAACATTCTAGTGTGCACTTTCAGGATGGAAAATCTGAATCTGAAACAGCATAGCTGTCAGGCCAAAATTATTGGCACAGTGATATCCATTGCAGGGGCATTGATTGTCACTCTGTACAAAGGCACCACATTGAACATCAGGTTCTTGAGAAATGTAGTATTTGGTGGAAATGGAACTTACCTTTCAGTGCAATCAGATTGGATAATTGGTGGTTCTCTTCTTGCAACTGCTAGTCTCTGCCTTTCACTTCTGTATATTGTTCAGGTAATTAGGCAAACCATTCAGAACTTCACACACCAGTCTTTGCAGTTTAGTGTTTAGTTAATCTTATCTAAAAGAAATAATAATTATTTATCAATGAGTGAGTTCTTTTTAACTGGTTATTTTCCCAAAAAGTTTATATTTCTCAAACATGTAAAAGTCATTTAAATGCTCTTCCAACACTATGCAGACTTCGGTTATCAAGGAATATCCAGAAGAGTTAGTGGTAACAAGCATTTGTTGCAGCATGGTGGTGATCCTATCTGCCATAGTTGCTCTCCTTGCAGAGGGAAATACAAAAGCTTGGATATTCACATCACGTGACGAGTTGATAGCCGTATGTTATTCAGTAAGTACAAACTTTATTAGGACAAAGCACAACCTTCTGAAATGTCTTCTTATAATTTGGATGATATATTTGTAGGCAATATTTGTGGTATCAATGAGGAGTGTTGTATGCGCATGGGGATGTCTAAAGAAGGGAGCAGTTTATGTAGCTATGTTTAACCCTTTGGGAATGGTAATTGCACTTGGCATGGGGGTAGTATTTCTGGGAGACAGTCTTTATGTTGGAAGGTAAAACATCTATTTTAGGACACAGTTTGTGAAAAATAATATAATTGGTGAAATGTGTTTCACAGTGGGTTTAATTTCTGGTGCAGTATGATTGGAGCTGCTACAATAGGTGTTGGATTTTATTCCGTGATGTGGGCACTGTCCCAAGAGAATAAGAACATGGCAAATGAGAATAATGAAAACAGTGATTCTTTGACTTCCTCTTCAACTCCTCTGTTGTTCACCCAAAACCTGGATGTTTAAGCAATGGTGATTATGGATGGAATTTCATCAGATCTAGTCCTTCTTTTATATAGACTTGGATCTGATCTTTGTTAAAAGAATAAAATTTGAATATAATTTTTTGACTTGTTATAGATTTGTTTTTAAAGGGTCTGTATGTAACATATATAAAAGTTTCATTTAGCCTATAAACTTGTTAAAAAGTCTCCTTATTACTCTAAATTTAACGGTTTCAAGGATTGTACTCTAGTCCAAGAAATAAAGAGAAGGATGTGTCTGATTAATTTTGTTTGGATATATTGATTTGTGAAAAAATGGGGGAGATGAATGAGTGAAATGATAGAACAGTAATTCTATTACAAAAGGAGAAGATATGAGAGAAAAGATTATATAAAGTCTATTTTATCCTTTGAAATTTTATCAACATCTATTAATTCTTTCTATTTTATGATTTATAATTATTATTTTTTCAATAATCAATATAATAAATATGAATTAAATTACAATTTATTATTATTATATATATTATTAATAATTAAATTACATTATAAATAAAATATGAATCATAAAATTTTAAAAAATATCTGCATCAAAAAATATCTGATCATAAATTTTCAAACAGATCTAATAGATTATATAAACGTGTGAATAATCCATTATATAAAATGTGAATAATAGATTATGTTAAAAAATATTATTATATTATATTATATTATATATATATATATATATATATATATATATATAAATTAATATTACGTGATTTTATAATTTTTTATTATATAAAATTAAAATTATATTTAAATACAAATTTATTTTTTTTAATGTTATTGATTTTTTTATTATATTTTAATTTTTTAATTAGTGTTCAAAATAAATTTTTATATATGATTTTTAATTAATAATATAATTTTTTTTATTTTTAAAATTTTAAATCAATTATGATTAAATTAATTATTTTTTATAAAATAGTTTATATTTATTTTTATTAATTTTTAAGTAAGAATATTTTTGTAATTTAATAAATTATTTTTTATTATAAATTTTTTAATTATATTTTAATTTTTTTAATTTGTACTTAAAATCACATCTAATCAATTATATAAATGAAATAATTGATTATAATCTATAAATAAATAATTGATTATGTTAAAAATATTATTATATATATATATATAAATATAAATAAAAATTTAAGCTACGGATTTTAAAATTTTTTATTATATAAAATTAAAATTATATTTAAATATAAAATTATTTTTTAATAATGCTATTGATTTTTTATTATAAATATTTTTATTATATTTTATATTTTTAATTAAATTTTAAAATAAATTTTTATACATTTTTAATTAATAATATAATTTTTTAAATTAATTACTTTAAAATTAATTATTTTTTATAAAATAGTTTATATTTATCTTTATTAATTTTTAAGTAAGAATATTTATTAATTTATTAAATTATTTTATTAATATATTCCTTTATTATTTTATTTTTTATTATAATTTTTTAATTTGTACTTAAAATATTTTTTTATGCATGATTTTGAATTAATAATTTAAAATTTATTTTTATATAATTTTAAAATATTTAAATTAATTACCTTAAAATCAATTATTTTTTATAAAATATATTTTTTTATTTTTATTAAATTTTAATTATGAATATCTTAGTAATTTAATAATTTATTTTATTAATATATTTATATTATTATTTCAAATTAATTATAAAATTTCCTCTTATTTGTTTTCATTTTTTCTATTCTTTTTTTTAATCCAAATTTATTTTAAAATATTAATAGAAATTATCCAAAAAATAAATAAATTATACTTTCTATTATTTGTATGAGAAAGTGTATTTGTAGTCATTTATGTGTAGGAAATAGATCACCAACCTCTTAATTATATTTGATGTATAAATAATATTAATATATTTAAATATTACGTATAATATAAATTAATTAATATTTTTATATCTGAATATAACATAATTATATTTTTACTTAATTTATACAAATTAACAATAAAAATATTTTGTTCATTATATTAAAAAAAGTTATTATTTAATTTTTTTAATAATAAATCACATCAATCACTTTAACTAGAATAAATCAATTCAAATATTTTCACATTTATTATTATTTTTTCTTAAATTCAAACAACCCTACGGTCCTTTCTAAATCATTTCAAATTCACTCTCTCGTATCTTTATTTAATCCAAACACAATCTAAAAGGTTAATAATATCTTTATAAATTATCTTCCTAATTCACTAATAATTATATCTTTCTTATAATAACAGAAATAAAGAGAACAATATAATAACTAATAAGTTAGTTTATTGAAACCAGGAATTACTTACTAATTCTAAACTAGAAATTAGTTCATTAAATTAGATAGATTACTAACTTTAGATATAGTAAGTTTGAATCTGGACTATTAAATCAAATTTTTAATTTGTGAATGAAACTGCCCTAGTTGCTATGCATATACTTTCAAATAATTGAGAATAGACATATAACTAATCATATTGTTTTATATATATCTACCAACTTTTAATGTTTAGTTCCTTTAACTACATTTGTAACCTCTAATTCTAATATTTTGACATCTCAATTATTTTAAAATAAGACCATTTCGTCATTTTTCCGAAGTCTCTCTAAAAATCATATTGAAGCCAGAAGTGATGTCAATCCAATTCTCTGGGCATGCGTGGTAACAATATTACAAGTACAATAATGGAGATAAATGGTCCTCCCTAGGGACCATTCCCATCCTAACTTTCTCGTGGCTCTAAGGGCATATCTTAATTCTCCTTTAGAACTCACGACTCCTTCAGAAATTTTTTAAATTTGTTATATATATATATAATATTTATAATTTTAATTCTCTTCCAAAAAAATTAATATTTAAATTATATGATTTATTAAATTTATGTTCATCTAAATAAAATATTATATATAATCTTGAGCTTATTAATTTCTTTAAAATATTAAAATGAACAATTAAATATATAATAAAAACCTAAAATATTATATTAAATAAAAAATTAAAAAAATATATTCTTTATTATTTTAGTATTTTCAATAAATTTATTATAATATTTATTTGACCCAGTAATTATATATTATTTTATTCTTAAAAAAAATATTAATAAGGATTCGTCCCATTCATTAACTAATAGATTATTATTAATATCAAACATTTTTTTCCACTAAAATGGTAACTAAAATGGTAATACGGGCATGTTCAAACTGGAATGGATTAATAACGTGGTAATTCATTTTGATTTATTCTATTAAGTTCGTCAATCCGTTAGGTATAATTCGTAATCTATTTAATTAATAAAAAAATAATTTTTTATTATAATATAATTAATATAAAGTTAAAAATTAAAAAAAAATTTACTATTATTTATTATAACAAATATTTTCCTTATTTAACTACAAATTCTTTAAAGAATAAGAATTACCGTAAAAAATATAACCTAAAATTTTATCAAATAAAATATATTTAAATATTTAAAATTTTTAATATAAAAAAATATATTTTACAAGTATTAATATTATTTATATATATTTATTATTATATAAAATTTATTATTATTCTAAATTATAATTTTTTAAATAATATATTAATTTATATTATTAATTAAAAAAATATATATTAAGTTATTAAAAAATAAATAATAATTTTATTATTAAATTTATTAAAAGTTTTAATATTAAAAAAATAAATTATTTTTTCTTAAATTATGATGATGAGCCATCAATCAATCATCTCACCATTTAACGGGACTAATTAAGGTTTCGGAACTATCATACCTCACCCTCTTTTTAAATTTTGTTCTCCTACTATTCTAAGTCCTTTACATGATTAAAATGGGATTAATATCTTAAAAAGTGACTGTGAAGCTATCAGCATTTAATTGACATTTGAAATTGACAATTTACATGTGAGAGTGGGTTTGGTAAATTTTTTTCATCGCCACGCAAGTCTATATTTAATAGCATATTTATATAACTTTTCTCCAAAGTTATTATTATCTGTCATATCTTTTTTATGATAAATTTATTATTTATCATATTCATATTGTGAAATTTTCCTCGCATTTATTGAATTTGAAGGGTTGCTTATTCAACTAAAATGTATTCTTATCACATTTATTTGTTTGTTTTATATATAGGGTTAATTAGCTTTTTCTCGGGTTCTTAGTATAATTTTTTATGATTTTTATAATTATTCTAGTTTTTTTCTTGGTTAATTGCTTGTGCTGTTCATTAGAATAACATGTAACAAAATTGTTGAAGTGGAGTTTTATTTTAAGTGTGAATGATATTTTTTTATGATTTCATGTTTTATAATTTTTTCAAAATTTAAATTACAAAATTATAATCATAAAAATGTTTTAAAAAGTCTTTCAAAAAGTATTACATTTTTACGAATTCTTTTAAATTCAAACCATGTAATTTATTTTTTTAAAATCTCAATTGAATGTACCCTTTATTTTCTTAGTTACATATTTAAATATTCAAATGGTACCGTTACAATGCTTAAAATTTCAATTAACATAATGAAATTTTTAAAAATGATATATTTGTAATATTGAAAAAGTCTAATTTAGATAAAGAAAATGAATAAAACTAATAGATAATGGAAGGAAATATTTCGCGTACACGCAACCCTCTATTTAACATCCATGATATGATTATTTTTGTTTGAGTATTCTGATGGAAGTGATGTTGAGCATGTTGAGTTGAGGTGAAAGGGTGTCACAAAAAAGTGCAAAATTGACACTTTGCATAAATCCCGTGCACCGGGTTTTTGCCTCTTCTAACGATTGTTTGGAAGAGGAAAGAGAAATTAAAATAGAAATTAGGTTTTCTATGAAAGAGTTTTATTATTTTTATTTAAATTAAGTATTAAGATATTTTATTATTTGTTAAGAGAAAAAATAAAAAAAATATTATATTATTATTTTGATAGAAATAATTATGATTGAGATATTATTAATATTTGA